CCGGGATGCGCCGATGGGAGCCCCCTGATCAAAACTGTATCGCAACCTTTATCGCCGCCTCTTCTCAAATATAATCGTCGATTCTCATTAAATTTGCGCTCCGATACTTTTCCACTCGGGAAGTTGGGAGCTTGAAATTTTGAAAGGCCAGTGCACGCGCTGCATGGAGTAAAGGCGGAGCTACTCGTTCAACTTTAGAACATCCTACTTGGTCTGGCAGCAAGGTGAGAGCATAGGCGCCAATGCCTCGTGGATGATAAAGGTATGTCCGATAACTCTTCCTTCAATCGCCCATCTTGCTTATGTTTCAATAGGTGCTGGTTGGAGGCAGCTATGTCTACTCTGCCTGGTCATGATCATCCATCCAATTCCACTCCGTCCTTAGACGGCAGAGGTGCAGAATTAGCATCTCAAGATGGAAAGCCAACGACAAGGACAGGTCCTAACTACGGTGCGCCCTATCCCGGAAACTCAATTCCTGGCTCCAATGGCCTAATCCACTCGTGTAGTATATTACTGTCTATACACCAAACTCGGTGCATTTGAATCAAATCACGCCCTCTACTGCAACGACCGTTTCATTGGCCGCATTCCGTCAAAATCTATTGCCCCTCCTCGCACGGTGGCGTCTATCAAGCGCTCCCTGTGCAAACTTGAGGGCCTTTCGGAGCCCGACAAGGCCCTTCTTTTCACACTGCTCTCAAGCCCAGCACCCAAAGAAGACTCTGCGCGCCTCTTTTCGTCCGCTTCTTCTGGGCCAGGCCTATCCGAACAAGATCCGATTGCGCTGATTGTCGAGTCGGAAAAGAGGACCAAGAACATAACCCTGTCAGAGAAGCTCCCGGAATGCTCTGATGATACTGATATCCACTACGGTACGTCTTGGTGACGTCTCCCATCCAAATAATGCACTTATTAGCTTTGCAGTGTACTATCGTCTTTACTCATCAGAAGGAGATGGAGATGAAAAGGCAAAGACGTCCTTTGATGAAAGTGACATGTCGTTAGGGCGCATCAACGCCGTCTTCATCGCTCCCCCTCATACCGCTGGGTCTTTGAAAGCATGCATTGCAAAAGCTGAAGGCCTTGTCACGCCCGGTCATGCGCTCTACAACGACATGGAACTCTTCCAAGACACGGATAGTGATGCTGCCATGAGCGACACTGATGTCATATCCTTCCAAGGTGACACTTATCCGGGTAGCGACCAAGGCGATCCCGTAGCCCTTGTCAATGCAACCACCAATACAGCTGCAGACCAAAAGGCTAAACCTACATCAGGTAAATATCATGGTGAATCTCCACTAGACACTTCAGCAACAAACTGTGCCTTTTCAGATGTACCAGATTCAAATTTTACGAAACACGCTCAGTTTTTTGATACTTGGAGTGAGTAACAGTTTCTGAGATACTAATGTGACTCTCATCCTGTTGTATCACACCACAGCGTCAGACGATCAATCCTGGCTATCAAGAAACACAGATGAGATTGTTTACACGGATGGAGTGGCATGATGTCAAAAGTTAATGATGTGGCCATAGCAAAAGGTAAAGTTATTTAATCCTTCAAACCATATCCACATGGACCTAGAACTATGATTTTGAAATAGGACAGTAGATATCAATAGGAAGGCATAGAATAGCCTTTCTTGACATGAAAGACAACTTGTACATGATGTCAAAAATCAATGCTGCAGCAATGGCAATATGTAAAATTATGTCAATTCTTTAACCTCATCCCCATAACCTATACAGAGTCAAGGACACTATAAACTATATGTCAACTACAAATTTTTGTAGCCTCAAAAAGCAGACAGTACAAACTTTTGCAGTCTAAAAAGCGGACACTACAAACTTTTCTAATACAAAAGTGGACACTACAAACTTTGTGGTCTAAAAAGCAGACACTATAAACTTTTCTATTAAACAGGCACACACTACAAACTTTTGTAGTCTAAAAAAGCGGACACTACAAAATTTTCTAATGGAAAAGCGCAGACTACAAAAGTTTTCAGCATGGATAACCTTTTAACCTAGCCCTAACTTTGTAGTCTAAGTCCAAGCTTTTGTAGTCTATCAGTAAATTTTGTAGTCTACGTCTGACTTTTGTAGCCTATGTCCAACTTTTTGTAGTCTATCAACAAACTGGGTAGTCTATATCTGACTCTTGTAGTCTGTCAGTGTCAATTGCTCTTTCAGGGAATGCACCTTCCTTTTTTGGTCATTTTTCCCACAATACAATATTTGTTGCCCTTTCATTTAGCTTTCTAAATGTGTTAGAATCATGTTATTTGGTTTTGTTTTCATGGAGAAAAATGCAAAAAACAAAAAAAAACATGGCACTTGGAAGAATCTTTTACATCATATCTTCACAATGGGAGCACTTCACAACATAATTCAAACAGATTCAGGAAGCTACAGTGTAGGGCTACAACTTTCGTTTTTTGACCATTTTAGGAAATTGGTCATGTGATCACCCTCCCAACAACCCATGTGATACATATCATCATTATTATCTATTTTTGGTAATGAAAGTGCCAGGGAGCCTAATGAGAAGTAATGAAATCATCAAGGTGCTCAATGAAATATCCTAATGAAAGTGCCAAGAAGCCTAATGAAATATTCTAATGAGAATTCCATGAAATGGTAATGAAAGAGTCAAGGAGCTGAATGAAATATCCCAATGAAAATTCAATGAAAATCTAATGAAAGCGCCAAGGAGCCTAATGAAATATCCTACTGAGAACTGTAAGAAATGGTAATGAAAGGGTCAAGGAACATAATGAAATATTCTAATGAAAAAATTCAATGAAATGGTAATGAAAGGGTCAAGGAGCTGAATGAAATATCCCAATGAAATTTTTAAGAAATGGTAATGAAAGGGCCAAATACCTAATGAAATATCCTTATGAGAAATGGTAATGAAAAAGAGAAGGAGCCTAATGAAATATCCTAATGAAAATTCTAAGAAATGGTAATGAAAAAGAGAAGGAGCCTAATGAAATATCCTAATGAAAATTCTAAGAAATGGTAATGAAAAAGCGAAGGAGCATAATGAAATATTGTAATGAAAATTCTAAGGAATAGTAATGAAAAAGCGAAGGAGCATAATGAAATATCGTAATGAAATTTCTAAGAAATGGTAATGAAAAAGCGAAGGAGCCTAATGAAATATCCTAATGAAAATTCTAAGAAATAGTAATGAAAAAGCGAAGGAGCCTAATGAAATATCCTAATGAAAAGTCTATGAAATGGCAATGAAAGGGCCAAAGAGCTTAATGAAATATCCTCATGATATCTCATTATCCTTGCCTATATCTTATGAAAGATTCTAGTGATAAATTGAATGAAATAGATGGGCAATCCTAATGAGATGCCTTTCATAAAACCTGTGGCAGTATACACATTGCCTCTTGGACAGTTGTCATAGATTAATCATAAAAGTGGTAGCCACCAGTCCTAACCGAAGTGGGGGTTTGACCCCAGTTTGCACTCCATTCTCCTCGACGCCCTCGCCGACGTTGTAGCAATCCCAGATGTCCTGAATCAACATCTGATCGAGAGTCTTTGATGGCTTCCACGTGTCCCAAAGTGGTCCAGGTTGCTTAACTTGTGCGAAAACATCGTTCCAGTGTACAGATCCTTGCCCGAGAATTGGGTGTTCCAAGAGGAGATCGTCGCCTAGATACATGAAAACTTCGATAAAGTAATGATTAAATATTGAATAAGACATACCAGGTTTGCAAAATGTGATGAGGGGTGGAAGGACAAGGTCAACCTCCGTTCGTGGACGTGGAGAAGTTGTTGAATGAGGCAACGGCACAATGAACCCATGGAGACTGTTGTCACTTGCAAGGTAAACACCCATGTCTTCCGCTGCTCGAGTTTCCGGACCAATGACTGCTGGGGCACCAAGATTAGCCGCCGTTAAAATTGGCACAGTTGAGTCCGATGGGAATTCAAGCTGCCGAGAGATGCTGGCAACAGCACTTGATGAAGGGCATGTCGTTTCATACGAAATAGCTTTAGCTGGTGTCCATTGTGATGTGCGGCGCTGCACGATTTGCGCGAGCTTTTCGATTTGCGCTGTGTTGCTGTGCAAGAGCTCTTTCTGCATAACGCTTTCTTGCCGGAGTTGCTCCAAGGACTTGCGCATGATTTCGTTTTGAAGGCGCTCAAGACATACTGGGCTAACGGCGCTTGAGTTGATGGCAGCGAGATGGACTGGGAAGGTGCTTTGCATCCAAAGACGGACATCATCTCGGGCTAGTGCGGGAAGTCGGAACAGTTTGGAATTCGGTCGAACTTGGTATATGGCCGCAGAAGCCTAAAACAAGGATAACCAATATTTTGAAGGGTCTAAAATAAAATTGAGGCTCGGTCATACCTGGAACAGAAATGGACAAAGCCAGACAACCATTTCCCAATAGTTTGTGGCACCGACTCGATCTTTGAGGCCTACGGGTAATTTCAAGACCCAGTTTGTAGCATGATTATGGATGTCAACTTACCTTTCACCAATTCAACGTTTTTCTCTGCCATTGGACACACTAGTTCTAGGAACAACTTGGGCACATCAACCTGGGTCCATGGCGGGCTGTAAGTCTCGTGGACTTTGTAACCATGAGCACCTAGTATCGCCTTTGTATGTCCATCAAGTGCAGATCAAAAAACAGAGAAATAGATACAATACGGATTTGGGGAGCGCTGGCGCATAGGTATTCTGGTAAGTATCGCGCGACCATCCAAGTTTAGATGTTTCCTCAGCTCATACACTATCATCATTATTAGAGAGAAAGGAACAAGACAAATGAAAACATACCCCATCTTCTCTTGGTGGTATCCCAGCATATGGCGAGCAAGGTGAGCTTTTAAATTTGATTCGACGCCAGCCTTCCGATAAGATTGGACAAATAGATTCTGGAGTGCAGTCTCATGATACGGGACAGTGGCCGATGAACCGTGAATCAACCGAAGCTGAAAAGATAGAGAGTTCAGGATCAACGTTTTATGGAAAAGGTAGAAACACTTACATTGCGCCATGACTTGTTCACAGCGTAGTCAACATTATATTTACTATCTATGTTGGCTACATCGTGGACATAGTGTAGGTACAAGGCGAATGCTCCCAACGGACACATTTCCGGGTTCCTATGTGCGATGAAACATGTATAAGTCGGGTTTATCGTCTATATTGATGTTATACTGGGTAGTCCACAGGGAGAGAGAGTTACTTACTGTCTTCATTCCTTTGGACCGAGCTTTCTGTTCCATGTCTGACTGCAAACCGAGGACAGTGGGGATAGTTGTTTCACCGTTAGGATGCAAGAATTGGTATGGTTGCATTTCACACAGCCGCAGTGCCCGGATGTCGTCTCTGTGGTTACCACTTGCATTCATCATTGTCCACGTGAGGTGTCCATTGATAGTTGGCTTGACTGAAAAAGAAAGAGATAACAGTGAGAGGATAGATGTTCGGTCAGACAGACGTACACTCTCTATGCTCCAGAAAACCATACCAAATTCGTGTGAGAGTTTCGTCTGACAGCTGGGCGAGAAACGTGTTGGTGATGATGTCTGGGGCATCCTCAGCCGGAATGAGCCCCCTGCGAAAAGTTCATCACGGCACATTAACATTGACGAAATGGGACTTACTCGCGTGCTTTTTGTAGGGCCTCATCCATGCGAGTCTTGACCGCATCGTAAACATGGACAGTCGTGGCAGGCCGCTTGATAGTCAAAGTTGGATCCCGAGCATCTTGCACCTTTCGGATACGTAGGGCACCGAAGAACTCTTTCTTGATTTGTGACTGTAAAGGTTGTTATCAACAAGTATATAATAATAATAAATTGAGGTACTTACGGCACCAATGCGAGTATTAAGTATGTACTCTCCTCGACGATCTCGCTTGCAACGTCTGGCGCAGAAGTCAATGAAAAGGAGAAGGGCATGCTCGTCGACTATGTCATCACGGAGTTTTCCTGCTGCGAGTGCTTCTTTCTGAAAAATCTGCAAGGCAGTAACTGTTAATACATAAACCAAGAAGGTTGATGCAAAGACTTATGTTCCATGACTTTACGATGCATTTCTGGGTCTTTTTGCCTCCTGCCCTCCTGTTGGCTTCTGTCCTTTGAGCCACTGACACACGCACACTTGTCTGAAACTGTTTATAGGTTGCTATAACAGATAACTTGATTATCATGAAAGTAAAGATAGAAGAAGGCTCATACCATCATCGTCCAGGTCCATGTCCTCCAACTCCTCATCCTCACCCTCCTCTTCGAGGCCACCTGTGTTGAGGGCACCAAATACGGCTTCTGCAACCCCCTCACCCACATCATACTGCTTCGTCAATGTATCATCGTCGACATCGAAATCGGCTTCAACAAGTTCTTGATCAGTTTGACTACTTGATTGGCCTAAAGAGTGAGCTAGGCGTGGCGGGATGACAATGGAAAGCGTTTTCAATGGACCAGCCACAGCGTGATTGGGCAAGGGGTTTGGAGTTGCTCGTGCAGGATACCTGTGAAGCGACTTTGGAAAAAAGTTAAAAATCAATCCAAAGAGCACACGCACCAGTGGCGGACAAGGGTGTTCCGCAGAAAGTCAAGATTGGCTCGTGTTGCAAAGCGAATCCCGAAGTGAGAGCATGCCGCCCGCAAGGGCTCTCTCTTTCTGATGGTGAAACTGAAGGCAATGTGAGATCTCCGAGGACGTTGTACACAGTAGGCGAGGGACTCACAGATGGGCTTTGTACGCTTCTTTGGCAACGAGGCTGCCATCGGGCTTCCGAGCAGGAAAGAAGTCAATGTGAAGAAGCTGGGGGTCGATTGGAACGTTGGCAGAAGATGACGGTGTGGATAGAAGCAGGGGAACGTTGGTGTTTGACGCCGCTGATGCGGCGGGTGCGTTTGTGCCTGGCGTCAGGGCGTGCAGGGCTTCGTTACCGTTGTCAGGGAGGCTCATGTCGCACAGATTAGAAGTGCATAAAATAGAGGGAACACGAATAAATAAGTATAGAAAAAGCGAGAAACGAAGGAAGTGGTGGTGGTACACAGTAGGGTAAAACGGAATACTGCACGTGTTTAGGTGAGCCTCCTAGCGGTCACCAGCGTATTGTGACCGCCTGCCAAATTTGGGACACCGTCACCAGGATCTGGTGACATGGCAGCTTAGAACCCCACTGGGGTCTCCTTGATCCCATCGGGGTTGTGGGAGTCAACACGTGTAATCCCAAAATGATTGTCACGCCTGCGCTCATTTAGCACGCGCCTTCAATGTTGCTTCAACGTGCTCCACAGATTCAATTGAAGACCCTTACCATAACACGTAAAATATCTGCCTTGCATGTTGTGTTTTCACCGTAGACAGGCTTTTCAATCGATTTGTTGTTCCTTCCCCCCATTCTCACTGAAAGAAATGCCAAAACCTCAACCCGCAGCTGAAGATCCAAAGGAAATTCAACTCCCTGGCACTCCTAGGATAACAACCACAATCAATAATATTACTGGGAAGCACAGTATTCAATGTGATCTTTGCAGTACGGACATTTCTCCGACGACAACAGCAAATCCACGGAACTTTCTGCTTCACCGTGGTATGGGACCATGCCTACAAACACGAAAAAATCAAGGTCTTCCACCACCTCCTCCTCCACCATCTATTGTGCCTCGGATCGTGGTTACTGGAGTGCAAGAAGTTCCTTGCTCAGGTTTGGGTATCAAGTGGCTTCCAGGCTCGATCTGGGAAACTTATCCATATCATCGACATGAGGTGAAAGTGATGGGATGGAAACCTGTCTCGTTTGGAGAAGAAGAAAATGAAATATATCTTCGATCTAAAAGATGCCTCAAAACTATTCTCAGTACAGACTACCCACCTTGCGCAGAGTGCAAAATGCTCGAGTATTCTTCTCATTTTATCGAATTTATGGAACGTGCTACAGAGGCAAAGAGCCATACACCTAACTGATCTATGTACAGATAAGAATTTGTGACTACTACTGTGACATTTGGATGCACGTGTCAAATCAGGCTAAATCCCACGACCCCGATGGGACCAGTTGACCCAACTGGATGCTCGGGTGGTTGCCCCTTGGTTTGACTCCTTTATAGGCGAACTGGTGCGGGGGAACGAAAAGGTAGATGTGGAAGATGTGAGGGATCAACTCTGAGGTGGTTAACGTGGACCGTGGTAGTGAATCTGAAGTCAACGCCATGGCTTTGACTTGCACCAAGTTCAAGTCGAGGATCCTCCTTTGTTGATCCGAGGTGCTGTCAACGACCTCCCCGACTGGAGTGGCCGGGTAGGGTATGAGCGTGTGGCACTGGAATTGATAAAAGACTCGTACAGGCTGACAGTACTCAGTCCTCACGCGCACGGCTTCCCCAATAACCACTGTATTCCTCCACGGCATCAGCAAAACCTGGGTGAGCTAGGCAGCACGTGGCAGGGCTGTGTAGTGCCATAGCACCATAGAAAGGGGTATCACCTTTACAGTCACCTGCGTGTTCTATGCAGCTCTACATAGAAACGCACAGCCACTACACAGCACTCCCTAGAATCTCAGAGCAGATCTGCAGCCATTCATAGAAACACATAGCCACTTCATAGTGCTCCCTAGAATTACGGAGCAGATCTGCAGCCCTCAGTAGCAACCCCTGGGGTCTGCAGATTCCTAGAGGGGGGGCATACATTCTGCTCATTTTAATACCATATTGCATGATTTTTACACAGAACTTGTGTTATGAAAAAATAAGTTTATTGTCTGCACTACTACATTATACAAGATATCCTAATATTCTACATAGTAATGACTGCAGTATATCAAATTTATGGAATAAGAGACCGTCCATCTTTCATCAACAGAGGGAGGATGCCATTCACCAACAAGGAAGGGAGGACGGTTGTTCATCAAGGGACGGAGCCGTTCTTCAAAGGAGGGAGGACTCAAAGGAGGGAGGACGCCATTCGTCGACAAGGGAGGAGGACGCCGTTCTCCAAGGGAGGGAGCCGTTCATCAATGAGGTAGGGAGGACACCGTTCGTCGACAACAGAGGGAAGATGCATTTGTCGACAAGCGAGGGAAGACGCCGTTCTTCAAGGCAGGGGGAATACCATTTATCAACGAGAGAGGGAGGACGCCGTTCGTCAACGAGGGAGGGAGGACACCATTCGTCGAGGGAGAAACACCGTCAGTCAAGAAGGGACGGAGGATGCCGTTCGTCGACAAGTGAGGGAGCAGTTCGTCAAGGGAGGACACTGTTCATCGGGGGAGCCGTTTGTCGAGGGAGGGGGCCATTTGTCAAGAGGGAGCCTTTCGTCAAGGGAGGGAGCCATTTGCCGAGAGAGGGAGCCATTCGTTGAGGGAGGAGTCGTTTGTCGACGAGGGAGCCGTTCGTCGATGAGGGAGGGATCTTTTCTTTAAGGGAGGAAGCCATTCTTCACGGGAGCGAGCTGTTCTTCAAGGGAGGCAGGGAGCCATTCTTCAAGGGGGGGAGGAAGCCATTCTTCAAGAGAGGGAGGATGCCGTTCTTCAAGGGAGGGAGGACGCCGATCATGGACGAGGGAGGACACCGTTCGTCGAGGGACGCGGTTCGTCAACGAGGGAGGGAGGATGCTGTAACTCGACGAGGGAGGACACCGTTTGTCGAGGACAAGTTAAATATTGTGGTGGGAAGGAAGAACAATGAATTTCCGTGTTGGGAAATTCAAGAGTTCAACATAATCACATGATGTCGGAGTTTCAACAGACTTAAATGAATTGTCTCGCAACTTGAAGTTGTTTGTCACCTGTCACTGTCTTTCACAGAAAGCATGGCATTCGAGGTGGGCATACACAATTGTAGATGGCACCATGTAATCAAGCAAATATAAAGTTCATATTGGAAAATTATTGAACAATTTCCGAGCCTTCCAAGAAATTTGCAGTTGTTACCAGAAATTTCCTGGCTATTTCCATGATTTCCCGAAATTTCCTGTTTTTTGGTAGTAGTAGTAACAATTGAAGTTGTCTAAGTTCGAAAATGTGAGTTGAGCGTGGCACGTGACTTCCCGCAACCGTACCGACTTCCATCAATTCACACTTACACTTTCTAGGTAGCTCATAGCTATAACTTCACGAGTATCACACCGTTTGGCCTCTATGTAGGCTTATTTTAATCGCTTTATTCACGCGAATGCAATCCAATTTACGGCATAGAAAAATTTGGAGTACCTCACAAATTGTAGCATAAACTATTTGGCCTGTATTAGACATCTGAAATATATATTATCATCATGAGTTCTGCTCCGTTTCATGCGATTTTGGGCTTGTCAGAAACGCACAAATTAGAGCTTTAAAACGGGTCTAAGAGCCCCTAATATTTCGACGTTTAAGGCGACCTCCGATAACATTTACCATTTTTAGGCAGATTCTTCACCAGTAATTGGTCCAAAGCCATTTGAGTTTTGAACTAAATACTACGTAAATAGATGCGTTGGAATCGGCTTGAACACCACTTTCCAACGCAAAAAAAATCACAAAAGACGAATATGTTTTGCAAAAGATACTTCATATTCTTTCTTGTTGCAATCTTTGTAGGTCAATCAATCTCTGGACAGTGTTGTACTTTCTTCTTATTCCAGGCGTATTTTGGTCATAAATTATTCATATACAATAGGGAATGTGTTTTCTACTGAAATCTAGTATACTTGTAGTTTGACTCCCTATAAGGGCTGGGTAGAAAGTGGAGGCCCCTCTATAGCACCCTATAGTAACGGCACAAGTCTCTGTAGTGCTGTATAGCACAAGCTTACACCCACACAGTGCTGTGGAGCGCTGTGGAGCGCTAGGGCATCTAGCCAAACTTGGCGTGTAACTATGGGAAACTATGATATTAGCGGAAGCACTATGCCTGTCTACGTGGGAAAATCAGGTTTTGCTGATGACTGATCGCACCGCCAGAGCTGTATCATTTCCACTGCTCTCCCGGGTGTTCGTCGACCGACATGAACTTGCGCTCCGACATTCTTCGTACTTTTTAGGCACTGGGGAAGTTGAGAGGTTGACAGGCCAGTGGGCAGTGGAGGGAGGGTGGAGCTACTCGTTCAACTTGAGAACACCCTACGTGCTCTCGCACCGAGGTAACGGTTTCGGATGCATAAGCGCCAATGCCTCGTGGATGGGCGCATGACGAAGGCGTCTCCGATAAGTGTTTCCTTCAATCGCATCTTGCTGATATGGCGGCCAAGTTCTGGTTGAAAACAGCGATGTCTACTCTGCCTGGTCGTGATCATACGTCCAGTTCCGCTCCCTCTGTAGATGGCAAAGGGGGTACAGAATCAGCAGTGAAAGGAGAAAAGTCAACGGAAAGGACAGGTCCTAGCCGCTATGGTGCGCCGCTATCCCGAAAACTCTACTTTCTGGCCTAATCTACCTCGCCAGTATATTACCGTCTATACACCAAACTCGGTGCATTCGAATCAAATCACGCCTTCTACGACAAAAACCGTTACATTGGTCGCATTCCGTCGAAATCCTTTGCCCCTCCTCATACCGTGGCATCTATCAAGTGGTCCTTATGCAAACTTGAGGGCCTTTCGGAGCCCGACAAGGCGCTCCTCTTCACACAGCTCTCAAGCCCAGAACCCAAAGAAGACTCTGCCCGCCTCTCTTTGTTCGCTCCTTCTGGGCCAGGCATGTCCGAACAAGATCCGATCGTGTTATTGGTCGAATCAGAGAAGAGAACGAAGGGGGTCTCGCAGTCAGAGAAGCTACCGGAACGCTCTGATGATAGCACTAATATCCACTACGGCAAGTCTTGTCAATGTCTCCTACCCAAATAGTGCACTCACTAGCTTTGCAGTATACTATCGTGTTTACTCAGCAGAAGGAGGAGATCAAAAGGCAAAGACGTCCTTTGACAAAAATGATATTTCCTTAGGGCGCATCAACACCCTCTTCATCGCACCCCCTCAAACCGCTGGATCTTTGAAAGCATGCATCACAAAAGTTGAAGGTCTCGTCACGCCAGGTCATGCACTCTACAAGGACATGGAACTCTTCGAAGATGTAAACAGTGATGCTGCCATGAGCGACACCGAAGTGATATCCTTCTGGCAAGGTGACACAAGTTATCCAGGTAGTGATCAAGATGACCCCGTAGCACTTGTCAATGCAACCGCCAATGCGGCAGCGGACCAAGAGGCTAAGTCTACACCAGGTAAAGTCCTCACTGAGTATCCAGTAGACACTGCAGCAACAAACCATGCTCTTTCAGATGGACCAGATTCAAAATTCACAAAACGCGCTCGGTTAACTTATACTTACGGTGAGTAATAGTTCCTGAGATAATTCAATTTTTATCCTATAGTAACCCACTGCAGACTACTTGGGAGACCGCCCCACCTGGCTAGCAGTAATCAAAGATGAGATCGTTTACACGGACGGAGTTGTCGTCTCCATGGTGCGCCCCACTAACAACTGTATTTCTTTCCTTTTCTGCTTCAAGTGTCACTGTTTATGTTTTGTCGGAACAGACCTTGCTTCAGGATACATGGTGATTAATTCCAAAGGTGAAAAAGGCTGTGAGTCCCCGATTTGCCTTTGGGTTGCGCATGCTAGGTGGTTGTTGATTTTCTTTTTTGGCAGTTGTGTGCAAGGGTGAGTGGTCTCCTCCCCCCTGTCGGAGTGTTTGATATTCACCAAATGTTTTGCTAGGTAATATTTCTCTTGAATGATTGGTGAATATTGAAGAAAGTGAATGCTTTCGGGATGAAACATATGTATTGTATTATATGTATTAGTACCGCAAATCTATCTACATGTAACACAAGAAACGAGCAACTGATCATGAAAAACGAAGTAGGCATCGCAACTTGCAATTGGCGACTGTTGAACCTTTCAAACGTTCAGTCCTGCTAAGAGATTCATGTAAGGTATAAGTAACTACTGTATCAGAGATGTACCCGAACAAAACCCAAAACTCTCGCACACGCGCGCGTTTACTTTTTTGGAATTGAATCCTGGTTTATGACTTTTATGATCTTTGCAACTTTTCACGATCTCTTTTTGACTGAAGCTGACGGGAAGGTATCTCCCACCCCAAATCACACCAGCGCCACCAACGTTCGCACGAACCTTCCTCCCCTCCCTATCCTGAAAGCTCTACTTCCTTCCTCCAACACCACCAGTGAACGTAGCTCCAACACATTTAACAGTCTCCCCTAAATCTAGCTCCCACGCTTCAGCTCCAGCAATTGGGTGTGTGCGAGGGGGGGAGAGGAGGAGGTCCGCAGTCCTACGAACGGAAACTAGGACCGACTTGACCCTTACGCGAACTAGAGCAGAGCGTCAAGAGACATACGCGGTGTCCAATGAAGTGCTACGCATGATGTCAACATGGGTCCACACTGGAGTAACGGGTTTGATGAAGGAAGACAGCCTACTCGCTCGGCGTCGTCCTAAACCACCGGCCTTAGTGAGCGTTCAATGGGATAAGAGTACCTGGGACTTACCCCGAACGAGTAGAGTGAGTTCCCCCCAAACAAGACATGACGCCAGGAGGCAGGCGATACGGAGTGGATCCTGGGGCTGCGTTGAAGCCATCTTCAAGCCATAATTCTGCGCTTGAGGTCCGTTAGTCCTTGCTATACTCTAAGGGGCAGGACAAATACATCGAAATACCCAGCATTGCTCCCATTCGTTTGATCAGCGACCCTCCAGAAGTCGCAGAATCACACGATCGCCATTCACTCGTCATCTTCGTCGCCATTGTAGTAGTAGTCGTAGTATCTCGCAGGAGACACTGTACTGCCGAAAAGGAAAGATGGCTGGCGGGAAGGATAGGCGGAGGAGCCTCATCCATCGACCAACATGAGGAGGGAATGGGAGGTACGTTCGAGGTGTACGTCCTTAACGCTCTCGAAATCGATAGGCGATTGACATTTGACGATGCCGATGCCCTGTTGCAGTGTCAGCGGAGGAGGTACTAGCGAATACAGAAGTTGATCGACCTTCAACGACTTCATCACAACGAGGATCCCCCCGATACTTCACATTGAGGGCCCTCCCGCCTTAATGTGGACAGCTGGTGGAAGGAGCACTATCCGGACGATGAGGGAAACTCTCTGCACCGCGCTGGTGAAAACTCGAAAATTACGAGAGCTTATGAGCGATGAGCTTACGTCATCATCGAAAATAAACGATTCCTCTTTGATTCCTCTAGCTGATTTGTCTGAAGGCTAGATAAGAAGCCTCTTGTACCGACCGACGCCTTCGATAGGAAAACCTGTCTTCTTGAGCTTCCCATCTGCTTGGTGGAACTTTGGCAAGCAAACCCTTGACTTGTATAGAAATCGGAAGTTCTTGCCAGTGGAGTGTTGCATGGAGCGAAGGGCGTTCGAGAATTTAGAAATCGCAGTAGTGTCCCAGGTTTTGTCTGGAATGGGGTTAGGTCCATCAAGAAGACTCCGTGGCAACACACCATGATTTGCCGGTCGAAGTTGAGCATGCTTGAGAAGGTCATCAAGGGGCTTGCTGGACGACTAGCCTTTCATTTCCCCCACGATCCGTTGGGCCTGGTAGTGAATAATTGAGAGCCACTCCTTGAGGTCCACAGACAGGTGATGTTACCCCAACCTTGCATAACAATAAGTTGGTCGTTGAATGCTGGAATCGTAATATCGGCCAAAATGTGATGACTTTGCTGTCGTGACGTGGCGGAGACCTTTTGGTGGGAACCGCTTCAGACCATAGGCGTCCTTCACAACCGTTCCGGGTGGATCTAGAGAATCAATGTGATCTCCCGCTAGAAAAGAAACGACGCCGCAAGGGGGGGGCGAGTTGCAACTCGCGTTCAACTTCCGGATGAGAACGCTGAACAAACCCTAGCATATATGGTGTTCAACTAATTTTGCGGAGATGACAAGAATTCGACGTACTAAACAAGAAGACCCGGTTGTCGAACGCCGAAATCGTAGTATAGGTTGTCCCATCCCGCGATATGCTGAATTATCGGAGTACTTGGTAGTGTTGCACGGCAACCATGGCGAGCTTTTCATCGTTGAGCTAAACATTCGTGAGAGGTGAGAATCCGAGGGTGATGTAAGATACGCACATGGTCCTTCAAGATGGAAGAGAAATTCGTTGCAAGGCAATGGATAAGGAGAAAATTGGACAAAGCCATGTGATTGGTATTGAGAAATCTCGCCGTTATAAGCCTTTTCGCCGTGGACGTCTTTATGTGGTCTGTTTTGGGAGACGGCGCCTTGTTTATTGGTAGACTCGAAGGATGTGATGAAGAAATCAGCGAACCGCACTCGGATATGAATCAGGGATCGCGACCGAATTATCAGATGGTAAGCGCTTGCGAGGATGAGGCGCTATCGCCAATTGAAATTTGAGGCCCGTGTAACGATCTTACTTGCTGTAGGTGTTGGTCGGTTAGAATCATATGAGCGCGCACTGGAATTGATAACAGAGGTTTGAAACAAGTTTGGAAATTCAGAGTCCAATTATCGGAAACTTACGGTACATGCTCGCTGTTGTATCAACCTGACCTTCGTCACTTCCAGCGCACCCATAACTGTATCATCAACCTTTACTTCCACCTCTCTCCCAACCTTTACTTCCAACTCTCTCCCCAGGTGCTCGTCGACCCACATGAACTCGCACTCTGACGCTTTTCCAGGCGCTGGGGAAGTTGAGAGTTTGACAGGCCGGTGCATGCACAGGATGAAGGGAAGGCAGAGCTACCCGCTTAACTTGTGAACTACGTGCTCTGGCAGCAAGGCCACGGTTGATAGAGATGCATAAGCGCCAGTGCCTGGGCGGTGAGCGCCGAAGGCGTGTCCCTTGGCGCCTCCATTCGTCCATCTTGCCAACATATCAACAGGTTCTGGTTGCGAACAGCAATGTCTACTACTCTGCCTGATCATGATCCTCCGTCCAGCTCCATTCCTCCTTTAGACGGCAAAAGGGGTCCACGTTCAGCAGCGAAAGCAGGAAAGTCAACAGAAAGGATGGGTCCTGGCTATGGTGCGCACTATTCCGAAAACTTCAACTCTTAGTTCAGTGGCATAATTTATTTATGCAGTATATTATCGTCTATACACTAAACTCGGTGCATTCGAATCAAATCACGCCCTCTACCACGACGACCGTTTCATTGGCCGCATTCCCTCGAAATCTTTTGCCCCTCCTCACACCGTGGCGTCTATCAAATGGTCCTTGTGCAAACTTGAGGGTCTTGCGGAGCCCGACAAGGCGCTTCTCTTCACATCGCTCTCAAGCCCAGCACCTAAGGAAGACACTGCCCGCCTTTCCTTGTACGCTTCTTCTGGGCCAGGCCTGTCTGAGCAAGATCCGATCGTGTTGGTGGTCGAGTCGGAGAAGAGGATCAAGAAGGTCTCGCAGTCGCAGAAGCCTCCGAAACGCTCTGATGATATTGATACCCACTATGGCAAGTCTTGTCGGCGTCTCCTACCCAAATAGTGCACTCATCAGGATTGTAGTATACTATCGCGTCTACTCATCAGAAGGAGGAGATAAAAAGTCAAAGACGTCCTTTGACAAAAGTGATATTTCGTTAGGACGCATCAACACCCTCTTCGTTGCTCCCCCTCACACCGCTGGGTCTCTGAAAGCATGCATCGCAAAAGTTGAAGGCCTCGCCACGCCGGGTCATGCACTTTACAAGGACATGGAACTCTTCCAAGACGTGAACAGTGACGCTACTATGAGCGACGTGAATGTCATATCCTTCCTAGGTGACACTTATCCTGGTAGCGATCGAGGTGATCCCATAGCCCTTGTCAATGCATACGGTAACGTTTTCAGTCAGTATCAACAATGCTAAGCATCAGCAAACCATTTTCTTTCAGATGGGACAGAATCAAAAATCACGAAACGAGGTTAGTTAATTTATACCCATGCTGAGGAAGAGGTTCTGAAGTGCCCGCCACTACCTCAGAGGTACCTGCCGACACTGTTGTTGAGGAAGCCCCCGAGGCGGCTGCTACTGAAGAGGCCAAGCCTGTTTGTTTATTTTGTTTTGTTTTTTATTCTCACTAAGTTTTTTTATTCTTCTAGGCTAATGCTGAGCTGAAGAAGGACAGGCCCAAGAGTCCTGGCCTGCTGTCCAAGCTCTTGAGCCCTTTCAAGGGTGACAAAAAGTCCAAGGGTTCCAAGAGCCCCAAGAAGGAGAAGAAGAAGAAAGAGGTTTTCTTTTTTTCTTTTCCTCTTTACTTTCAGTCGTTGAACTCTCTTTTAGGCTGCCCCAGCTGCTAAGGAGCTTGCTGCTACTGAGGCACTGATCATCCCAGAGGTTGCAGAGCCTGACAAGAACGAGGAGCCAGCTGCACTGGCAGTGGCTTTCGAAGAAGTGTGACTCAAAAGTGACAACGTCCTCGCAGTTACCGTCCTCCATAACTTCGGATTATTCTTTTACTGACATTTGGTTCCCTTTACTCACATGTCCCCCCTTATTTCATATTCATTCCTCCCCGTGATACGTACGTCGCACGCGTCCTAATGTAATACGTGCCTTTAGTTACTCATAGATAGCTTACATCTACATACCAGCACCTCAATCATTTGGTGTCTCCGTGCAAACACTGAATACGAGCAAACATGCCAGAGTCCACAAGTATGAGGTAACTTCCCCATCCACCCGTTGAGAGACGTAGATCACGTCGGGCTTCCCAGTCGCGTCAAGGTCTTCTTCCGAGGGGGCTTCAGGAGGAAAGGATGGGGGCGGCAGTGGAAGCGGGTTGGAGGAAGAACTTGGGTTAAGGGAAGAGGGGGTAGGAGCAAAGGAGGAACGAAGATGTTTTGTCGCCAGTACACGAAAGACGACAGACCGAATTCGGCGAAGAACAGTAATGGCCCGTGAATTCGAATCAAGTGCCAAAGTGGACGCGTTGAGACCACTAAGTTGAGCAGTTCCACAACCTTCTTTTCCCTCTCTCGCATATTTTTCTCCCTCCGCAGGCTCAACCGCCTCCTCACGCTGCCCAAGAGCGTCGTCACGATACCCAACAGCCCTCTGCAGCCCTTTAGCCTCTCATCCGTTCCCTCAATCTTCTCTTGTCTAGCCACCAGTCCGAGTTCACGCTGGCTCAGCGCTTTTTGGCGGTTCTGAGCGCTATCCGGAGGCGGGTCAAGTTTGAGTTTGAGTCATTTGAGGCGAGGGGGTGAGGTTTGAGTCTATGGGGGTCGATATATCGCCGTGACCAGAGTCTTGGACTTGTTTCTATTTGGCAGGTCCATGATGTGAAGGTGGGCCAACGTCGAATCTGGTTATAAGTCCAGTTTCTTCTCGTCTCCCTCAACTCTTGTGTCTTTCTTCTTCTTCTCGTTGTTGTCCTTCCCCTTAATGCTTTTCTCCTTGCCTTTCTCCTCGACGGCTTCCTCCTTCCCTTCCCCTTTCCCCTCGTCTTCGTCTTTCTCCTCCCCACCGGCTTCATCAACCTTCTCTTCACCCTTCATACCACCACCACCATGACGTGAACATCCTGCCTTGATCTGGACAGCTGGTGGAAGGAGCCCTATATGGACGAGGTGGGAAAGGGCCTGGACAAGGATGGTAAGAACCCGAATGGGAAGCACAAGGAGACTTCCTGAGCTTACGTCGTCGCTCCGAAGGAATGATTCCTCTGGCTGATTTGTCTGAAGGCTAAATGAGAAGCCTCTGGTACCGATAAACGCTTTCGCTTGGGAAAATTTGTCCTCTTGAGATCCTCCCTATCTGTTTGATGGGACTTTGGCATGGGGCGAAACACAACTGATATCTGGAATGTCGGCGATAAGGTTACGCCAATAAACAAGACCTGGTACATACCATGATTTGCAAGTTCAAGAAGGTACTCGTCGGGCAGCCGTTCTTTGCCCTCCCCCAATGATCCATCAACAAAGGTATGAGCCAAACATCAGGCACGAGAGTATTGAGTTTAGTGTCCTCTTCTAATAGAGTCACTCCCCTGAGGCTCCGCGAACGTGTGAAGTAACGCCATTCCTCGCAGTTGTCGAACGCCAAAATCGTAGTATAGACTGACCCATCCCACGACATGCTGAATTATCGGAGCACTTAGCAGTGTTGCACCGCAACCAGCTAGCGAGCTTCATCGTTGATCTAATGCCTAAACATTCGTGAGGGGTGAAAGTCCGATGATGATGTAAAATACGCACATAAGTATGGTCCTTTGAGATCAGGGGAATAGATGAGGATAAATTCGGACGAAGCCATGGGGGACGTGTCCAGCTGAAACTTCGCCGTCATGACGTTGCGAAAATCTTTTCGCCGTGGACCTTTTGAGGCGGTATGTTTTGGGAGGCAGAAGCCAGGCATAAAAGTAAAGAATACCTGTGGCGTGGTAGTATAAGGATTTCGGCGACCGCGTTATCAGATAGTAAGCACTTGCAAGGATGAGGGCCATTGGGGGATCCTTTGTTGGTCGGATGGAAGATGATCGATGTCGATGAGCGTGCACTGGAATTGATGACAGAAGTTTGAGCCCACAACTTCCACCTTTCCTCATTACCTCTCTATTTCTCCCAGTGCACCACCAGAACAGACCAGAACTGTACCATCATCCTTGATTTCCACCTCACTCCTCATATAATTGTGGCTTCTCATGAACTCGCGACGCTCTTCTTTCCAGGCACAAAGATGAGCTGGTGCATGCCCACGCTGGATGGAGGAAGGGCGGAGCTACTCGGTTGACGGAGAACATCTTACGCGCTCTGGCAAGAAGGCGACGATTGGCGCATAAGCGCCTGTGCCTCGTGGATGGGTATGTGTCCGATAACTCTCCTTCAATCGTCCATCTTGCTGATACTTCAACAGGTTCTAGTGATGTCTACTCTGCCTCGGCATGATCATACGTCCGATTCGACTCCCTCTTTAGACGGCAAAGGGGGTACAGATCCAGCAGCGAAAGGACGAAAGTCAACGAAAAGGACGGGTCCTAGCTATGGTGCGCCGCTCTCCCGAGAACTCTACTGCTGGCCTAATTTATTCATGCAGTATATTACCGTCTATATACCAAACTCGGTGCATTTGAATCAAATCACGCACTCTACCACAACGACCGTTTCATTGGTCGCGTTCCATCGAATTATTTTGCTCCTCCTCATACCGTGGCTTCTATCAAGCGGTCCCTGTGCAAAATCGAGGGCCTCTCTGAGCCCGACAAGGCGCTTGTTTTCACACCGCTCTCAAGCCCAACACCTAAAGAAGACTCTGCCCGCATCCCTTTGTATGCTCCTTCTGGCCCAGGCCTGTCTGAACAAGATCCAATAGTGTTGGTTGTCGAGTCGGAGAAGAGGACAGAGGAGGTGTCGCAATCGGAGAAGCTCCCGGAACGCTCTGATGATACCGATATCCATTACGGCAAGTCTTATTGACGTCTCCTACACAAACTTCAGTGCACTCATCAACTTTGCAGTATACTATCGCGTCTACTTATCAGAGGGAAAAAGGGATGAAAAGACGAAGACATCCTTTGACGAAAGCGATATTTCGTTAGGACGCATCAACACCCTCTTCATAGCTCCCCCTCACACTGCCGGGTCTTTGAAAGCACATATCGCGCAAGTCGAAGGCTTGGTCACGCCGGGTCATGCACTCTACGTGGAAATGGAACTCTTTCAAGACATGAATAGTGATGCTGCTATGAGCGACACCGATGTCATATCCTTTCAAGGTGACACTCATCCGGGTAGTGATGAAGGCGATCCCATAGCCCTTGTCAATGCAACCTCTACATCAGGTAAAGGTCTCAGTGAATATTCATCAGACACTGCGGCAACAAACCATGCTCTTTCAGATGGACTAGATTCAAAATTCACGAAATACGCTCGGGCAATAGCGGATATCGGCGAGTGACAGTTTCTTGGGTAACGTTGGGGTAACGCGATTCTCATCCTATAGTATCTCACCACAGACTACAATGACCCCACCTGGGTATCAATGAAGAGAGATGAGATTGTTCACACAGATGGAGTTATCATCACCACCAATCACCGTATTGCAGGTATTTCTTTCCCTTTCTGCTACTAGAGTTGTCACCCGTTTGTTGACGCATTGTTGGAACAGGGGTTTGTACAGGATACATGGTAATCAATTCTGAGGGTAAAAAAGGCTGTGAGTGCCAGCCAATTTGCCTTCGGGTTACTAGATGTTATTAATTTTCTTTGGCAGTTGTCCAAACGGGTGAGTGGTCTCCGGAGTCCCTCTGTCGGGGTATTTGATATCCACCGTTTTGCTAGGTCATATTGCTTTTGATTTGGTGAACATCGGAGACAGTGTATACTTTTTGGCTGGGGTAGGACTTGGGCTCAGAAGGGGGTGATGTATCGGTACCGTGAATAGATCTGTTGTTATTCAAATGAAGAAGCGAGGGACTGATCACAACAGGCAACTGCCGACTGTTAAAGCTTTCCAGTCCTTCAGAAATTTCAGAGATATTTACACGAGCAAAACCCAAAACTCCACGTGTTCATTCATCCAGATCGTAAAAAGTCGTATAAACTTGAAGGTCATAAACCTGGAACGAAATCCGAAGAAGATCTCCCACCAAGGCCCAAATGGACCAATCAAGCAGCAAGCTCAAGGTCAACACTACCTTCTGCTGCTCCTCGCCAACCAGCTCTACATCCCAACCCCGGTCAACCTCCTCACAAGCACCTTCAACACAGCGGCACACACGCTAATGTCCACAAGCACGGGGACGCGTGTGTTGTTGGCCTGGACCACCGACGCCTAATGGGATCGGTCACATTGCACCGAATGGGGGCACGGAAACGGAAGTTCCCGTTGGGGTGAAGATAAAGGTAAAGGTGCATGGTGGCATCCAAGCTCGTACAGTCCTGCTGTATCATGCAATTGAAGCCGGGCGAACGGAGTGTGGAAGCGTTGAATGGCGACCCAGAATGCATAGAAACGAAGGGCGAATCCGGGCCTGTTAATGGGAACGGTGACACAGTAGTAGAAACAAACGGAGACCCCGCAAGTATAAACAGAGAGCGCGAGTCAGAGCCGGTATGGACAGGCGTAAGCGTATGGCAGGAGACGAGCTTGGTGGGTTGATTTCTTCTCCTTCCGTCCGTGTGTCCAACTCTTCCATCTGATTTCCACTAGGACCACGAGCACCACCAGCAGAGGACGAGAATAGATCATGTACTGTCTCCCGCAAGGGAAGAGTGCGCTGAGTCTTGTTGGGTCAATGCGAACAGGACGCGGGATGTCGTTGATCTTTGTCGGAGAATAAGACGTTGGGTTTGTTGGCTCTTATTCGGTGAGCTCAAACTTTTTCCTTTTCTCTCCTGATCGTTGAGTTCGTCGTTGTCATCCTCTGAGCTCGAGGATCGTTCAAGGGATGTCATCATGCCTGTCACTGTCCCATTCAATTCCATTGGAGGTAGAATCGAAGTTGGTGGTCCTGCTCCTCCCCGCATCAACGCTAAAAGAGTTGGAAGAGGAACCGACATATCGTGGAGAATGACTGGGCGGTGACTCGAACCCCAATATCCGGCCTTGTAGGGTGTTTTGAAGCAGTGAACGGATGCGGAGAGGAGGTAGGTGTGGTGAAAGGCATGGTGTGGTGTTATGAAGCGAATTCGGCGACCCTTATCAGATAGGAAGTACATGAGGTCTATTGGGAGCCGTGTTACGATCTTTGTTAGCGGATAGAATCAGAGTGTGCACTGTAATTGAAATCAGAGGTTTGAGAGTTTGTCCAAGTATTCCGAGACCTGTACTCCTCAACGACCAACCACGCTATTCCTCCAAGAGCACCAGTGGCAACCACTAGAACTGTATCGTCGACCTATACTTCCTCTTCCTCCCATATGATATTGGTGGCTTTTCATGAACTCGCGCTCTTCATACTTCAGGTTTTCCAGGAACCGGGGACGCTGGGTCAGTGCATGCGCACGCTGGATGAATGGAAGGCCGAGCTATTGGTTCAACTTGAGAACATCCTACGTGCTCTGGCAGCCCGGTTGATGCATAAGCGCCAATGCCTCGTGGATGGGTCACGGTACATGATGGAGGCTTGTCCGAGAACTATTTCCTTCGATTGTCCATCTTGCTAATCTTTCAACAGGTTCTGGTTGGAAACAACGATGTCTTCTTTGCCTAGTCATGATCATACGTCTAGTTCCACTCCCTCTTTAGACGGCAAAGGGGGTACAGATTCAGCTGCTAAAGCAGGAAAGACTGGAAAGTCAACAAAAAGGACGGGTTCTAGCTATGGTGCGCCCTATCCCGAAGACTCGACTCCTGGTTTCAATTGTCTAATCTACTCATGCAGTATATTACCGTCTATACACCAAAGTAGGTGCATTTGAAGCAAAACACGCCCTCTACAGCAACGACCGTTTCATCGGCCGCATTCCGTCGAAATTGTTTGCCCCTCCTCATACGGTGGCGTCTATCAAGCTGTCCTTGTGCAAGCTTGAGGACCTTTTGGAGCCCAACAAGGCCCTTGTCTTCACACCGCTCTCAAGCCCAGCACCCAAAGAAGACTCTGCCCGCCTCTCCTTGTACGCTCCTTCTGGGCCAGGCCTATCCGAACAAGATCCGATCGCGTTGGTTGTCGAGTCGGAGAAGAGGACCGAGGAGGTCTCACAGTCGGAGAAGCTGCCGGAACGCTCTGATGATATCGATATCAAATACGGCAGGTCTTGTCGATGTCTTCTACCCAAATAGTGCACTCATCACCTTTGCAGTATACTATCGCGTTTACTCAATAGAGGGAAAAGGAGAGGAAAAGGCAAAGACGACCTTTGACGAAAGTGATATTTCGTTAGGACGCATCAACACCCTCTCCATCGCGCCCCCTCACACCACTGGGTCTTTGAAAGCATGCATTGCAAAAGTTGAAGGCCTCGTCATGCCGGGTCATGCACTTTACAAGGACATGGAACTCTTCGAGGACATGAATAGCGACGCTGCCATGAGCGACACCAATGTCATATCCTTCCAAGGTGACACTTATCCGGGTAGCGATGAAGGCGATCCAGTTGCCTTTGTCAATGCAACAGCCAATACAGCACTGGAACAAAAGGCTAAATCTACACCAGGTAAAGTTTTCAGTCAATGTCCACTAGGCACTGTAGCAACAAACCGTGCTCTTTCAGATGAACCAGATTCAAAATTCACAAACCGCGCTCGATTAAACAAGACTGAAAGTGAGTAACAGTCCCTGAGATAATCTGCTTCTCATCCTATAGTATCCAACCGCAGATTGCAGTAAAGACAATCCCAACTGGCTATCAATAAACAAAGATGAGATTGTTTACACTGATGGGGTCATCCTCAACATGAAGTATATCCACAGTATTTCTTTCCTTTTTTGCTTTGCCACCAATTTGTTGACACTCCGTCCACAGTGTCTTTTCCAGGATACATGGTGATAAATTCCAAGGGTAAAAAAGGCTGTGAGTCTCCAATTTGCCTTTGAGTCACTAGGTGGTTGTTAATTTTCTTTGGCAGTTGTGGATCGGAGTGAGTGGTTACCTCCCTCTTTCGGGGTACCATTTGATATCCACTGTTTGCTAGATAGAGTTGTTTTTATTTGACTGGTGAACATAGGAGAGGGTGTATGCTTTCGAAATGGGATATGACAGGACTTAGGCTCAGAAGAAGTTAAGGTAGTAGCACCGTAGATCTTTAAGATGTCACTCAAGAAACGAGGACTCAATGATCATGAAAGTTGAAGCGGACATCGCAACTTGCAGTTAGCTTGATACAGAGGGTATAAGACTATACTATATCAGAGATTTATACTACTAACAAAACCCAAAACTCTTCGATACGTGCGCGTTCATTTCCTCGTCAGAGTCGGTCAAATAAAGATTATGAGAAGTCGTAAAGATCATAAAAGTCACATTCCTGAAAAAATTATCTCCCAACGAGGCCCAAAATCGACTATTCAAGCAGCAGCTCAAGGTCAAGGCTACCTCCTGCTCCTCGTCAACCAACTACACATCCCAACCCCACACAAGCACGTTCCTGGTTGAGTGGGATGGTGGGAGAGAAGGAGGTCCGCCATTGCCGTCTTCATCCCTGGACAGTTGTGATGAAGCGGCGTCGCAGCTTCCTTCGGTTTCCGTCTCAATGTCTCCATTGGCGCCAGAGGTATCTCCCAAAGAGTCTGCACTGTTGCCCTCCCAGGCACATCACAAAACCCAAGCAACCCCATAATACCAACTCCAGCACTACGCCGCGGTCCAGGACGATAAATTCTGATCCTGTGTCCGTCGCTGTCGTCGCAACGCCCTCTCTCTTCCTTTCCCCACCCACAACAGCATTGGAGAAAGGGGGGTCCACGAGAAGTTGTCAGTTATGCGACAGGAGAGGAAGGGGACGTCCGTGTTGTTGGTCTGGACAACAACGCCCAACGGGATTGAAATTGAACTGGATGAGGTCCCGTTGCGAGGGCAGGTGAAGGTAGAGGCGCATGGCGGTATCCAAGCTCTGTATCAATTGAAGCTTGAAGTTGAGCGAATGGAGGGCCCGTGCCTGTGGAAGCGATTGGTGACCCAGGATGAGTAGAAAAGAATGGTAAACCCGTGCCTGTGGAAGGGAACGGCGACGAAGTAGAAACGAACGGAGACCCCGTAGGTAGTACCACTGGAGAGCGCGAGCCAGAGCCAGTATGGACAGGCGTAAGCAGGGGCGGATACTTGGTGGTGCGATTTGGTCGTTTCTTCTTCCGTCCGCGTGTCCGACTCTTCCCTCGTATTGGCACTAGCTAGAACCACGATCACTAGGAACAGAAAATGGTGTTCTTGCTCCTGCTCCCCACATCAACGTTGGGAGAGTTGAACAAAAAAATGTCGTCTTGTAGAGAATGAAAGTGGAAGTTCTGACGCCACTCGATAACTGGCCTTGTAGAGCGTTTTGATGCAGGGAGCGGGAGACGGAGAGGAGGATGGGTTGGTGGGCTTTAGATAGTTCGGACCTTTCGATTCAATCCAAATATTAGCACTAGATAGAGACAAAACCAAGGACAAGAACACGTACCCTCCACATCGCCCTCGTTCAACCTCAAAACGTCTTCCCGGTTACATGTTTCTGACGAACGCAATAATATCGCGTCACTTGGTCCGGAACCTCCCCAGCCACAGATCCGCTAAGTGTGGAGGAGAGGTAGGCAGATAGGACCATGTTTTGCCTTCCGGCTACTGCTGTCAGTGTCACGGTGGTCACATCGTCGCCTTGACGTCAACAACTTGTCTCAAACTGTCGACAACCTCCCTGTTGATTGAAGAGGCGCCTGTGTGCCTGTCTAGATAATGAACTCGAAAGGCCCACCACGTTGAACAGCCATGGATTTTTATGGGCATCAATACGCGTCATTCCCACAAGGAACTGGGGAAGTCGAGAGCTTGAGAGGCCAGTGCACGCGCACGATGGAAGACCGAGTTGTTCGTTCAACTTGAGAACATCCTACGTGCTCTGGCAGCCCGGTTGATGCGTAAGCGCCTATGCCTCGTGGATGGGTGCCTGATGGAGGCGTGTCCGAGAACTCTTTTCCTTGCTAAATATTTTAGTTGGGAACAGCGATGTCTACTCTGCCTGGTCGTAATCATATGTCGATTTCCACTCCCTCTTTGGACGGCAAAGGCTCTTTAGGCGGCAAAGGTTCTTTAGACGGGAAAGGGGGTACAGAGTCAGCAGCAGAAGCAGGAAATTCCACGAAAAGGACGGGTCCTAGCTATGGTGCGTCCCATTCCGAGAACTCGACTTCTAGCTTCAATGACCTTGCAATGACCTAATTTTACGCAGTATATTACCGTCTATACACCAAACTAGGTGCATTCGAATCAAATCACCCTCTCTACAACAACGACCGTTTCATTGGCCGCATTCCGTCGAAATCTTTTGCCCCTCCTCTTACCGTGGCGTCTATCAAGCGGTCCCTTTGTAAACTTGAGGACCTTTCGAAGCCCGACAAGGCGCTTCTCTTCACACCGCTCTCAAGCCCAGCACCCAAAGAAGATTCCGCCCGCCTCTCTCTGTACGGGCCTTCTGGTCCAGGCCTGTCGGAACAAGATCCGATCGCGTTGGTTGTCGAGTCGGAAAAGAGGACCGAGGAGGTCTCGCAGTTGGACAAGCTGCCGGAACGCTTTGAAGAGACCGAGATCCATTACGGCAAGTCTTGTCGATGTCTTCTACTAATAGTGCACTCATCAACTTTGCAGTTTATTATCGCGTTTACTTATCAGAGGGAAAAGGAGATGAAAAGGCAAAGACATCCTTTGACGAAAGCGATCTTTCGTTAGGACGCATCAACACCCTCTTCATTGCGCCCCCTCACACCGCTGGGTCTTTGAAAGCATGCATCGCAAAACTTGAAAGCCTCGTCACGTCGGGTCATGCGCTCTACAATGACATGGAACTCTTCGAGAACGTGAATAGTGACGCTGGGATGAGTGACACTGACATCATATCCTTCCAAGGTGACACTTATCCGGGTAGCGATGAAGGCGATCCCGTATCCCTTGTCAATGCAACCACCAATACAGCTGCAGACCAAAAGACTAAGCCTATACGAGGTAAAGTTCTTGGCAAATATCTACTAGCCATTGCGGCAACAAACCGTGCTTTTTCAGATGGACCAGATTCAAAATTCACGAAACGCGCTCGGTTGACTGGTACTGGCAGTGAGTAACAGTTCCTGAGATAATCCAATTCTCATCCTATCCCATTGCAGACTACCATAGCGGTAATTCCGCCTGGCTATTCATCATCAGAGATGAGATCGTTTACACGGATGGAGTTAGCATCTCCAAAAAATACTCCCCCAACAGCCGTATTTCTTTCCCTTTCTGCTTCATCACCAGTTTGTTGACGATTTGTTGTGACAGAGTTATATCCAGGATACATGGTCATCAATTCCAAGGGTGAAAAAGGCTGTGAGTCTCCAATTTGCCTTTGTGTTACTAGATGGTTATTGATTTTCTTTGGCAGTTGTGATGTCGAGTAAGTGGTCTCCTCCCTCTGTCGGAGTATTTGATATCCATCGTTTTGCTAGGGTATGTTCAATTCATCTGATTGGTGAATGTCGGAGAGAGTGTATGCTTTCGGAATGGGATGTCAGGACTTGGGCTTAGAAGAAGTTGATGTAGTACCAGTACCGTAGATCCTTAATATGTCACACAAGAACCGAGGACTCAGTACTCAGTGATCATGAAAAACGAAGGGTACATCGCAACTTGCAATTAGCTTCAGAAACTCGATACAGAAGGTATAAGATGTTAAAAGGTATATAGATCGCCTCGAGCTTCCCAGTCGCGTCAGGGGGGGGGGGGGGTGATAGTGGAAGGACTTGGGTTGGAGGAAGAACTTGGGTTAGAAGCGGAGGGAGGGCGAGAGCAAATGAGGAAGGAAGCCGTCTTGTCGCCCAATACACGAAAAACGACTGCCGGAAGAAGAGTTATGGGCCACTTGCATGAATCTGAACCAAGTGCCGAAGTAGACGCGTTGAGACTACCAAGTTGAGCAGTAGAACGCATTTTCATTTCGTCTTAAACCCGGTTAGGGTCGTTCTTCAAGCTAGGGTCCTCTCTGATCGAGCACCCGTTCTCGTTTGTCAATTCCTTGCTCTGGTTCCGCAATCTTCTCTTCGCCCCCTCGCACCTCTTTCTCCCTTTCCTCCACAGCCTCCTCACGCCGCCCCAGACCTCCCCACGATACCCAACACCCCCTAACACCACCTCGATCCTTTCCCGTCTAGCCACTAGTCGGAGCTCACGTTGGTCCTGCGCTTTTTGGCGGGTCGAGTGCTACCGGAGGGCAATCAAGTCTGAGTTTGAGTCGTTTGAGGCGAGGGGGGGTGAGGTCTGAGTCGTTGAAGGGGGTGAGGGAAGTATCGCCGGGACCAGGGTCTTGAGCATGTTTCTGTTCGGTAGGTCCATACTGTCGAGGTGGGTCAAGGTCGAATACGGTCTACAGGTCCGGTTTTCTCTCGTCTCCCTCGTGTCCTGCGTCTTTCTTCTTGTTGATCGATTTCTCCTTGCCTTTCTTCTCAATGACATCCTCCTCCCTTTTTCCTTTCTCTTCGCTTTCGTCTTTCTTCTCGATGAATTTACCCCTCACGCTAACACCACCAATCCCCGGTCCTAACAGCTGCAATGCCTCCGATTCCATTTGTACTTCCTCCAACACCGGCATCAGCGCCAGCAGACCGCGACGTAGTTATTAGTCGTGTGAGACGGTGGGAGAGAAGGAGGTCCACCATGGCCGTCCTCGTCCCTGGACAGTGGTGATGAAGCGGCGTCGCAGCTTCCTTCAATTTCCGTCTGAATGTCTCCATCGGCGCCAGAGGTATCTCCCGAACAGTCTGCACTCTCGCACTCCACACTTGAAGTATCCCTTGGAATTTCGTATCCATAGGCACGTCACAAACCCCACCCAAACCCCCAACGCCAACTCCAGCACTACGCCGCAGTCCAGGATGATAAATCACTGATGCTGTGTCCGTCACACGTCGCAACGCCCTCTCCTCCTTCCCCCACCCACAACAGCACTGGAAAGAGGGGGGTCCACGAGAGTTTATCCGTTCTGCAGCAGGAGAGGAGGGGGACGTCCATGTGGTTGGCCTGGGCAACAAGGCCCAACGGGATCGTAATTGCACCGGATGAGGAGGTCCCGTTGGGACGGAAGATGAAGGTAGAGGCGCATGGCGGTATCCAAACTCGTGCAGTCTTGCTGTATCAATTGGAGCTTGGGGGAATGGAGGGCCCGTGCCTGTGGAAGCGAATGGAGACCCAGGATGTGTAGAAACGAATGGTGAACCCGTGTCTGTGGAGGCAATGGGGCCACAGTATAACGAACGGAGACCCCGTAGGTAGTACCACTGGCGGGCGCGAGCCAGAGCAGTATAGACAAGCGTAAGCAGGGGCGGGTAAGGCAGGAGACAAGCTTGGTGGTGCGATTGTATCGTTTCTTCTTCCGTCCGTGTGTCCGACTCTTCCCTTAGGACCACGACACCAGCCAGCACCAGGGTAAGGAACAGAAAATTGGTGTTCCTGCTCCTGCTCCCCACATCCACGTTGGGAGAGTTGAACAAGGAGATGTCGTCTTGTGAAGAATGAACGGGGAAGTTATGGCGGGACTCGAAAGCTCGAACCTCCATATCTGGCCTCGGAGTCGTACGATGTTTGGACCTATATATTATTAGCACTAGGTAAAAACAACAAATGAGCAACACGTACCGCTCCAAATCATCGCCCTCGTTCAACCTCAAAACGTCTTCCCGTTATTTGTTTCTCCTTGACGAACGCAGTAATATAGTGTCACTTGCTCCGGAACCTCCCCAGCCCCAGCTCCGCGGAGTGTGGAGGATAGGTGTGTTGGTGACCATGTTTTGGGATCTGGAAATTCGAGGGTGGGCGCGTTTGAAAGGTGCTGTCACGCTCCCATCGTCGTCACGCCGTGACGTCAATTTGTCTTGAACTCAAACTGTCGACAACCTCCCTGACTGAAAAGGCGCCTGTGTGCCTGTCTGGATACTTAACGAACATCATTCGAAAGGCCCACCACATTGAACAGCCATGGATTTTTATGGGCATCAGTACGCGTCATTCCCGCACTCCAACGTGCTTTCTGAATTTTGCACCTTCGAAATTCCGAACTTCAGTCTTCAATAGCTCAGCACTGAAGCGCGCTGTTGACGAATTAGATTATGTATGTTACGACATGGGTCCTTTTCAAATGGACAGGCAAGTGGTCGAAGGTATTCACGACACGTAAGTTTCCCCTCATTTTTTTCCCTGCGTATATTTACGTGCACGCTATCTTGAAGTTGCCAGGCGCGGCGTATAATACCCAGAACTCACTGTAGAATCCAGGAATTATCCAATCCTCTCCCGACATCCCACGCCGGCTGAACAACTTACAAGTCAGAGCCCGCCAACTTTGAAAATCATCACATAACCCATGCGTCGCGTTGAAAGCGGCCTACTTTCTTGCATTGGTTCCGAATCTTTTGAGCTCGAGAATTCCACCAGATCTTACTGGAGTTTTGAAGACCAACCACAGGGCCGCTCCTGTACGCTTCCTTTCAACTACTTACTAATATTGTCGCCTCATCTAAAGTAGGTTTCGCACAGTGCTAATCCAAAGGAAGACCTGTAAGTTATCTTTGAACTCGGCATAGAAAGATTTAACCCAAGAAACACCTTCGATTCACGAATCACGACTGGTAACTTAATGGTGATTCCAATCTGCGACGTGCTTCCGATTCTCTAGTTGCATGTCTTGACCTTGTCTGTCCACGGTCTAATCAAGCCCACACCTTGACAGGACTCCATTCGCTCACGCTTCGCACGTATCACCGAGTGCTAGTACGCTGCCCCGGCAAGACCTCTTTTGAGAGATAGATGAAGTTAGATATAGCTTATGGAGATAACGGGCGAACCACGCTCGAGTATGGCTGGGGGATCGTGTCATGAAGCGATTTCGGCGACCCGTATCAGATAGTAAGTACTTGCGAGGATGAGGTCTCTTGAAAGCCGTGTTACGATCTTTGGTGGTCAGATAGAATCTGAGCGTGCACTGGAATTGAAAACAGAGGTTTGAGAGTTTATCCAAGTACATATTCGGTGTTTTCAAACTGTATCCCTCAACGACCAACCACGCTATTCCTCCATGAGCACCACCAGAACTGTATCATCGACCTATACTTCCACTTCCCCCCATATCATATTGGTGGCTTTTCATGAACTCGCACTCTTCGTGCTTTTCCGGGACTGGGGAAGCTGAGCTTGTGAGGCCAATGCATGCGCACGCTGGATGGATGGAAGGCCGAGCTATTGGTTCAACTTGAGAACATCCTACGTGCTCTGGCAGCCCGGTTGATGCATAAGCGCCAATGCCTCGTGGATAGGTGCCTGATGGAGGCGTGTCTGAGCGGCGAGAACTCTTTTCTTCGATTGTCCTGGTTCATCTTGCTGATATCTCAACAGGTTCTGGTTGGAAACAGCAATGTCTGCTCTGCCTGGTCGTGATCATACTGTGTTCGGTTACACTCCCTCTTTAGACGGCAAAGGCTCTTTTGACGGCAAAGGCTCAAGTTTAGACGGCAAAGGGGGGACAGAGTCAGCAGCAAAAGCAGGCAAAAGGATGGGTCCTAACTATGGTGCGTCCTATCCCGAAAACTCGAGTCCTGGCTTCAATGACCTAATTTCATGCAGTATATTACCGTCTATACACCAAACTAGGCGCATTCGAATCAAATCACCCTCTCTACAACAACGACCGTTTCATTGGCCGCGTTCCGTCGAAATCTTTTGCACCTCCTCTTACCGTGGCGTCTATCAAGCGGTCCTTGTGTAAACTTGAGGACCTTTCGAAGCCCGACAAGGCGCTTGTGTTCACACCGCTCTCAAGCCCAGCACCCAAAGAAGATTCTGCCCGCCTCTCTCTGTACGGTCCGTCAGGGCCAGGCCTGACCGAACAAGATCCGATCGCGTTGGTTGTCGAGTCGGAAAAGAGGACCGAGGAAGTCTTGCAGTTGGAGAAGCTGCCGGAACGCTCTGATGATACCGAGATCCATTACGGCAAGTCTTCAAGTTGTTGAAGTCTCCTACTCAAGTAGTGCACTCATCAGCTATGCAGTATACTATCGCGTTTACTTATCGGAGGGAAAAGGAGATGAAAAGGCAAAGACCTCCTTTGACGAAAGCGATGTTTCGCTAGGACGCATCAACACCCTCTTCATTGCGCCCCCTCACACCGCTGGGTCTTTGAAAGCATGCATCGCAAAAGCTGAAGGCCTAGTCACCCCGGGTCATGCATCCTACAAGGACATGGAACTCTTCCAAGACGTGAATAGTGAAGCTGCGATGAGTGACACCGACATCATATCCTTCCAAGGTGACACTTATCCGGGTAGCGATGAAGGCGATCCCGTAGCCCTTGTCAATGCAACCGCCGATACAGCAGCAGACCAAAAGGCTAAACCTACGCTACGTAAAGTTCTCAGTGAATATCCACCAAAAACTGCAGCAACAAAGCGTGCTCGTTCAGATGGACAAAATTCGAAATTCACAAAATGCGCTCAAGTAAAGTATACTTGCGGTGAGTAACAGTTCCTGAGATAATCCGATTCTCATACTACACTATCCCACCAAAGGCGAAGAAAGAGACAAACCCACCTGGCTATCAATAAAGACGGGTGAGATCGTCTACACGGATGGAGTTATCGTCTCTGTGAAAGACTATCGTGGTGGTATTTCTTTTCTTTTCTGCAAAGTTGTTACCAGTTTGTTGATGGTTCCTCGTAACAGTGTCTTATTCAGGATACATGGCAATTGATTCCAAGGGTGAAAAAGGCTGTGAGTCTCCCATTTGCCTTTGGGTTACCCAGTGGTTGTTGATTTCTTTTTGGCAGTTGTGATAGCAAGTGAGTGCCTCCTCCCTCTGGTGAAAGTATCTGATATCCATCATTTTGCAAGGTTTTGTTAATTTGATTTGATTGATCAACATTGGGGAGGGTGTGTGCTTTCGGAGGAATGTGTTGGAATTTTGGGATCTGTGTGAGCATGCACAATGCACCTGATCTTCGGATTTTAGGTACATTCCTTACATTTGATTGTTTCCTTGCTTTCCTTTTGTAGCCTACTGTATATATACCACATACTGCTGTTATTCATCTGTTTGTCTCTGCAACCTACAGAGACAACTTGTAGACAACCAGAATCTTATCCCTGGAAAACCCCATGAGGTGTAATCTTTAAGCCACTTGCCTGTCCATTTGAAAGGGAGCAATGACATACATAATCTATTTCATCAACGGTGCGAGTGATTGAAGTTCGCAGTTTTGTTTAGGAAGTGTGTTTAATTCAAGCGGCCAAATGGCAGCTTTTGCCACCATCCGTTGCTGAACGCATCACGTCAAGTTATATAAGCGGCACGAGTTCGATTCTCGTCGGGTGTATGTATTAACGGCCAAGCCTTTTTACTATCTGTTTATGACACCCAATACCTTGCTAGCGCACAGCTGATTCACAAGGATCTTCGCTCATAGAATTGGGAGCATTCGGCTCATTGTGATTATTCACGACCCCCGCGCTTATAGTCCCAGTAGTGCCATTGTCTGTAGCTGATATTTTGTAGCACCTTAGAAGAAAACGCACACGTAGCACGTCCAATTATAGAAAGAGCATGTAGTCATGTACCTTATTGTGTCGGGTGTAAAACTTTTTATTATGTGACAGACCCATCCCAGACGCTCAGTCAGGTCGTCGACACTCAATTGGGTTCAAGCTGGGTTCAAGATGCGGTCCTTCTTTCTACAATCCCTCTTTCAGCGTGCCTCCACAATGTCATTCCACTTCAACAACTCACTCAGCCTCCTCTCCCATGCCCCATCCGCGGACCCATCGATCCAAACTCTTGAACCCATCTGCGATAGCCTGTGCTTCAGGCGAGAGAGGTGTCTCGGAGTCCTTATCATGACTGCGGGGGGCATTCCCATTCCCATCCCCATCGGTCTGCGTGGTGGAGGTGTACTAGAGTCTGAATTAGCTGGAGGCTCAGTTGCACCATGCATAGAGTGATGGCCAGCAGCAGGATAAAACCCCCATCAAAGGAGGTCGTCGAAGAGGGCACAAAACGAGCCATTTCGCGACTGAGTTTGGTGGGACATCCATCGGTCAAATAGGCCGCCGCTACGTGAGTCTGGAAGCCAGCCAACAATAGAATCGTCGACCTCAACGTGAGGTTGTGTGGTGGCCTCTGGTCCAATGCCAACCCTTTCATTGAACATGTCCGCGATCCGCGGCGTCACAGATGGAGACGATAAAAAAACTTCGTGAGTGCACTGGTGGTATACCGGGTCCAGGTACGCGATAATGTCATTTTCACTTCCGCCGAAATCCGTAATCACAACTTTCTTCAATTGAGGAGAGCGTTCTACAAAGTCTGAGAATGCCCCACACTCGCGTGAGATGGAGCCATCAATGGATGATTGCAGAATATTAAGGTAGTGGAGAGCCGGGGTATCAAAATGTTGCAGAAGGTCACCCACATCCTCATGCACCGTCACCACCAACGTGCGGAGGTTGGGTAGGGTTGTCAACGGATCGAGGACAAAGGTCGAGGGAGGTTCAGCATCAGTGGGCATAATACTCTCAAGTTGGACTTCTACGGCCTCTCGACAATGTCCCAGAAGGAAGATGGATGACGCCAAGCTGGGTAGTCCGCTCACATAAACATGAGTCAACCTATGCCATCGAACGACCATGAGGGAACTTGGCGTTCGAGATGTCATGAAGGAAACCCGACGAAGGCCACTGATTGTAGACATCTTGTAGGGAAATGCTTCAGTTACCGCCTGCCCACAACCGATTACGTCGGCTTTGATGGAAATGAGTTGAGGGAAGGTGTTACTTGACAGTTCGAGAAACTGAGCGGCAAGTTTTTCGTTAAAGACGATGCTGACGTGCTCCCAGCGATGAGTGTGGCTGAGAAATGTAGAAAGTATGGTGGAAACAAACTCAGGACGGGGTGTTTCCCGAGATCCGAGTAAATGGAAAGATAGAGGGGAAGTATGCGAACGCTCCAGCCACAATAGGAGCAAGGAAATCTGGTGCAACTGAGTGATTCGCGCTGTTGAAATGGAGGACCAGAGGCTGGGCATGGATAATGCGGTCTGCCTCCAACGACTGCAGACTTGACATAGGAGCATCGGGGCGCTCCGTGGTTCGGGTTTGATAAACAGGTGATGTTGGGATTCTCCACCGCTCAAAAGACATGCAAGGAAGACTTCGCCAAGGATCTCGACTGGAAGAAGGTTGATGGGCGAAGTTGCAACGGGGGGAAGAACTGGATCGTGTGTGCCCGTACTTCCGTCAGGTTCTGCTTCGCCACATTCTTCATCGCTCCACCCGCCTACACAGGGACGCCAGAAAGATAAGACTCTGGTCTTGAGGCATGAGAAGCCATGCTTCAGTCGAGAGATACGGCGACGAATGGTCATCGAAGAGCAGCTACCGTGATCCATCTGACTCCTGAGGGATGCTACTAGAAGTGGGGACGTCCCGCGGAACACTGATATTGTGGGCGAGCTGCTAGTCGAATTCAGGATCGTGAAAAGGCACGTTTCACGACGACTACCCTTTTGTGCTCACCATGGAACGTCACTTCGAACACGCCAGTGATTGTGGCGTTCAATAAACCGTTATACAGTAAGTTCTAAAGAAATTGGGCTCAGTTCAATGCATGGAGTAGGAAATTTAACGTACCGTGCTCCCTGAAAGATAGAACTTCGACCTGGACCCCCTTCCCTGCCGCCAACCTGTCCCCTTTTTGTTGTGCATACCAAGCCAGGGTGATCAAGTACTCTGCCACCAATGCCCCAGGCCTCTAGCAATCTCGGAGTAAAAATCCCAATAACAATAGTCTGTTATCGGCGATCATGCGAACTTCCCCACTTATTCCCCAAGAACGAACACCAGATTCGTGAGACAACATGGAAGTGCCAAGTATGGGGATTTAGACAACGGGCCCGGAGTGCAGAGGAATTTTCAGGAGCGTTGCAGTGACCAGTTTAGGAGAGCGAGATGACTAAGGCGCTTGTTTACCAGGGGTGGCCAATCTAAACTTTCTTCATCGCCCACAAAGCCCGATACTTTGTGCGTAGGCCATCCGTGGCTACATATAGGCAATCTATACTCACTGTCAACGCGTTTGAGTCGACCGTGCTCTATGTTGGAGCGCGGAAATTTCAAGGAGGTGCGGCATTCTGACATTCAGAACTATTTATCTTCAGACTTGAACATGGTTTTTCGTTTTACATACTCAGATGGTGCTCATGCGAAGCAAAGGCCTTTTTTTCAAACGTAAATTAGAGAACGTTCCAACTCTCGCGACGGGGAAAACGACAGTTCCAACCGCCGCACCTCCTCATCAAAAATGCCGTGTCTGCTCCTGAGTCCTTCAAGGCAACGGATAAATATACTCCGACTCGAGGTCAACCACAGTTCTTGGGTATGTATGAATCTTCATAACCCCTTACATATTCTTTTTTTCGATGTTTCCTATCCCTATACTAGTCCATTGACGCCCAAATGCCAGGGTTAAAACGCCGGTTTTATTAATACAACAGGACTTCGGAGCCGCCATCCTGCCAACGACACAACCGCCCCCTTTCGTGAGTCACCTCTCATTATGGCGTTCCGCACCATCACGAATGCTTCGCAGACCTCCACGGCCGCTGGCAGCTTGTCGAAGAAGGATGACGTCCAAGTTTCAGATCTCCCAACGGACTCGATATCCAAAGTATCGTTCTCGAGTCAGGCGGATTATATGGCTGTAGCAAGTTGGGACAACAGTGTTCGGATATACGAAGTCGGGGTTCAGGAAAGCTTCCAAACTCAAGTAAAAGGAGGCTATCACCACCAAGGACCTGTCCTCGACGTATGCTGGAGTACAGTGAGTTCAAGCCTACTCAAACGTGCGTCACGCCAGCTTATTATGAGTACTAAACCCAGGACGGAACAAAACTCTTTTCGGGAGGTGTAGACAACGCGGGTCGGATGTACGACCTAATTACCAGCCAAACCACCCAAGTCGCACAGCACGACGCAGCCATCAAGAGTGTTGGGTGGGTAGACACTCCTCAGGGTGGTATTTTGGTGACTGGGAGCTGGGACAAAACTATCAAAGTACGTGGGTCGACGCGCTTTGCCGGTTTTCGAATTCAAAGCCCACTTACCGGGACTTTTTTTTCTTTTTTTTTCCTCTTGCATAGTATTGGGACTTGCGAACGCCGAATCCGGTGGTTACGGTGCAGTTGCCGGAACGGTGTTATTCGTTTGATATGGATTACCCGCTCATGGTTGTTGGGACTGCCGGACGACATGTTCAAATTTTTGATTTGACGAATCCGGGTACGCCTCACAAGGTTGGTGGGGTTTGATATAGCTCGGAATAACAACTAATGTGAAGGTGTTCATTTATTTTATTATAGACGATGACATCGCCTTTGAAATGGGAAACTCGCGTAATTTCGTGTATCAAGGCCTCGGGGAGAAAAGGGTTCGCTATCGGGAGTTTGGAAGGAAGGGTTGCGATTCAGTGAGTACTGTTTATTGTCGCCATCTCCTATCAGTATTCCTAACGTTTTGAAGTCACGTCGAGGAAAAAGACTCTGCGTGAGTCAGAAAAAGCCATCCCTCCAAATGTTGCACAGTCATAATTTTCTGTCATGTTAGACACAACTTCTCATTCAGATGTCACCGACGAGATCTAGTCCCCAACTCGAAGGACCAATCATTGATATACGCCATCAACGACATTTCATACCACCCTATACACGGAACAGTCTCTACATGTGGTCAGTTCCCTCGTCTTTTCCACTCCTCCCAATGTTCCGCTTAATGATAAGCTAAATTCAAGGCTCAGACGGTACCGTCCACTTTTGGGACACTGACGCTCGTACGCGGCTAAAAAGTATGTCTTCCCCCCTACTTCCTCGAACCCAAATTGATTCACCGTATGGTTCAAGGTTTCGACATTGCGGGTAACTCAATTTCCACCACTGCTTTCAACCGCGATGGCTCGATTTTCGCATACGCTGTCTCGTATGATTGGTCGAAGGGTCATGTTGTGGCGACGCCGGGGTCTAAAAATAATCTTGTGCTGCATAGGTGTAAGAATGAGGAGGTGAAGAAGCGGTTGAAGAAGTGAGGGTCTAGAAGGATGACACCTGATAGCATATATATACCGTCACCGTGATACGTATGTGAGGGCTGTTAGACATAAATGCATAACTTCTCATTCAGATGTCACCGACGAGATCTAGTAGTCCCCAACTCAAGTTAAATTCAAGGATCAGACGGTACCGTCCACTTTTGGGACACAGACGCTCGGGTCCCGAACCGACAAGATTGAAAGAGTTGATGAGACCGAATAAGAAATTAATGAGCACATTAATATCTGAAAATTCGAGCGAAGCATCGGGAACATCCCTCAAGGTTTTTTAAAGTTCCTACAAAAGTCGAGTAAAATCTGTAAGCTCCGTACTGGCCTCTGTGAAAACGCTCAAGTACGGCCCCCTGGCGGCAAGCTGAGGCCATAAGCCACATCGAGGTGATACAACTGAGACTTGATGGCACTACTGACAGCGACTCCCTGTGTGGCCAAGTCATCCTTGATGGTGGCAAACGAAGATTAATACTGTCAGTCTCACAAAGGCAAAGGAAAATGCGACGTACTGTGAGTCTCTTCTGGATCACCGAGGTACCCTCCAGGAATGCATTCACGGAAACTCCTACGGATTTGGCTAGAACCCGGAAGGCAGGTGATCCGAGTTGACGACGAAAGCGAATGGCTGCATCTGTAAGGAGCTGCTGCAGTAGAGTGAGCAGAGGAATAAGCACTTCTTTCGTGGCGTCGAGGATGGCGTGGGCGTCAGGTACGTCAAAAGGAGTCAGAAAAGGGTACTATGTGATGGAGAGTAGTCCGTTAGTCCAGTCTCCACTGTTTTTAGAACTTCTGCCACCTACAGCCTGGGCTACATCATTTATCAGTATAGTAAGATCAGAGGTCAATTTATCAAGATCATCTTCTACTTGCTACGCATTGAAAGAATGAGAATGAGTGGTAGTATGGACCTGAGCGCAACCCTGAGCTGACTCACTATAGCTTGTGGGGCGTCATTGTTAGTTGAACGCTGTAGGAGGCCTGCGGTACTTGTGAGCTGCTTCCCGATGGCTTTGATATCATATATAATTGCTTCGGCAGCTTGAGTGCTGATGGGCAAGGCAACGACAGACAAAACGAGATGGACGAGGACGATGAGGCTGATAAAGAAATTCATGGTGAAGGAAAAGTGAATGGTGACTTGAACTGAAGTTGTTGGGACGGCACTGAAGGCTCGCTGAGGGAAATCGCTGTCGATGCTGGCTTTTAAGTAGTTCTCTACTACGTGCTGAATTAGATAGAAGCCTTGGCTCACCCAGTGCCGCATGGCAGGTATTTGATTGAAAAACGCAATCGGCATCGCTGCATCGTGAATTGGAGTTTTGCTGGTGGATGGAGCGTCGATAGTAGAATAGCAATGATTCTTGATTTCTATATGCAATGATTCTTCTCCCATCCAAGGCATTATACGATGGCATGAGAGGTACAGCTGCAGGACGGCGGCTCTTTTTAATTTCTAGGTTAGTCACGGTACTGAACTGTAAATCGGAGAGAAAAAACTGTGGGTGCCCAGCTAGCCTTGCATCCACTATATTGACGTTCATATTATGGCATGAGGGTGCCTATATTAGAGTCACCTATCCGTAGTTAGTCTCTCCTAGACAGACTTCGATATATGTGAAGTCGTACCTTGGTTCACGATATATGAAATCCGTAGTCGGGATATCAGCATTACCGAGCCTTCTGATCGAGTGAGAAGGCCACAAGAAGCCATGGCTCGGCGAGGGGTGATACCGGAGAGGCATACCGCGGAATGTGGGCTTGAAATGACGCGAGACGTCATAATTTGACTTCCAAAGCTCGAGTGAACGATTCGGCTTCAATCCCGATGGCGAGGGAAACGGTAGGCCTCTGGTTCGCCTTGGTATGAGACCTTGCTAGCCGACGTCGACCGGTTTAGCCTCCCAATGGCCTGTTGAGTAGAAAGGCCGGCCACTTCCATGACACTTCAACGTCGGTCATGGCATGGATACAAATAGGGAGAAAATCAGGTACTTGCAAAAAGAAAGCCTTCCTTCTGAATTTTACTGCGCTGCAAGCCTCCCGGAACTTTCCATCGACGTTGTCACCTTCAAAAAATCCGCATTGGAACTGTCGGCAAGTTATGCAGCTCTCGCTGACCCCGACGGCGATGACGGAATGGCGCTGGCAAGTCTAAGTGAGAACTTGGGACTTGAAATCGTCCGAAGGCAAGGCCTGATGAAATTCCCACGATCGGCTACTGATCACACATTGATCCCGGACGCCGTTGACATGTCCTCGACACGCCAATATCTCCCCCATGGAAGGATCCCGAACCTACAAGAACAAAAGAACACATATAAACAAGTAAGAAATCAAAGAGTACACTATAAGTAACAACTGAAAATTCGAGCGAAGCAGTATTTACCAGTTTCATCGGGGAACGTCAATCATGATCAAGGCAATTTGAAGTTCCTATAAACTTTAAGAAAAATCCATCAACTCCGTACTAGCCTCTGTGAAAATGCTCAAAGAGGCCATTATAAGCAAGATCAAGGGTTTCCCACAGAGCCTCGAAGTCAGTACTGACGGCGGCTGCCTTTGAAGTTTGTGGTCAAGTCAGGCTTGAGGGTCGTTTATTACCGTCCGTCCTTACAAAGGCAAAGGCAAATGAGACATACCGGGAATTTCTCCTGGGTCGCCATGGTAGCTCTCCAAAATGCATTTGCTAATAATTAAGCTCTCACGAAATTGGTCAGGTCCTCGAACTCAGCTTCTCCATAAAAGCCACCGGCTGCCTTTATAAGGACCTGCTGCAGTTGAATAAGCAGAGGAAGGAGCACTGTTTGCTCAGAACTAAGGATGGTATTGGCGGCAGTTTCGCCAAAGGGACTTGGAAAAGGGAACTAATGGAGAGAAGCCCGTTAGTCGAGTCTCCACTTTTTGCGAGTTTCTAGCACTTACAGCTGCTCTACAGCAGATCACCTAGACTACGGATCAATATCAACGACATTGAGGCGGGGCTCGCGAAATTTTTAGCGACTCCGAGTTTTACTGACATTGATGCCGCACAACTTCCTAGTCTTGATGTGAGTCACGTCAAGTTCACGCTCAGGTCCATTCTCATTTTCCATGCGTAGGAATTAGAGGATTTTCTTATCCCATTAGATATAACTGTTGAGGCGTCAGCTTGAGTGCTGAGAGGGAAGGCGACCACAGAGAAAATGAGCGGGACGAGGACGATCAGGTTGGTAAAGAAACGCATTGCGACCTTGAAGGAGTGAACAGGCAGCTTCACGTCGCTGGAGGGCTACTGGCTCTCATATAGCCATCCCTAGTGCAGATAGGAGTTTTCGGTCACCCTGGACTCAGGGCCACAAGACAGGCATTCGATTCAAGAAGACGCCGTTCAGCATGACTTCAAGTTTTGCTACTGGATGTGGGATAGCACTCTTCTTGACAAGTTATAGATGTAAGCAATGATTCTTTTCTACTGGCCAGGTACCTCGTGAGGGAAAGAATATCGTCCAAGACGAATCATTTTTTTTTCTCAAATAACTACACTCAACAATCATTTTGGCAAAAAATTTCATTACGGAATTTCTTACGACATTTCCAGAACAAGGATTTGAACCCTGAGCTAATGCGATAAATTTTGCAACCTGGCTTTCACCATTACACAATTCTGGAAGTTATTATAAAGAGCTAGGTTTATGCTGAGATTCTGACAGCTATTAGATGCTTTCCCGTATGAATATAATATTGAACCGGAAAACACCTGACATAGAATAGGCCCACGTCGGCGCTGAAAAGTCTGTATCAGCCACAAATATAATTGAAGTATTCTGCATGTAGTATTCTGGGACATTCCTCAGTCTCAGTGGTAAACCAAATATAATTTCTAACCAAGTGCATAGATACTCTGATGTACCCTTTCTTTTTTTTTCTCTAAAAAACTACTAAGCAGTCATTGGCAAAACTTTCCTTATGACATTGTTGCATCCCAGAACTGGGATTTGAACCGTGAGCTTACAGCGATAAATTTCGCAATGTAGCATTGACCATTACATCATTCTGAAAGTTATTATAGATGGTCAGATTTACCCTCATAATCTGACAGCTATGTAGACCCTTCCCGTATGGGTATATTGAGCTGGAGTGGGGCTGGACTGGCAATTGGCCCACATCGGCGCTAAAAAGTGCGTATCAACAGATACTTATCGTTGAAGTATTTTGAGACGTTACGACTGAAAAAATTGGATGCGAATGACGGGGTACGTTTACGCTTTTCGATATCAGTTACGCGTTCACCAGACGCGACGCGTTGTTTGTCATTATTTGACCTCTAAATATAGAAACAATGGTAACGTCTGTCAGTGTCACGCTCCTACTACCCCACGTTGACAAAACGTTTTTGCAATTGTTCGCGTGCAATCCTTTCGACTCAATTGTCTTGGCCGTTTATAAAGTGCTGCCTCGCGAGAATGTGCCGCTCTATCATCCAAGTCCACCGGTTGGCCTCTTCTCCGTCTCTTTCTCTCTTTCTCTTTTCTTCTTTCTTGGACACCTAGAATCGGAATAACGACCTTGCACGATGCACATCACCCTATCTCTCATTCTTTTTGCCCTCCATGTATTACCGCAGGTGTCCGGACACGCTGGTAACCCGCCTCTTTGGCTTCTTTCTCATCTCATCACCTTTCTGATGTTTTTTCTCCGAAAGCCTTCTTCCACCCAAGCATGTTCGGCTTCAACGTAACAGCCCAAACCTATCCATACGACAACCGCCCCGTAGCACCGATAAAGAACATGCCCTTCTCCCAATGGTGGTTCCACAACCACCTCGACCACCCCCCAAACGCCGGGGACGTCTTCACCCTCCCAGCAGGCGAAACCGCCACAGCCGAAATAGCGTGCACCAAAGGCGCCACGTCATTCTTCGCTAGTGCCGAGGGGGGCGACATTCGGAACAAGTCTAACCCGAACGACGTGTGTCCCGGATCCCCGATGATAGAGTACCACACGCAGGGTTTCAATGATTTGGAAGGGTGTTCGTTGGCGATTGCGTATAAGAGTGACGTGGAGGATGTGAAGCCGGAGGATTTTACGGTGTTTAGTGTCAATCAGACGTGTGTGTGGACGAGGTTTACGGATTTTAAAGTACCCGGGAGGATGCCGCCTTGTCCTGAGGGAGGATGTATTTGTGCGTTCTTTTGGATTCATGCGGTGCGTTTTCCATCTTCTACCTCTCGACTGGCGTTACTTACGATTGTGAGTGCAGCCCGACGCAGGTGGTGAAGAGAGTAAGCACCCCCCCTCCTTTTCTTCCACCCACTTCCTAATATATTATCCCTTAGACTACATGAACGGCTTCAAATGCAACGTAACAGGCTCAACATCCTCCGTCCCACTCGCCACATCCAAAGTCGCCCGTCGGTGCGGCGCCGATCCCGCAAACAAGAAAATGCAATCCGTTCCGGGGAACTGCACCTACGGAGCAAAGACTCCGTTTTACTGGTTCAATAACGAGAGGAATAATGTACGCTTTTCCATTCCTCCTGTTTTTTTGTCCGCTGACGGTGGAATACCTTGTGTTGTAGATGTTCGAAGGCTCATTCTCACCACCCGTCTACAACGACTTGTACAACTTTCTAGACGGGGCACAGAATGATATCTTCCAGGACTCGTATACGTTCCTGCCTGATCCGTCGCCGACGGCTCCTTTGCCTGTTCTTGCGTCCAACTCGACTTTGGGAGGTGGAAGTGCCAACTCCACTACGACGACAAGTGGTGGTGGTGGGAAGAAGAAGACGTGTACTATACGCAAACAACCGTCCGCTGTGCCCTCTTTGGTTGCAAGGGGCTTGCCAGGCGCGCTTGTGGGAAGGAGGGGGAGGAGGTCGCATTCTTTTGAACGGAGGAGGGTATGGGATATGTGGTGATTTTGACGCGGACTTGGGTGTTTTGTGTACTTGGGTTAATGTCATGCCGGACACAGGATTGTGCAGCATATGTATGTACATGGAACATATGTAATTGTATTATAAAATCGACTACAAAGTAAGCCTGTATGTGTAATGTACAACAACAAAATGGTATTACAACCCGCCCGCGTACAAGGCATCACAGCACCCTTTCCTTCCTTCCTTCCTTCCTCCCTTCCAAATTCAAACCGCAGATTTGGGTCCCCCAATCAAATCCTTCAAACTCTTCCTAAAAGCCTTGACACGCAACACAACACCACTCATCGATACGCCCCTCTTCCTCCTTCTCCCGCTGTCCTGCATGAAACTACGCCGAGCTCCAAGCAGCTTACCAGCCTCTCAACAGCGACTTGAACCCATTCGACCGCGTCTCCCAGGCCCTCTCAGACATCGGTGCTCTGTCCATCCGACTCCATCGAAAGCTTTCTTTTGAAATCCAATGGGTCAGTGAAAGACCTTGACGTCGCCTGCCACCTGCTCTCACTCCCACTTGGCATCGTCCGGTACCTAAACTCCCCACCGCCACCACCACGACTGACTCAGTTTGTATGCTGCCGGCATCCGTAATTCGTGGCCCCCGAGCCTGGCAGGCCAGAAGCCCCCTTCAGGCCAGCCAACCTCCAGGCCCGGCTCGGCCCAGCTTATCTTGGCCTGGCTTCTGACCTCTAGCCAAAGCCAGCACATCACTATCGACGAATCGTGGGGAAGGCATAAAAGAACAGAACCACATATGTTTAGACATCTGCTCCCTCGTCAATCCCCACTACCACCCTACTAGCATGCAAACAAATGAACCAAATGATTCATTCTCGCGTAAGTCATACAAATTGCTCCGTGTTGCTCAGTAATCATGTAACATCTTCTAGTATGGACGGATGGCAGGTCAGAGGAATTCGACTTTATAAACAGTCGAGTTCAGGCTGTCGATAATCAGGACCTGATTTTGATGCACTGGGAAGTATCGCATCATGAACTCGATCAACAAGACGACCTTTACGCCATGGGATCGTTTGTTGATCCAGGCTTCATTCAGACACCCACACCCACAGTCAGTACAACAATGCAACGTTCTCTGACTTGTTTTCAATTTTACAGCCACCTTGCCCTATCGGCAGCCTTATTGGAGAACTAACAGATCAAGATGACTCGGATGGCTCCGTGTCTGTCTCGACGGCATTTTATCCAGGTGCATACAATGAGAGCTACGATACCATATTTTCCACAGCCGATGCAGTTCTCTTCTACGTGCATTCGAAGATCATCATGGACTCAACCGGACAACCTTTCAGATCCCTTCTTGGTTCCCCGTTGTCTGATCCCCGCTTTCGCAATCATGTTATATCCGTTTCGGAATCCTCAAATGTCTTTAGTATAATCCTACATATGCTCTATGGCACTTCGTCAGCCCACTACTCGCCAATATTCGAAACCCTCGTTATAGCTGTTGACCAGATGCCCGCGTATGGCATTCAGCCGTGCGCGCATATATTCCCTCCAACGCCGCTCTACAACCTACTGCTCTCGCACGTGCCCTTCTCTCCCATGGGGCTCTACTCTCTGGCTGCGCACCATAGTTTGGACGACCTCGCAGTATCTTCATCCTCTCACCTACTCTCTTATTCAATATGCACCCTTTCGGATGAACTTGCAGAGCGCATAGGGGCTGTGTACTTGAAGCGGCTCTTTCTGTTGCACCTTGATCGTCTCACGACACTGAAAGAAATCCTGCTTCGTCCTCCGAACACACCCCCCCCCCCCCGACCAAGGACTGTGATTCTCATGACCAAAAAAGACTCACGCGAGCTTGGGCTTTGGCCATAGCGTACCTCGCATGTGATGCGAAACCCGGTTATTTGGATGTTGTTCTTCGCCCTCTCTTTCTTGAAGGACCTTCAATCGCTGACGGCAGTAATTAGATTTGTCCACCTACCGGATGCACAGCTCTTTGACGCCGCTTGCTGAGGGAGTCAGCTGTGAGCCATGCCTTCGATCGCTCGAGGAGCGCATTCGGAACGTGATCGCCCAGTGGGCCTCTGTAAAGGCTGGTCGTTATTTTGAATTTTTTTTTTTTGTGATGTGACTTACAACGATTTGATACTAGTTGACTATTTGATTAATTGCTAAGCGAATACAAGGTAGGCGGGTCATGCCTCCCCCATCTATACATGCAACCTCATCGCTCAAGAAAACACGAGTCGAGAACCTCTGTCAAATCGGGTGTATATTTGTCAGGCGAGTATGAGGGGAGGAGGGGTGGGAGGAGGTTGCATTCTTTTCAACGGAGGAGGGTATGGGATATGTGGTGATCACCTGGTGATTTTGTACTTGGGTTAACGAGATACCAGACACAGGACTGTATAGTACTTTACGGAACAATCCAATTGTATTATAGCAAAGAAAGCGTGTATGTGTACAACAACAAAATGATATGATATTACAACCCGCCCAAGCACAAGTACATGGCATCAAAGCACCTTTGCTTCCCTCCCTCCTTCCTTCCATCCATCCATCCGTCCTTCCTTCCATCCAAAACCCCAAAGTCAAACAGCAGACCTAGGCCCACCAATCAAATCCTTCAAACTCTTCCGAAAAGCCTTGACGCGCAACACAACACCACTCATCGATCCTCCCCTCTTCCTCCTCTCCCCGTCTTGCTTCCCACTACCACTTGGCGTCATCGTCTCGCGGTACCTAAACTCCCCAGCACGAGACTCAGTTTGAGTTTGAGCTTGGATGCCAGCCAACGCCATGCGTAACTCCGTCTCCCCACTCATCGAAAATCCTATACTCCCCCTTTCCCTGTCCGTCGTTTTGGGTCTGGGCAGCGTGTTTTTAGACGTAGACGTGGGTCCTGGAGATTCATCCGCGTTGGTGTTGGTATTCGTGTCGATGACAAAAGGCGAAAACATCCCTCCCAGACATAACGAGATTGGTCTCTGGTTGTGGTGGAACGAACTTGGCGGGAACGACTCTTCTCCACCTAATCCTGATATAAGCGACGTAGGCCTTGAGGGAGACGGTCCACCCAAGGATGTAGGCCTTGAAGCAGATGGCACACTCAATGACGTAGGTCTTGACGGGGGCGGCGAGGAAGAGGGCGAGGCGGGTGGAGAAGACATGTTCTTGCGTATGGCGGTGTAGTATGGTCGCGTGGGGTGGCCTATTCGTATTGGGGATGAGGTGGGTGAGGATGGGGGTGGTAAAATGGGAGAGGAAGAGGGTGGAGGTGGTGTTTGTGGGGGTGCTGGGTAAGGCGCGTTTGAATTGTGTTCGAAATCGGAGGAAATTCGCGAATCGTCTTGGTCTTTTAACCCGAGATCCAAATCGAAGGAGATGGCGATGGGAGCTGAGGTTGGTACGTCGAGCTGCTGTGGTGCCTGCTCGACGATGTTGATCCGTCGTTTTCGACGAAGTGTGCGTGGACTTTCCGCCCCTGCTCCTCCTCCTCCTCCTCCCCCTCCTGATGTGGGTGATGTGCGCTCGTCGTCGTCGTCTAGCGTTTTCTTCGTATCGGGCCTGCCGCCATTATCATGATGATTACTATTGAAATCTAAGAAAAGGGAGAATCGCGAGGATTTAGGGTTGATCGATTTCATGCCAGTCGTGCTTGGGTTTGGACGATCAACGTCCGATTGGGAGAGGAAAAAGGAGGGTATGGATGGTCGGAGGCGGTGGGAATGGGATTGGGGGCCCTTCCCCGTCGTTGTGGTTGTCGTAGTCTGAGTGAAGAGAAGAAGTAACGAGAGGATGGTGTCGATTTTTATGGATGGACGTACCGATATGGTTGCCGTGCCAATGGCATCTCCGGGTGGTGTGTTGTCGACGGGGGTTGTGATAGTTGTATCCGTACCCCGATATAGAGTGTTCTGTTGCTCGACTGGAATGGGTATATATTGGTCTCCATTTTGGGGTGGCGATTTTGGGGTGGCACTGATAGATGTACGCGTTGTCACACGTGGAGGAGCACTTAACCGTCTAGGACGACGAGGAGGAGGAGCGGAACGATAGAATTCGTCGTGTGCTGCATCTGATGTCCAGCAGCACCAGAGACACATGGGTATGAGTGTGTTGATGAACCCGCATTGGTGGCACTGGAATATGGGGCGCTCGGTGGGTGTGAGTTGGAGAGTTGGGAGAGAGCTGTATTTAGCCAGGTGCTAGTACAACATTCATAAGATGGTGTAACATGAATTTATGAGCGCGCTCACTGGTTTTTTGTGGGTCCAGTCCCTCTTCAGATACCTCGATGGCCTGCTTGACATGGTGGCAAGCTCAAGCCGGGGTAATTACGATGAAACGGCCCTGTGACAATAAGAAAGACATGTTTTCAGGGTTGAACAAAAAGAAAGAACTGCTTGTCGGACGCGATCAAAATTGATTATATTCTGCTCATCGTCAGCCTCCACCACATCGCGCGCATATATGCGCTCCAACCAGTCTAGAATGACTCTCGAGGTCCCTTGCCAATGGGGCTCGTCGCCATCTTGCAGAGCATATGGGCTTTCCTGACCTCCCTGTTCTTCTTCCGTGCACAGCAGTCAAGCCAGCTTCCAACCGCCATACCCCTCAAGCCGCGGAATAATGGTCCACCACAGACCCCTCGACGACAGCCTCCGCACGAGTATTGTTCCCTTGGCCCTAATCAACTCGGTGCGTCTTCACCAGATCCATCTTTGCTTGCATAACTAAGATGGTCTTCACAGGCTCATGGCGCGCACAAAAAGAACAATTCATGCGCAACCCAAGTCTAATCGCCAGCCCAAAACAACGGCGTAACGCCAGTACCACGCGACAACGACCTCAAGATCTCATAGTCCTACCCCCAGTCTTCCGTCTCCCATCCCTTACAGCCGTAGACGACTGGAACGCCCGCGTCGACGGGGGTACGACGTACCAGATTTCAAGCTTACATCCGCGTCAACCGCTTCCAGCGGTGATCATCACACCTTGTACGCCTGAAAAGAAGCCCTCACCACCTCTGTCATCGTCAGCTGCGTCAGCTAGCGTCCCAAGCACACCACCCACACCCAAACTCACTCAACCCATCTTCGTAAACCCAGCCCCAGGCCCAGAAGACGACGACGAAGACATCGCTTTGAAACGCGTCATGGAAGATTTGGAATACGCGCTCAATAAAGAAGAAGACATCAACCCATTCGACGTCTCCCCATCCCCCACCAATTCCAATCCGGACCCACCGTCTTTCAATATCTCCCAGAGTCTTCAGATCAGTTTATCTAAACAAAGTCCCTGCCCTGACGACGCATCTTGGGACATCCCTTGGGAAAGCTTGAGTAGTTCGGGCAAGTACATGACCACCAGTACACCTCTTTTGGGTTGGAGCGCTGCCCTACAAGAACAAGGACAAGAGCACGAAAAGGATCCGTTCACGAACCCCCAGAACGTCGTCGAGTCTCCCCGTGCTCCCCCTCCACATTACACGGACCTATTCGATCTAGACATGTACCTCGAAGCGTCTTTAGCGATTGCGGGTTCCTTGAATTTGGAAGAGGGGGAGAGTGAGAACCCGTTCGAGGATACCTTCGCCGTCGAACCCATCACCGTCGTCACCGTCTCTCTTTCCGAAAAAGCTGTACCGATGAACCGCCTGGTCAAGGAAAGAGACGTATACAGGCCGAGTGGGTACACACGTTCTCCGAGGTTTCGTTTTAGCGTGGATGAGAATGGGTCGCCTGTTCCTGTTTCCTTGCGGTCCCCTCGACGTGCTGGAGTGAGGATGACGGTGGTTGATCGAGTTCGTGCGGTTTTGGATGAAAGTGGTGAGGAGGAAGAGGAGGAAGGAGAGGAGGAGGGGGATGATACCTCGGAAATATCAATGCCGGCGCTGAATGCGCGGTTACGTGAGGCGTGTAGGAGGAGGAAATCTGGGGCTGATGCTGGTTTGGGTGGTCATGGGAGTTCGCAGCGGAAGAGTGGTGTGCCTCCGAAGACTGGGAGTCCGCGTGCTAGTTTGGGAGTTGTGTCGATTAAGGGCTTGGCTCCGCATGCCAGCTTACCTGCGCTCCGGCCTTCCAGCCGACTTTTGCGCGATATAACCAACACCATGACCACCTCCACTTCGAGCTCGTCGACTTTGGCTTCGATTGCGCATACGGTGCAGAAGAATCCATTCTCGCTCTCGCAGAACCCAATCGACATGACGATGCAAGAGAACCCCATCTCGACGCAGAACGCGATCAAGTTGAAAACCCAGATTCCAACCACGTCAATAACGCGAAACCCAATCGCGCGGTTTGGGAGGGACATTGCGAATATTGTTGTTGACGATTCTGCAAACTCTGTCAATCTGTGTGGGGGTAACGCGGGGACTGCTGGTGGGGAGAACACGACGACGGGTAGCGTGTACACGATGGCGTCTGTGTACAGTGGGGAGAACACAACGGGAAGTACGTATAGTGCACAGAACACTATGGGTAGCGCGTATAGTGCTCAGAACACTATGGGCAGCGTGTACGCACCAACATCTATGTACACGACGACCTCCGCATACGCACCTACCTCCGCATACACCATGACCTCCACATACGCACCGACGACATCCGCATACGCACCGACGACATCCGCATATGCAGCAGGCCACAACACCACGACTTACACGGACGAAGCCTCCGCTCGGGCACTCAAAGCGCGGTTAAGGCAGGCATGCGAGAATTTTTCGAAGTCTGTGTGGGTGGACGAGTGTGATACGGTGCAGTCTTGGGAGCCTGTGCCATTTTGAACGTCTTGGCGTGTTTTTTTTTTTTAGTTCACTTTGGAGTTGTGAGTTTGTTTCGAGTTTTGTTTGTTTTCTTTTTTGTTCTCTTTGATACTTGGGGGTTGGGTAGGGGCAGATAGTAGATTACCTTTTGTTCAATGGTGTCCTCGAACCTTGTCGAGAGTGATACTTCATAATTTATAAAACACTGCTCTCTTTCAATCCTTCCTATATCCTTGCATCCATATCCAAGAGGGCAATAAAGACCTCTTTTCACAGTCCTAGAGAATATTGTCACCAACCTTGTTCAAACTTCACACTATCTATTTTTGAGAAAAACAGGATGAAAAATAGACCCAAAAATGATATGAAAAAAGACCGAAGAAATTTTTTTTTTGGGAAAATAGATACAGTCATCCACCTGCTAATGATACACCCAAAATGAGAAATTAGCTTCAACAGATTTGAGCACAACCTTTCTCTACAAAAACTACATGAAAATCTCAGATAAATTCCCTTCTATCACTGTACCAAATTTCAGAATGTTTGACCCACATTTCACAAAGAAAAATTAAGATTATGGGTGTATCATTGAGGGGTGTGACTGTATTTGGCTATTTCCGAAAAACAGTCCATTTTGTATGCTCCACAGCTTTGCCAATTCTGCCTCAATTGCATCCAAATTATGTACAGTGGTAGATATGAGTTTGTACTACTTGTTCCAACTTGTTTCGTAAAAATCGGTCTAGTATTGAGCGAGATATTGGCTAGTCAAAAGTGTATCAAATGGGGGTGGCGTATCATTAAGGGGTGGATGACTGTAGAATGTTCATTTTTGATGTATTTTTATTTTTCATCCATTTTTTGTGTTGAGTATTTCAAGTCAGCCAATGGTGTTATGAGGAGTGAAAAAGATTTGAAAAGATTTGGGAGATGGCTGACAAGGGATTTCTTAGTGTCAGAACCAGATCCAAAAGGTGGGGAAAACACTACCAGTAGTGTTGTACACATATGTGAGATGTCTGGTTCTGACACAGATGTAATCTTATCCAAAGATGAGTTTGCTCTCATACCTCAGGCTTACTCATCATGGAGTGTTTTAGCATTGTCTGTCCTTTTCATTGTTACCCCATATGGCAATCACCTCATTTCTTTCACCATCAACACTACAGCAGCACAACAATGATACTGATATAAACTGAAGCACCCTTAAGCATTTTGGCACATTGTGGTACTGCTTTGGGACTCCTTGAGGATAGCTCAGGGCACCCCAAGACGATCTCAGGTTGCCAGTGGAAATTTGAAAAAAGGGACCTGTACCTGAGAGTGTGACCAGAACTCCTGGTCCTGATACCTATCCAGAGTTCACTGTGGATACCCTCAGAGAAGGAGTGATGTTTCTATTGAAGCAAGTTAATATATTCAGAACTGCTGATGCACTACCTACAGAAACTTTGGCAACATCTTTATAATACTGACCAACATCTGACTACCAGAAACTACTCAGGCTCCAATTTTGCACAAATGCCAGTCTTTGCTAAATGTAAATTCATCACAAGAAAGTTTTGTGATATGTGTTCCAATGACAAGTGGGTTTCTAGGTTGCCATTGAAGACCTGATTGGTACCAAGGTGGTATCCAGAGCAACAAATCTCCTGTATGTGTGCAGAGCCAGCCAGTTGATGTAAGATAAGATTGATTGAGAATAGAAAATGCTAAAAGAAAAAATGAGAAATGCAATAAAGGGATAAAATAAATGATAACAGACTATTTATATCAGAGTCATGATTCCTGATTTTAGTATCATCATATGACTCTGAAACAATGCCCTTTCCATCTGGTGAAAATGCAAGAGAGGTGACAATATCTGTGTGACATTCAAATGGATCTGAAACAAGCTTTTCTGTCTGTGCATCCCACATTCTGATAGTTTTGTCACTTGATCCTGAAACAATGTACTTTCCATCAGGTGAGAATGCAACAGAGTTGACATTCTGTGTGTCCTTCAAATGGATGTGTGATAGGCTTTCCTGTCTGTGCATCCCACATTCTGATAGTTTTGTCATTTGATCCTGAAACAATGCACTTTCCATCAAGTGAGAATGCAACAGAGGTGACAGTTTCTGTGTGGCCTTCAAATGGATGTGTGACAAGCTTTTGTGTCTGTGCATCCCACATTCTAATAGTTTTGTCCCTTGATCCTGAAACAATGTACTTTCCATCAGGTGAGAATGCAACAGAAGTGACAGAGTTTGTGTTGTCTTCAGATGGACCTGAGACAGGGTTTTGTGTCTGTGCATCCCACATTCTCATAGTTTTGTCCCATGATCCTGAAACAATGTACTTTCCATCAGGTGAGAATGCAACAGAGGTGACATGTTCTGTGTGGCCTTCAAATGGATGTGTGACAAGCTTTTGTGTCTGTGCATCCCACATTCTAATAGTTTCATCCCATGATCCTGAAACAATGTACTTTCCATCAGGTGAGAATGCAACAGAAGTGACAGAGTTTGTGTTGTCTTCAGATGGACCTGAGACAGGGTTTTGTGTCTGTGCATCCCACATTCTCATAGTTTTGTCCCATGATCCTGAAACAATGTACTTTCCATCAGGTGAGAATGCAACAGAATTGACAAAATGTGTATGGCCTTCAAATGAATCTGAGACAGGCTTTCCTGTCTGTGCATCCCACATTCTGATAGTTTTGTCTGATGATCCTGAAACAATGTACTTTCCATCAGGTGAGAATGCAACAGAGGTGACCCAACTTGTGTGGCCTTGCAAGATACTATTTATAGATGGCCATGATATTTGCTTTCCCTTTTCAAAAGAGACTACTCTAGTAAAGTGGTGAGAATACTTTTTCACAATCAGAGAGTCACTTGGTGACATTGGCAAGGCTGACAGATATATGTGAGGTGCACTTTGAGATATAGGTTGGAAAAAAGTTGTCACAAATTTCATAGCATCTTCAATAAACATTTTCACATTTTTATCCATCTGCAAGTATGTTAGATAGTTTATAGTTGTATTCATGAAATGACTGCACCTTTTCCCAGCCTAATACTGAGGACAGAATTCCTTGTGCAATACTGACTTTGTTTGTAATGCTCAACACTTCTAACCAATAGAGAAATTTATAATCCAAAAAGTAATGAAGATCTTCCAGAACCTGACCACTGCATGGGACACACAAAACATGGGCTGAAAAAAAACAGCATGCATAAAGTAGCTCAGATGAGATCCTTTCTTTGGGTTGTTCCAATATATTGACTTCAGGATCATCATTTGCTTTAAATGATGTGGGCAGTTGACATATATTAAAGCAAAGCTCTGTCTTGAGTATATATAGAACTGTGGCAGCAAATTCTTTCTCAGCATGGTCAATGTCGATAAAGAATTCCCCACTTCGAGATGAGTATGTCAGGTAGTCATGAAAAGAGCTGTGCAATGGCTTGATAGCAATTTCATTATCTCCATTGATACCAGAAAGTAAGCAACCTAATGGCTCAATTATTACTTTAATATCATTCATCCATGCTGGGTTGTTGATATGCATTTTTGACAGAGTTGCTAAAGGTAGTGGTTGCTTTGCTGTTAGAATTCTTCCCATAACTGATCTGTATCTGTTCATGACTTTGGAATTATTTCTTCGAAAAGCCTGATTGAGAACTTTGTTATACAGTTCATCTAAGCCACTTCCTGTCCCAAGAAAAGATTCAAGACGCTCATATAGAAGCTCGCCTCCATATGAATCCATTATATATTGACATGCAACAGCTGCCCACTGAAAAAGGCCTTCTGAACTTTTGACAAGCTGGCTGCAACATTCATACCATCTGGCTCCAAGCTCAGATTTTATGTCTGATAGCTTATATTCAATGTAAAGAAAAAGATCATCCTCATTAGACTTATTCTCCATTTCTGCAGCATCCACATGTTTGTGCTTGACACATGGATGTTGGTGTACCAGCTGAAGAGCCTTAGAAATATCAGGTTCAAGACGTGTTGTTATCAGAATCCGAAAGTTTTTAGGTAACTCTGAAGCTCTTCCAATGAGTATATCTAACAGTGGTTTTCTTTGAATCTGACTGCCACTCTCATCCAGAGCATCAATCACAATAACAATGGGCCCCACAGTAGTCAAAGCTTCAGCAGGCTTTACAATGAAGTTTTCAAACTGCTCTTTAACCTGCAGAGTAGAACACAAAGCAGGATCTCCAGTAACAACAGAGCACAGAGCAGATTTCCAGGCAGCATCTAAATCAGAAAGATTCTGAGAAATAGTACTGAATAGATATTGAATGCTTCGATTAGCCTGATCAGCTTGATCAAAACAGTATGAAGATCCCAGACAACCCAGGGTGTGAAAATGCTTAGCAATAGTATGAGCAATGGCTGATTTGCCAAACCCTGCAGCAGCACTAAAGAAGAGTATTTGTGGTGTACCCTCACCATCTGGGCTATTTATCCAGTCTGTCAGTTCATCAATCACAGCTACACGAGTCCCAGGAAGACACTGCTTGTCTGAATCAAACCAAACATTCTTACCATAGTGCATGTCCCTAAGATCTGCAGTTGCACCTAAACCCAAAACATTAATCATAGTATATCAAGAAAGTAATATGATTTACCCAGTTTTTCCACAGTGCTGAAAATTTGCAGAACTCTAAGTTGGGTCTCACAAACAGCATGCTGAGTAAAAGCCAGTTTCAACTTCTCAAATTGATCCTGAAAGTTTGCAATTTTCTGGTCTGCATCTAAGATCAAATTCTTTCCAGTTCTCTTCCCTATGAGAAGACAAAGAAATAAGAATCAACACAATATAATAAAGTAGGACTTACAAAAGTTGGGATCACTAGCATGAAGTAGGCACATTCTATAGTTTGCTGGGCTAAAGATGTGACAATCTTCTTCTGTGCTGCATCATACTTAGATGGATCTGTTCCTTTGAGGAATGCATATAGGGCTTGCACATCTTGAATAAGATCAGTAATTTTACCATCACATTCAATCTGGTCCAAAATAGTCTAGCAAATTTATAAGATTCAATAAATAGAAGATCACTATACCAATTGACAAACCTTGGGAATGGCAGACAGTATGCCCCATGCAGCCTTGATATATGGATGAAACTATATTGAGATTAATAATTGAGATCATTTACTACAAGTAATATTGACAGCTTACCTCTGATATCTTGTCTGCAATTCTCATAAAAGCATGAACATGCTCAACAAGCCACCCATAGTTGGTAGAGAAAGAGTCTGAAGTAACTATATCAACTTGAAGAGCAGAAGCAGTATCTGCAGGGCCAGATTGCATCTTCATATGAGCAGCCTCAGCCAATTCTAAAGCAGGACTGATATCCAAGATAGCTTGAGTTGTAGGATCAGCAAGCACAGGAAGCTTTAAGAATGTTAGATAATTTTTACAAAGAAAGCAATGATTTCTTACAGCTGGGCTCAAAACTGGAACCAATGTAGATATAGAGAAATGAATAGTAGTGTTTCCCAATGGCAAGCCTGAGCCACTAGGTCTATTCAGAGGCCGAATTATTTCTAGATATATAGACAAGAAATTTGAGAAACAAAATCTACAATGAGAAGACAAAGACAAGCCTTTGAAGAAGAGCCCCCGAGCAGCAGGGGAATTTCCTCTTCCAGTATCCCAATAAGTTCATTAGCATGATCAAAAGCCCGACCAATCCGACGGGGAGTCTTGTAAACCTGACAAATTAGATTGGTCGATTGTGAGGTATTGCTTGGTGGCGGTAAGATTTCCGACGCACAACATCAAGTGAACAAAATGATACCCACAATGAAAGTGTCTCTGACCACACTGGACCCGCCGACATGTCGCTCTTTCCCGTTTCCTGTGTATCTCCGCCAATAGTGAACTGTACATAATGCTTGTGATGACGAAGCAGGCCTTGAGGTATGTTGTTGACTTTTATATCTATAATGCGGGACGACCATTCAATCAACGTCCATCCAAGTTAGCGGTCCACCTTGCCTTTGATCTCAATCGCGATCCTGGGATCGGAGGATGCAACGCTGGAATGAGTGGTCAGATGTTGGTGAAGATGTAGGAAGTAGCGGGAATAGAGGTACTGACGTAGGATCGGTGTTCGCGTTCGAAGCTGTATTCATCGTTTCGATTCTGCAAGATGAAGGTTGGAAGCAAGTTTGCTAGGCGCTCAAAGGAAACGCGTGGTTTGTTTGTTTCGTGGTCTTGAAGTAAACAACACCCTCCTCCCTTTTTCAGCATGTGTGCCACTTTTGAGTTTCCGCCTCAAACTCTAATCCCAAAACGGGAAGCCACGCAGAAACCAAACAAACCGATGTTTGGTTGTGATTTCGTGCTTGCCCTCGCCGTCCAAGCTTCCAACAGGTTCCGGCTCGACGACGGCTGCTTACAGCTCCAGGAGCTCGCCAACCTCATCCCCCATACAACGTACGCTATCTTTCCTACACTCCTTACTGTTACTAACGAGTAGCAAACGAGCGTTCTTTCGGCCACGGGCCATCATACAACGAATGGACAGAACCGTCGCAACAAGAACCTGCCGCCATCAAGGCCACGCATATGAAAATACCACCCCCTCACTATCACGCAAAACCGTCGCAACAAGAATCCGCCACCATCAAAGCCCCTCACCATCGCGCAACTTCATCGAACGAACGCTTGAAAGGATTGTACAGCGTGAGCGGTGTCTCGCCTCGAACGGTGGGTTGCGAGTGTAGAGCAAAGAGAAGCAGCGAGGGAGGGGGCTTAGTGCCTCGTGGATCGCTGGATTGAAGGGCGAGACTGTAGAGCGGTTGAATGCCTCACTGCATGTACATTTTCTATGGCATTGTTCCAGAACAGCTTCGACATCATTATTGAAGGTACATTGTGTACACACTAGTTACACCAGAATACTATAATTCCTGTGTTAAGTTCCTCCTTCCTCCTTTTTTCGAGCTGCAAGGAAAACTTCGACGAAATCACGCATATTTTTAAAAATAAGGTGGTTTCCCATTTTGGGATTAGAGTTTGAGGCGGAAAGTGAACAACTTGTGTGTGCTTAGTGCTTCCGCGTACAAGTTATAATTGGTCGAACAGGCCTGTTTATTGGTGAGCCTTTGTGATTAGTACGCTGGCTTCAAGTCGCTCTCACCGTAGGATACGTAGTCCCTTTTTCAGGAAACTCTACCCGCGTTCTGGATCATGTCCAATCAAACCTCCAATTCTTACCCTCCCGTAGATCGGCTAATGAGCGTCCGCCCATGTGTTTCACGAAAAACCCTCATCAGATTTCGAAATGTGGGTATCAGAGGGGGCGACGAAGGGGCTAGTGGTTTCTACATCTTGGTGCGTCGATCCCTCGTCATATCCGCAATCAAAATTTGAACGCCATATATGCTAGGGCTCTTTCGACGTTCTCGTCTGGGAAAGCGAGTTGTCGGCCTCGTCGTTTTCCAGAGGATCACTTGGATCCTCTAAACGTTGTGAAGAACCCATTTAGGAACTCAGTCCTGTTCGCCTTTCAAGCCGGCCTAGCCGTAGGCATCAGAGCTCCGCAAGCAGAGGCTATACCAATGTGTCTCTCGAGGGATTGCAGTTGGCCTTGCCAGTGCGGATGGATTTTCATTGACAAAGTGCTGCCTAATGTCAGAAGAGGTCCCAGCGAAAGGCCTCCGCCACGTCACGACGGCAAAGTCGTCACATTTCGGACATACGAGCCACCACAAGCTTTCTGCTCAGTCTCAATACGAGTCATTCACCTTTCTAACATGGCTTCGTCCGAATTCCCACCCCCTTGCGTGAGCTGCATCTGCTTTCTACATCGATAACCCAGGGGTCATGGGATGGCACGGCCGATATTATGATTCTGGCATTCGGCATTCGACAACTGACGTCTCGCTTCGGTGACGAACGCGATTTCGTGCTCATAGATCCTGCATTCGGCGACTCCGTGCCCTTGATACTCCTCAAGTCCGAAAAGAAAGCAGGAATGATGAAGGCATTGCATTGCACTCACTCACAATGGTCTTTGACGATCTCAATACCAATCGGGTGCTCATCTCCACCCACGTCCGCACTCTCTTCCCCGTCAGGCCAATTATTGTCCCCCTTCCTATCCGCAATCCTCACACCAGTCAAACGAGCAGGCGCTGTATTCCCACACTGCTTTGCGTGAATGAGGAGAAGCACAGCATACGGGGATACATCATATTTCAATAAACTCACCGATAGGATAAGAAATTGGGACACCAACCTAAGCGAATATGTCCATTGGGAGAACTGGTGTGGGAGAGCAAGCGCCGCCTCTCAAACAAGATGTTCTTGTGAGGCAAGATATTCAGTCAGAGTTGAAGCCATTCAGCGAGCTTATCAAATCTTCACAGTTGCTGGTGGACTTTCCCGCCGACTCTTGCGCGATATAACCAACACGATGGCCACTTCGACCTCGAGCTCTTCATTAACAACGTCAACTTCGGCTTCAATTGTGCATAGTCCTGAGAACCCCTTCTCGCAGAACCAAATCGAGTCGGAGACGCGCATGAACCCCATCGCGACGCAGAACGCAATCTAGTTGAAAACCCAGAATTCTTACCTCATCAATCACGCAAACGCGGAAACCTGTCACGTCAAAAACGCGAAACCCAATCGCGCGGTTTGGAAGGGACATTGCGAATATCGATGTTGATGATTTTGCGGGCTGTGTTAGTTTGTGTGGGGGTAACACGGCCACGGGTGGCATGTACACGAAGACGTCTGTTTTTGGTGGGGAGAACACGACGGGAAGTGTGTATAATGCACAGAACACTATGGGTAGCGCGTACAGTGCGCAGAGCACGATGAGTAGCGCGTACACGACGACTTCTGTGCACGCAGGACACAACACCACGACTTACTCGGACGAAGCCTTCGCTCGGACACTCAAAGCGAGGTTGAGGCAGGCATGCGAGAATTTTTCGAAATCTGTGTGGGTGGAGGAGTGTGATACGGTGTAGTCATGGGCGCCTGTGCAGTTTTGAACGTCGTTTTCTATACATTCCCGTTGAAGTTGAGAGTCTATTTCGAGTTTTGTTAGTTTTCTTTTGTTCTCTTTTTCTTTTACGGTACTCGGGTTGGGGTAGATATGTAGCTACCTTTCGTTAAGCGGTGTCCTCAAAACTGTCCAAAGTGATACTTCGTAATTTATAGTACAATGTGCTCTTCATTCCGTCTGTTCCTTCCTTCCTATATTCTTGCATCCATATCCAACCAAATGTGCGCAAAACCTCACCAAGACCCCCCGTCTTATCTTATACAGACCCACCATAACGCGTACTGAAAAGCCCTTCCTCCATGGCTTTGATTTCTGGCATATACGTGTACACGTCAACCACTTGCCATCGGAAGGAAGATAAAGGAAATGGGCTTACGGAGAGCGATGGTTTTGGAGTAGAAACGGCATAGGGCTAGGTTACCTATTGTGTGGGGTAGAACGTCAGCTTTTTCCTTGGATGACGAAGGAAGTGAAGAGGGAGACAAGTCTCCTAGAGGGACGCAAGTCCGGAAGAAGGAAAGAAGCACGAGTCTCCCGAATCCGGAAGAACGAAAGAGGGAACACGACTTTTCTCTGCGGAAAAGGAACAACATACCCATGATATACCACAACCCCGGAACGCCCATATCCTTCCAACATCCATTAATCTCGCCCTCCTCATCCATTCCCCACAAAGGCTTACACTTATCCGCCACTTCGTCTCCGCAAATCCTGCGTATCCCGTAGTGGGCGTCCGTGAGACTTTGGGGTCAAGTCAGACATGCCCTGGACGTAGATGGAACAACGTGAACACCCACCCTGTGCAGAAGACTACCACGTCCGCGGAAAGTTCGCTCCCGTTGTCGAATTTCAGCCCTGTCTCGGTGAACCCTGCGATTTGGCTGTCGTTCTTTAACTTGATCTTGCCGTCGATTAGGTATTGGCTGCCTCCGACGTCTGTGTAAGAGTATCAAAATTAGACCTCGATCACCTTTTCAGTAGGATATTCGCCCGCCTAGGTAGTATCCTCCTGCTTTCTGCCAGACAGTGAGGAGGAGACCAGAGTCCTTGTATCCCTTGTTAGTTCTGAATCCGACTTTGTGCAGGCCTTCAATGATTTCTCTAGTTCGGAAACAAATGTCAACTTCGTACAACTGCAACGACGTGGGGAGGGACGACTTTCTTATCGACGTTCTCCCAGATCGCTTTCATCCCTCGGTGTGTCAAGCCCGCAATCAGTTTGTTGGGGAAAGACATGTTGAGTTTGTCTGCGATGTCTGTGGGGGGACCGTTCTCAGAGTACAGACCTATGGATCATGACGAGACTTGTAAGGAAGGGAGGAAGCTTAGCTTCGCTCAAATAGAATGCATACCCTCCAACAACATTCGCACTCCTTTCCCCGCCGAGATGATGTACGTCGAGCTACGTTGGAACATCGTCACGTCTAGGCGTCTTTTGTTAAGCAAAAGACACTTTTCGAAACTAAAGGAAGAGGTCTTACCAACGCCATGATCGACATAGTCCACGCAAATGTCGTGGGCTACAATACTTCTTCAGTCATCTATCCCACCACTTGGGGGTCAACCCAAACGCACCAGACGTGCAAGACCCAATGACGACGACTTTTTTGCCAGGATGGTCCCTAGCGCTTTTGTGCTGCGACGAATGCAAGATCTGCCCTGTGAAGCTTTCCTAAAGTCGACGTTAATCTTCCGATCAAGGGAGAGAGATCAGGCTATATACCATTCCAGGAATGGACGGGACGTAGCCCTCGCCGCCTTTGAACCCCACGGCAAAGACAACATGCTTAACTTTCAAAACGCGGTCTTGCCCATTTGCTTGCCTTACAACTACGTTCCACAACTTCGTCTCCTCGTCTCGAGTCGCTTTGGTCACTGTTGAGGAGGTCCAGACGTTTAGCTCTAGGGCCTCGGCGTAGAATTCGAGCCAGTTGGCGAGCTGTGTGATTGTTAGCTTCAAGTTGCCTAACCTGATGGCGTTCGCACCTTTTTAGCTGGGGCGAAGACGGGCCAGGTTGAAGGGAACCTGATCCAACACTTCTCAGCGTTCTTTCATAATACAGAAGGGAAGGGAATACCCACGGGAGGTAAGGGAATTGACCGTACCCTTCAAACCCTCCACGTCAGTGAATAGCACCAGCACGCAGACAGCAACACTTACAAACGGGATCGTGAAGGCACAATGCTTCATACCTCTCCCTCCAATTATCTCCTATCCTCTCGTTCTTTTCGATCACCAAAGTGGGAACATCCAACGCTTTTAGACGTGCAGCCACCTCCAATCCGCTATGGCCTCCCCCGATAATGAGGACAGTCGGGTCTGCTTCACCGAAAGCGACTTCCTTTCGCCGGGCCTCCTCCCATTTACCATGGTTTGGCTCTGGATTTCGTAACGCGCCTATCTTTTCCGGGAACCCTTTCAAGCTGTCGAGGGTGGTGAAGATGGATTGTCCCTTCCACTCAACCTGATCTCCAATCTTGATAGGCACTAGCCTCGCAATCCCAGTAGCGGAACCTGCCTTTGTCTCGAACATGAACAGGATCTGGATCCACGCGAGATCGGGATGAGGTTGTTGCAGTTGCGGCTTGATCTCATCGCTGAGCTTAACGTTCTGGATCTGCGCATCGGCTAATCGGTCCACGAGGAAGGCTTTGGTCGTGGCTGTTCCTTCGAATGTTCGTAGATCCCAGGTGAGGGCGAGGATGTCTCTCCAGTAGAGAGATACGGAGGAGGATGATGCTGTGGTGGTCCTGGAGGACTCTGGCAGAAGGCTTGAGGAGAAGTCTGATTCTACGAGAAGGCTGGTTATGCCTTCTACGTCGCCCGTTTCTGCAAACTTGGAGAAAGATGAAAGCCAAGTCGAAGCGACGCTCGTGGCATCGACGTCGGTGGGAACGGTCGTTCCCAGCTTGGACAAGGTGGGAAGGGACGCCTCGATTGGATGGGGTTCATTGACGATTTCCTGTGAGCTCATTGTGATGGAAGAGGATGAGACAGGCGGCGTTCCACTAAGCCGCACCAAATCCTCAAGCCAGTTTATATCACTGGCACGATATGTTAATTGTTCGCTTCATATACCCCAGGTGATCATTATCGTGTTGGAATTCCAGTGATTGATGAAAGGAGGGGAAATATCGGAATTAAGTACGGTGGTTCTAGCGACATGTGATGACTGCTTCCAAGAGATCCCCGGACCGAAGTCGAATTTGGTCAAGAGTTCTGTGACTTGAAAATGGCAGAACGTGAAGCAGAGAGGTCACGGAAAGCCAATGGAGAGAGAGACAAGATAAAGGTCACTTCAAGAATCAGTTTGACGAAGCACTACAAAAATGGTCCAGGCGTGACAGACCCGTGACGAATACTTGCAAGTCAAACGTCGACAAATAAACGCGTCGCGTCAATTACATCGCTCAAACGTCGCTTTTATCAGTGAGTCTGAAGCATTGGTTAACGGAGAGAACAATTAATAACTGGAGTGCCCCGAACATTAATAACATCCAATCTCTGCATCATCACTCTCGGTAAAAAGGCCAGATACTTAGACTGTTCACCTCAAGTTCACCTCGGCAACTTACGGACATGTTAGCGCGCATTCCACATCGGACAATGGGATTCTCGGCTCATCGTACTCAAGTGCGCGCCTATATAGCATGAACTAGAAGGTTATACAACACCAGTGCAACGTAATCACTTCAGAAGACCCTGTGCATAGTCTAGGGTGATGCAATGGATAGCACCGCTGTGTTTTACAATCCGCATAGCGAGCAGTTGAAGAGAGATATTGACACTTAGCTCAAATGCTTATATGATTCATCACAACAAGAATTTGTCCCACTCCAAAAAAATTAAGAGATAATCAAGGAACAAGTAATCTTTCTTCCCTCTTCATTGACTTTCTTAAACTCTATCTTCCTCCCCGTCGTATCAAATTTTGTGATACTTTGAACTAAGGTGATTCCAGCCCTGGTTCCTGGCTGATAATACGTCGGAAGCAGCGCGACGGTTGTGTCCTTGTCCTCGATATTCGGAAGAACGTCGAGCCAAAGTGAGTAGTTATGTACTCCAACGACGAGGAAAAACGCATTGCCCGATGCGTTCTTAAATCGAAGGCCGCCGGATGTGCCGCTACCGCCCATCGTTAAGATTTCTTTTCCCGCTGCTTGAGTCCACGTTCCGCCGTTCGCGTAGTGCCAAACGCCTCTTTCTACAATGTTGAAAAACTCGGGGGCGGATTCGCGGTAGAAGATAGAAATCTCCACTGTGTAAGACATGATTCCTATGAAGACGCCAAGTCAGCAGTGAATTCTTTACTACTCTGGAGTCTGAAGTTTGCACCCAACGCACGAAATTATCAGCAGTTGATAGAATGGTGTGGTGTATTTTTAAAGTACGAGGACCCAGAGCTTAATATGGTACATATTAGTGACAAGTTTAAGGGCCTAGGGGGAAAGGTGATATTCACCAAGATGCAAGACAATCGAATCGACGCTGACAAGTCTCACCCTTCGCGATTATATATCCGCAGGATCCATCTGTTGTCAGCAAGGCTACCAAGCGTCTGGTCCAGAACTTCTTAAAAGTGATAGTCTTCACGGCATCATTTGAGATGCCAAAAAACCGTTATCTGGGGATCGATGAAGGTCAAATGACGAGAAAGACGTTTAGTAAATCCAAAGTTTCTGCGCAATCGGCCGTAGTACTTACAAAGTATGTAGAAATCTGATCTATTTTTGAACGTGGTTAGAGATAATCTCAGTACGGACCACTTTAGATAGCGTGCACCTTAGGTACTACAAGTAAGCGCATAACGTCAAATGAATAGAACTGGCTCGCCTCTGGTCTTGTATGGACTGACCAACGAAAGTCATACTAGTTGAGGGATCGTGATGTAAAGTCACTGGGTATGGTGTATAGCGGCTATGGTGTTTCGTAGGGGTTCAACGTTAGCAAATTAGGGTGCAAAATAGAAATTGGGGAGCCAAGGTTCGCGATGACGCAGCGCTTCATGCTTGTGCTGGAATCCGCGACCACGGAGGAAGTCTGCAAAAGACCCGAGCTGGTCAATTTCAGGTGGTGAATTTGAATACCTTATGCTAGTGTGCCGGAGTCTCGGTTTCAATGTCAGGTGCACGTCATCAACTTCTGAGTCGCCGGTCTACCCACATCTGATAACATCTATAGTAGGCCCTCCTCAGTCATCTTTAGGCAGTGTGGTGCTTGTGGTGACTTCGGCCACGGCGGGCGGCAGAGTGGAGGTGGTATTGGGGTGAGTTTGCGTATCAACTTCACCAAACATGACTTCCAGAGTCCGAGTCGTTTCCATCTCGTCCCCAGGCGGCATCGTTATAGTGCTTGAGGTGATATCAGTGTCAGCGAGAGACGCAGTCAGGGTACTGGCGTGAGTTTGTACATCAACTTCGCCCACCCGCCCAAATTCGGTATTTAGTTGCGTCTCTCTTTCTTCCCTGGCAGACGGCGTCGGCATATTGCTTGTGGTGGCTTTACTGACGCAGGAAGGCACATCCGACGTACTGGAGACAGACATCAGCTTCGCCGAGTATCGAGAGTCGGTGGCTCTGAGGGTGGGGGGACCATAACATAACATGGATGTGGGTTCTCAATGTGATATGGATCGATAGCCCTCCGGGCATGATTGCCTGAAGCCTGCATCCACCGACATACTCGTGTAATCCATCTAAAAATAGCTTCAAGCGTTATTTTGCCAGTGGCAAGCGTAATCTTACGATCCAAGTCGAGCTCATCGAGCGAGCGAAAGTCAAAGGTAATCCGTAAAGAACCCCTCTTGATGGAGAACCAGCACAAAGGTTGAGGGGCAGAGGGTGGGCATACAGCTATAGTGCGAGTGTCAGCGTGGAGCTATCAGGAACTGAACATAAGCTGAGATCCTGAATGCGGTCCGTGGTTATTCGGATGCTCCTAAAATCCCAGATAAGGCCGGAATCAACCATGATAGGGCGCCAACGGTCAGAGGGATCCTTCATGGAGTCCAGAGATGGAAATTTATGGGGTTGTGCGTTCGTTGGGAGAAGAAATGGCTTGTGGACACATATAACTAGCATTTGGAACGGTAGTTGGGAGAGGGGAGGTCAGGAGAGGCCTAGGGAAACTTCGCAAGAAAGTTAGGCTGAGGATTAAGGAATGAGTGCGCCGTCCGTTCAATTTTTTTTTGTTGGGCTGCCAGGAGGGAACTTCAAGTGTGCATGCTAGATCTCTGGTGGGTTGGTGCTTGTAGGTGTATAGCGGCCTCTACCGCTGAGAGAGCGGACACATGGAGGATAGTTTGCGGAGGAGGGAGGAGAGGAGGAATGGTTATCATGTAGTGTTTGTCAGGAGTTGGACACAACCACAACAAGAGTTTCAATCGTCCTCGACGACGCCGGCCCCCGATAGTATTGCTTGAAGATGTCCAACAAGCATGACGGGCTTTCCAGTGACAAAAACGGATCTATAGAGCGCTAAAAGCGTGCACAGTACGCTCTTCACCTGCCACAATGGCAAACCCACATGGAAAGTACGCCTCGATTTCACTCTACGAACATATCCACCTCATCTTCATCTTCCTCCAACTCCGTACGTCACCTCTCCCTATCTTTCCAATCATATACACTTCTAAATCACTTCTCCAACAGCTCTCGTCATACTCTGGACCATCCTCCTCTTCCTTCTCCGCATCCGCCGTCCAGCCCGATCCATCCGGCGAGACACATCCCTTACCATCATCCGATTCATAAAGTATCGCGTCTCCCTCCCTCAAAGACAATACATCAGCGGCACCTCTACCAATACCTACACAAAGTGGTGCAAGAAACATGCCCTCCCTGAGATGATTGAAGAGCTCATAGGTGATGCGAAGATTATGTGGATTGGGCCGAAGAGGACCAAGAGGGTTGTGCTGTTCTTTCCTGGTGCGTTTCCCTCGAATACTTAAGTGCGGACGGTTGCTAATGACGAGGAAGTATAGGCGGCGGCTACTTTGCTGCTCTCCCCATATTCATGCTCGATTTCTGGCGATACGTCCAACTCAAACTCGAGTTAGAAGTTGGGTTTGCTGTTTTGAACTACTGTACGTCTTCCGTTCTATTCCCACTTACCTGTACCCTTTCCCCCATTCACCGAACCCGACAGCGCTTTACCCAGAAGCAACCTACCCAACGCAACTCCACCAAGCCTGCACAGCACTCGACCACCTCATCTCAACAGGTACACATCCAAGCAACATCCACATCATAGGCGACTCCGCAGGCGGCAACCTCGTTCTCGGCTTACTCTCCATCCTCCTCCACCCTCTCCCCCTCACCGACTCCTCCGAGTCTCCACCACGGATCATAAACAGCCCTCTCCCCGCCCCACTCGCCGGCGTATACTTAATGTCTCCCTGGGTAAACTTCACCAACACCGCCCCCTCCCTTGTCGAAAACACACCACACGACATCTCAAACTCACCTGGGCTCGGAGAACATGTCATCGGCTGCTATACACCGTCATCTCAACGGGCGTACGTCGAGCCGCTCAAAGCTCCTTCGGGGTGGTTCGATGGTCTTAATGGCGTAGTTGATAGGCTGTTGGTGAGCGCGGGAGATAAAGAGGTGGATAGGGATGATATAGTGAGTTTTGGGAAGATTCATTTGGAAGGGAAGAAGACGAGGGGGTATGAGTTTGTACTGCAGGAAGGAGGGGTGCATGATGATCCGTATTTCGACTTTTTCTTTGGGACGCCGGGAGAGGGTGAGGTGGGTGGGTTGACACATAAGATTGTGGAGTGGTTGGTGGATGGGTTTACTTAGTCTTGTTGAGGTTGGTTGGGTGGTGCTGCTGTTCGAGCTGTTTTTTGTACATGTACATCTGTGTAATACTTGTATACCACTCAAGTCTATTCTGTCCACTCCTAAATCCGCTGAACCGCCCATTCCAAGATGCTTCTTATTCAGAAATAAGAACAAAAAGTAAAAAAATTTACGCCTAATATCTTCATAGCCCACCGCGAGGGTCGAACTCGCAGCCTTCAGATCAACTTTGTTGAATTGCAGCCCTGCATAAGAGTCTGACGCTCTATCCGATTGAGCTAGGCGGGCTGCGTTACGTTTGATTCATTCAAAAGGCTATACCTAAATCCTTTGAGTCAAATGTCGCCCTAACATCAGACATGAAAATGTTTCTTTTTTGTTTTATGTAAGGAGGGGCAAAAATATCGGCACTGGGGAGAAGAAATGTATGATTCATTGCTTTCATTTGGTCGAAACCATGTTTTCTTTAGATAAATCGAGTTGTAGTCGTCTGAGGGCCGCAGTTTATTTGTCAAGTTATGGTACCTATTTACAGCCGTTTTCATAACGATAGGCCTAATCTCGACCAAATACACATACAGGCGGAATCTAAAATTGGACGTGTAAGTTGTCGGATGATGACTCTATTTAGTATAACTGTAAATCTATCGTGCTCGTCATCCCTGAAATATATGCTGATTTTCGTGGACATGATTAGAATTCGAGGTCCGACTGTATCTGTAATTTTGAACTTTTGGCCTATCGTTATGAAAACGGCTGTAAAATTTTCTGTTCTTTCGTTGGGAAGAAGGAGAAAGCCGAGACGGTTTGATGTAGATAGTACGTTACTTCTCCCCAGTGTTAATGTTTCTACTTAGGTGATCTCCTCATTGAGGAAATTTTTCTTTTTGGTCGGCCCTAATTCTCTTTAGAAACGGCAACTCTCCGATTCAAATGTCAAGATACCAACCCGACTTCAGCTGTTAAATTTTATTGGCTGACAGGCCATGGATTTGTCCCAATCTTTCCTTTGCTGCCGCAGCTACCAAATAGAAAAATTTGAGCATCATACAACAGAAAAAGACAGAAAACAGAAAAAGAAAACCAACCTTCCGCTCGAGCTTTTTTCGCGTCTTCCTCAGCTTTTTTCACCTTTTCCTCAGCTTCGCGTTTATCTGTCGACGTGAGTATTACTAAATGCAGCATGTAAAGAGAAAAAAAAAGGAAACCCACTTCGTTCCGAATAAGCCAACACTGCCTTTTTCAATTGCTTTCTTTCCAACTGCATCATTTCTTTTAATGCTTTCTTAGTCCTTGCGCAAGCAGCGTCGACTGCATTGTCCAAATCAATTCAAATTCAAACATACACGAAAAGAAAGATCGTGCTCACTTAAATCATCAAGATCCAGATCGGCTACAGCACATTCCGGTGCGGTCTGACGAGAAGGACTGGTTGGAGGTGTACTTGAAGGCCGCGCTGCACGTGGCGAAGAGGCGCGCGATGACTGACTGGTACTTCGATCCTCATTGCCCCGAGTGTTCTGGGGTTCTTGCGCCGACTCGGAACTACTACTAGTTCGTGAAACAGACGCGGAAATGGGAGTGGACAATATCTTTCTTCTAGGGGTCGCGGTTTGTACTTGTACACCGCTTGTTCTTCGCCGCTTTGCACCAACAGTCGGCGTCCAGGATGAATCGCTATCTGTAGAATATGACGTTGTTAGGAACGAGATCACGGAAGCTGCGAAAGTTCGAATGCGAACCTGAGGGGAATTGTTGATGAGTTTGTAGCCGTTTTTTTGGTTTGAGTGAGGGCGCTTGATCTGCTCGCGGAGGAGATTGGTCTTCTGGCGGCGGATGATGAACAAGTTTCCTTTTCTTAGAAGCGTTTTCTAGCAACACTCTACGTCGATTTTCCTCAATGTTCATCCTAACTTGATTTAACGCAGACACCCGGCCCTCTGGTGCACTCCCTTCTTCAACAAGAATATCCTTGAGCAGCATGTGCGGATCCTGATGATCAGAATGCGACATGCCATGGCAGTTGTCCCTTAACCAACTCGGCTGGCGCCAGCCCAATTTGAGGGATGGTGTCCCCCATAAATAACGGCCCTTCACAAAGGGGTGGCTAACGAGTTCAAACTGCGTTTTGGTCGGCTTTGTATCCGACCAATTCCATACAACCCATTTTTCACGGTTGCGCGTCCATAGCACATACCTATCAAACGCCGTCAAGTCCCAATAAATATCACCGGGAAGCCCGATGTCATTTTCTGGTGGACCATAGCCGCGCATGGTGTTGAAGTAAACGCGGCGATCTGATTTCGAGGAATTTTTAAGTCGGCCACTGCGACCATTCGAGGGCGACAGGTCGTACGCATAGATGTCAGGGTCTGCCTTGTCGGAGATGAAGTGTGTCGTGAAGAAGCTCTTCAACCAATATGGGGTTTGATTTGCATTATTTCTCCAGGAGTCGGGGTTTAGCAGGCTAGGACCGGCTCTACCTGTCTCAGGCTGAGGAGTTGGAGACCCAGCCATGCGAGACATTGTCGATTTTCTCAGCCATTTTATGCGAATGCACTGAGACAAAACTTGGGTTGATAGGGGATGATGTCGGTAGCGATCGAAAACAAGTCTGTGACCAGGAGTCACGGACGTGACGACGAGTTGACTTCAAGGAGCCAACAAGGAGCTTCAACTGACAACGTTCAACGTACGCTGTTTAAACGAAGAGAGACCACGAGGTGATAGCGGCAACGAGGGGTCGCGCGCGTCGTGAGCCTTTCAATTCAGATCAAGTGAGATAAACGATTACAAAATATGGTCATTTGTTTTGCATTTGTTATCCATTTACAATATTCTACTTGCTAGCGCCAGGAAAGAAAATGGCCAACTTTTTCCATTCCTGTTCGGCATTCGTGACTTAAAAAAAGCATGCCAGTTGAGTTTGATAACGTGAAGAAGCAAAATTTTGAACGCACACTTTTCGTCGTGCATTCTGTAGTCTTGTATTCTTGCGATCTTTTCGTTTCGCACTAGCGAAAGGCGAGAAAAGGACTTGAATTAGAGCAGTAGTATTGAAAACTATTAGCGAAGACGCACGCCTTATTTCGAGTTCTTTCCGTCCTCTCTCGGCGTCGATCCACAAATTCTTATCTGGAATAAATGTAAGGATCAAACTCGAGGGAGCCTTCATATAGCCTACATAATTTGACTTGCTTCATTAAGTCACCCACCGTTGACGAAGATATATTATCTGCTGGGGCTGGCGTTAAATTATGACCGATTAACTCGGAAGTAAGAAATACAAAAAGGACCTACATTGCGAAGTTGAGGGCCGATTATTCACGGGGAGGGGACTAGACTGCAAAACTGAAGGGTATAGTATTATTAGCATGTGATAAACAGGTATTGGTGTATACCGACCTGCCATGATCTTCCCATCCTCCCCCCTCCAAAAAACTCCAAGATGTCCATTTTTGCGTCTGTGGATCGGCCCAGAGTTGAGCACCCTCACCTCCGTTATTACGAAGGGCTTTTGTAATGTCTTTCGTCAGCGAGGAGAAGTCATGTGAAAAATTAATGAGAAGGATGCCCCTGCTGAGTAGAGTATCGAGACGAAACCAGCCGAAACCGAATCGACCTTGAGGATCGAGTGACGGGTCCGTCGTTCCCCAGAGACAACGATCCGAGAAGATAGGATGGGTCGGCGGCTGGGGTGCCGACCAAAGCACCCATTCATCTTTACGTCGTATAAACAGTTGAGCGGGGTCGGCTCCTAAGTCCCAATAAATGTCGCCAATGAAACCGTATCCAACTGTTGTGTGCCCCTTTTTTTCGTAAAAAGATGGGGGACCAAGGTGAGCGATTTCATAAAAATGAATATATCGTGCATGGGAGTGATAGCTGCCCTTGTTCGAGAAATGCTTGAGAGAACAATGGTTAAACGATTCACCAGATGGCAAGGTGAGTTTGCGTGGCAGGTCGAGTGGTGGAGGACTTGTTGAAGGGCGGAAGACATTCATAGTAGGTGTGGATGAGGAAAATGAACCGCTGTACTTATACCGTGTGCACAACTCGAAGATCGTTGAATGTCATGTTTGACATGACTCGAAAGATGGAGCCCTGAACTTTGGAAATAGTTGGCCTGGTTGCAATTGCGTCCGACGAAACAAGCGCGCAAATCTTTTGTCGACGATGCAATCATGGTAATGAATTATATATTCTGCCGATCGTAGAAACGAGCCTTAACCTGCAGCGAGTAATAGGTAATCCTGATGTCCATCTCAAAAGTTTTAGCAAGTATCAATAGCGATGAAAATTGATAGTGTAAGGGTAGGTCATAAGTGCTCACGTCAAGGTCAGTTGATGTCCGTCGATCGTACTTGTCCATTCCAAGGCCAGGGTAGATAACTACGATATGATCCCGGACAGCCTGCGCTTCACGCGGGAAAGTACCGTCTTGTCGGCAATTGGGGCCTCTGATTCAAAATTCTCACCACTGTCATTGCTGGGAAGTGGTGTTCTTTTGGACCAAGCGACCAAACCTTCAGGGATGGATCGCAGGGAAACACGCCAATTGGAAGGGAATTTTCGCAATGGGGGTGGATGTGCTTCCGCTTCAACTGGATTCGTGGGGTAGATGGTTCGCAACACGACGTCGCGGTCCGCGTCGAAAGCTGCGATGAGGTCGACGGCGTAGTCAGGAATTGAACCTTCAACCTTTGAGAGAAGATCCTCGGAAGGGTCGTGGTCGTCGGCCTTGTAGATAACGGCTGTTCCGAGACTATTGTTACGACTGTGGCATCGGGTCGATGCAAGTGGGGGCGGTGAAGCTGGTTTGTCCTTATGTCGGATAGGCAAGGGCGTGAGGGGTTCGGGTTTAAGACATCTCAAGTCATGATCCCGAGGCTTTAAGACAAGTGGAAGGAGTGTTGAATGTTTATGTCTTCGAGGAAAGGTAGGTTTGTCGAGCAGAGAACGTGGACCGTGACGACGACGACGCGTACGCAGAGGGCTAGGCCTCTGTGAAATCTCAAAGTACCTCAAGAGATTATTGTCTTCCTTGGAATGATTGCCAACGTTGTCTTCAGGGAAATCGAGATCAGGGGACTGACCGAGAGATGTTAGGTGCTGCGACACAGTCTTTGATTGTGAAGTGATGACAACCTCCCAGCGCTCTTGCATCCATCGGTCACGCTGAAGAGCTTCGCAGAGAGGCGGGTCTGTTGCACGATTGGAAAGGAGGTCTCGGAGCCTCACTAGGTCACTTCGCACATCCTCAGCGCGGCTGTTGAGGATAGCTGTGGCGGCTTTGAGGGCACGGATTTGCAAATCTTGAGGAGAGGGTTCATCTTGACAGCGCTGAAAACTACTCCTCAGAGCAGCCTCAGCTTCAGAGTAGCGGGCCAACCTAGGTGGTGCAGCTGGCCTGGGAGCTGTCGGAGGCAACAGCAAGCTAACTTCTTGCGCCTTGACCAACGGCACCGATGGGCTAGCATATCTAGCCTTCATGAGCAGTTTTCGACGATTCTGAGAGGTAAAGCGTACTGAAAGTAAAGCACGGAGTCCTGGACGAGCGCATGCTCCGTGATAAGTTGGTACGTTCCTTGTGAATTCTGTTACTTCAAACCATCTCTGAGTGGATACAATCATTAAGTTCTTACCCCGAGTACTCGACATACATTCCGCTTCACATCTTGACCCATCCCTCGCCTATTTGCCGTGAGCTAAGGCCTAGTTCATGGAAGTTTAGGTAAGGGGTAGTAATTAGTCGGTTCACAATGCACAAGGCTTTTGCCATACAGAACCAAGCAAAAACCGATGAAACGATAGGACGCAACTTGGACGCAACTCTTTGTTCCCAAGTCCCGACTCAATCCCAGTTACTTGCCATGCACAGTTCTACAAATTGAGATGCAATTTCAAACAGTTGGTGAGCCTAACCTGATGAACAAATGTTAACATGCTCACAAATGCTCAACAGGACAAATGCCTTGTGCGTTTGGTGTCTGCCATTCATCACTCCGTTGGACCTTTGCGACTCTTTTGTTGAATCTTATACTGGAGGTTGGCGTCGAACATACGAATCTCAGAGAGTTTATGCAGCAGGCGGATGACTAAAAGCCGGTTTCTCGAGTTTAGGACCCACAGACAAAGGTGCGGAATCTCCTTGAAATCTCCATTTCGAGAAGAGGTTTGATGTTGGCAATAGGTCGATGTACGGTCGCGCTGACATCTGCCGGTGCTCTCTTTTCCCTAAATGTGCATGCATTTCAGGCGCACGATCGGAAACTCTAAGGGAACCATTCGCGAGTTCACCGATGATCAGGCGCGCATATCGTTCTTGACATATGGGCAGCGATAGGTAAACCTTGTTTAATCTTATTGCTTTTGTCGTCATGTATCTAATGTAGCCCCAGGTTTTTGCAGTCCTGCTTTGAACTCCGAGTTTTACCTGTGGCCAATCCGTCGCAGCGTCCTCCTCAGGGTGAGGGCTGCCAAACCTCCGGATTATCGAGGAGCTTTTTCTCTCCTTCTTGTCTTTCCGCTGGTCGGCCCCTTTGGGAGCTGAGTGTCATTGAGGAATTCAGCACGTTGACGAATCCATCTCTCCGGCGGCGTATCCTGGCCAATCCTCTGTTACTGTCTTATCCCGATTACATTCGTCGTCATGATCCAGATGAACGACTCTATCTATTCTGACTGTCTTTGTTTATCGTTTCGACCCACCATACGGAAGAAGCCAAGAAACCGAGGCTGGAGAGGATTCTGAATGTGGTATATGTAGGAGGGAGGAGAGCTTGAAACGTTCTCCCCTTGACATCCAAGGGAGTCGAGGGAACTATTACGAGGCTTGACAAGATTGTAAAAAGAATGGGGCAAGTAAGTGCACGCTCCCTTGTTGTGGATAGTTGGTCTGAATTTTTTTCTCTCAGAACTTCTTGAGTGAGGCCGTCGTTCGAAAGGCAGATCAGCGTTGTCCTGCCTTAATGCCGCAGCATTTGTGGTGTTGCTATAGCACCAAGTGGCCAAATGGTACTCATATGGCTTGGCCATTCCTTGCATTCGACGCCTCATGGCGACTCCTTTGTAACAATTGTTACCTGATGGGGTCACACTTAGCGGCCGGAGAATCAAAACTGAGTCATTCTTACAATACGGCCGCAACTTGACAAAGGACGATGTGGACCACTTGGACCCTTGTTGATCAACAAACAATTAGTGATCTTCCCCGTTCTGGCTAATGACCATTATCTGGAGGCCACCCAGTCTCCATGTTGGATTGTGGCTCCTGGCCACTATCGCCTCCAGCATTGTCTTCAGAACTGTATAAGAGAAGGGCGACCAAGGACGACAACATACATCTTCTCCTCCTACATCATTTTTCATAACCAGCTTTGGTCTGGCTCAAACCCCATCACCCTCATCTCTACCGTCGTCGTTCTCTTGCAACCATGTACACCCAAGGCTATCATCACTATCCTTCCGCTTCACATCCCATGTATCCTGATACAGCGCGGGCGCACACCCTTTCCGCAACCCTTAATCCCGGAACTCCTCAATACGAAGAAATTACTCGTCGACCTTCCTACCTACAGAATGAATATGGATACTTTGTCTCAAACGAAGCTCGTGCTGACATGAAGTTTCCTCTCTCGACTGCAGACATGCTCGCTTGCAACACCGGCATTGCGGACATGTATCACGAGAATAATATCTTGGAACAGTTCGTCGACCTTGTACCTCCCGAGGTGTATGCAAGGATGGGGTTGCCCGTCCCTGGAGCCCCTGCCAGTCCCACTAAAGCTGCAGCCAAGAGGGGTAGACCAAAGAAAGCCGCCGGTAGGCCTAGGTCTCCTACCAAAGCATCGACTAGGTCGCCTCGCAAGGCTGCTGCCGCTCCTCAACTGGAGAGCGTGACAGAACATGCGGAGCCGTCCGGGAGCTCTAGCTCTGCTCCACCTGTGAGCCGCGGAAGGCCTGTCACTCATGCCAGGGCCGAGGACGAGTTGAGGGCTACAATGTCCGCCTCGACGGCTGCTCGGGTGAGTGTCCTTATCTAGCTCTCATTTTTAGCGATATTGACGTGATGTGTAGTTGCGTGGTAGGGCGATGCAGAACGACGCTATGGAAGGAGTCGTGCCCTCTCAGATCTAGTACGTTTCGTCTTGGTCACTACCATAAACTTCTCAGCTCACAGGCACCTCGTTCACTCCAGCTCTGCCTCTTCAACCCCCTCGATGTCTCATGGCACTCCGGTAAAGCGAGCTGAGAAGGAACGAAGGGTTGGCACCCGGACTTCTCCTCGCAAGGCCAACAGGGTCGACTATGCACGCCTGAACGACTAATCAACCACCGACAGACGTTGCTAGGTATTCTCAAAGTAGCCGAGGCTCTTTGGAAACTCTTGGAGCTCTGCATCACGATCATTCATCATCGTCACTTTCATTATCTTGTATTATCCGCTGGCGTGCCAGCGTAGACTCAACCCTCATTACTGTAGCTATCACTCGCATATCGCATCTCATTATAAATTCAGTCACTCATTCCATCTACGCGTGATGTTCGTTCAGAATTTGATGAATGTCTCGAGACAGGTACTATGCCCTACCAGCACCTCGGCGCACCCTACGAGTCGTCAGTCACTGATCGTCACACATTTTGGCTGGACAAAATTTTCAAGTTGTCACCTGTTGTCACGCAACGTCACGCTTGTCCAGCTAAAAAATGTGACGATCAGTGACCGCCGACTCATAGGGTGCGCCGAGGTGCTGGTAGGGCATAGTAAGTGGGTTCCTGAGTTCAAAGATGAAAAGCTGCGCCAGCCATTCATCTTTCAGTCCACAGGTTCTAGCCATGGTCAGCGCTGGTTATTGCGTGTGCCTTTCCCATTCACCCTCATTCCCGGCTCGTCTGAAAGAATCACTACCCGCCGTTCATGATATCATATATCACATCTCATCGTATTAGCATTTCGCATATATATATGCATACACATTCTGTCTTCTACGTCCCTTTTCCTTCGTATTCTTCTTTCTTCTTCTATCAATAATCTATTGAGAAAGCTGCTTGATCTTCAATATGATAGCTACATTCATACGTGATCAGTGGTGGAACATCAAACTTACAAGAGTACGTACATTGAGGGTCAAGACCCTGATACGGAATCTGTTCCCATAACCCTCCGCATCCTGGAACGAACAAGCGCCAAAAGTGAACAAAAGCACATGGATCCAACTAGCATGACGAGCTCACCTTCTTTCGTGCTACCCATGTATCCATACCTTGGTGTCAACTGACGTTCCAACAACCACGTTCCAAACTTAGACCCGAGCTGGTTGGTTCCGTTATAAGTCATACGTTCATTTAGACGAAACGAGAGAAGACTAACCCCAGTCTTCTGATTGAGAGACTCAACGACCAGAACGAAGGGACTTTGCCCAATCTTCATGATACTCTAAAACAGGTAGGTATCCAGTGAGCATCGCGTGCACAGCCAGAACGAAGAAGAAAAAAACCCATACCTGCTCATCGACGACATTCAAACAAGCCTTATTAATCAAACCAACATCAAGGCCACGCTCCCTGCACCTCAACACAGCATCCCAAGATCTATAAAGCATCTCCCCAAACGAAACGACGTAGCCAGCCTTGCCCTCGACGATAACGTCATCCTTGCCCGGAACGAACTTGTAATCGCCTTCAAAGAACCTCGTTCCGTCTTCCTTCAAGATCCAAGGGACTTTGGAGCGTGTTGAGAAGACGAAGCGGAGACCTCGGTTGAAGAAGACTGTCTTTACTATGGCGATCATTTGAGCGGCGTCCGCGGGGAAGTATAGGAAGGATTGGACGTCGGAGAGGCCGTTGTCTGCGAACATGTTGTTTACACCTAAGGTAATGTCAGCACGGGGATTCTTATACTTCAAGGGAGGTGCGTACCGAAGTGACATGTATTATCAGCCTGTATGCAGATATGTTAACAGTAGTATAGTGTACGTTAGAGGAAACACACCATCTAACGTCAACGAAGACATTACATTGTTAGTCAAGGCCGTTTCGAGCCATGATAATCAACATACCTCATCGACTGCAGTAAAAACATTGTATCAGATAAGCCCGTCAATCTACTTGAAGCAGCAACATACCTCCAGCATGAGAAAAGTGAGAGAGCACATTGCAGTTATTCAAACGAGCCATGGTAATCTCAGATATCACCATCTCCAAGAACGCGGAGAACGTAGAGAAAACGCCAAACTTGTCTGGGGCAAATCCAAACCCGGCAGCTGCGGAAAAGTTGCTGCGTTCCATGATCCCAGAAGAAATGAACACCTCGGGATGTTTCTGATGAATCCCCTTCAATCCGGTCGATCCTTCAAGATCACCTAGACAAACATTGTTTTCGTTATTCGACTATCGTGAAGGGGAGGGAGAAACGTACTATCAATCACCAAAACTTTTGCTACTGCCTCCTCTTTACTCAGGGTATCCAAAACCATACTGACTGCCTCTCCAAACACAACGCGATTCGCGCCCAGCTCTTTCGTGGACCCGATGAAAAGATAAGGATTTGGTACAGGTTTGATGTCGTCGTAAACGCCTGCGAGGTTAGAGTACCCTCTCGCAGCTAGGTACTTCTTCGCCGATTTGACTGGGATGACATCATGAGCGTCTATGGAGCCTTCGATGTCGGGTATGCCGATAGCCATGACACGCTTAGAGACGACTGGGATATTCGGGTGAGCCTGAGCGAGATGTGGTTTGGATGGATGGTAACTTACCAGCTGCAGGTCCATCATGAGTAACTGCACCGCTAATGGCTCCCCATAGACTGTCAATGTCCTCTCCTTGGACAGGGAATACCTTGAGGCCGTGGCCCGTGAGCGTCTTAGCGACACTGAACCCCGGAAGGTACTGTGAAGGATGGCCAGAGATAGTGACGTCGTTGTCGTCAACGATAATCTTCACATTAAGCTTCTGCGCGACCGCAATTCTTGCTGCTTCTGCATCGTTGCCTTCCTGCTGCGAGCCGTCGGAGCCCAGACAAAACACGGTCTTGCCACGATTGGCGAGAGCCACACCATTGACCAAGGACCTGTCGCATATATTGTGAGGGAGCGGGTGCTCTCAGAGATATAATTAACATACCACATATGCCCCAGACGACCAGACGAGAACTTTACGCCGGGAGTCAGACCCAACTCAGGGTGACCTGGAAGCTTCGCATGGGCTTGCCGATAGTGCAAGAGATGCTCTGCGGGAAGAGAACCCTCCATTGCGGCAAGGAGATACTGGGTCGCAACTCGGTGACCTAGATGACCGAATTGTATGAATATATGTACAGTTTCTTGAGTGAAACACACGAACCAGCTTCGTCAAAGATGATGGGCACGAACTTGTCAGAGTGCTCGAAGATAGCTAACAACATGCAGACTTCGGGTACGGTATCGTATGCTCCACCTAATCACGTCAATTAGCTGAGAGAGTGCCCACTTTAACAGAGTACATGGACAAACCGGTGTGGCCGCTAACACCTCTCGCTGCGCCAGTCGCTGTGAAATACACGATGACATCACGAAGTAGTTGGATGTTGGCTTGTAGCGTAGCTTTCTCCTCTGCTGATAGTTTCGGTTTGGTTGGGTCCAATGCTAGTCTAACCTTCGTGTTAGCGGGCTGTGCGCCGTACTCAGCACAAGGAAGAAATATACTTTTTGAACTGCTTGAGATCAATGGCAAATGTATCTGGGGACATGAGTGGAAGACGTGGTAGTTGGTGAACAAGGTGGGGTACTTAAGGCGACGATGTGTGGAGCAAGACCGGGATTTGCCTGCACCCATGACGAACTCCAAGTGGTACAAACTTCGGCTTACAAAAGGAGCTTCTGTCATCAAAATGAAATATTCCACGACATAACCAGATAACAGATGAGATCGACTACATTTTTCTCGAAGTCTTCAAACTTCCCAACGCAAGTTTCCCCGATACCTGTTAATAGGAATCAGCGACAAGGTTACAGAGGGACATTGTTGAAAGGAAAAAGGGAATCAGAGAACCGAGACTCGACAGTGGCAGCTCCCCGTAAAGAGAGTGCTTCAGACGGCACTTCCTAAGCTAACCGGTTGGTGATCGTCATGTATAAAACGCAGAACAAGACATGAGGCAGTTCAAGGAGAGGAACTCACCACGACAAAAGAAACAGCCATCGCTGTTGGTGTTCAAGGGAAACAAGCAAAAAAAAAGATATTTCAAGGTTTGGTGTAACTCCGCCATCACTGTCGGAGTGTATCGGAGATTGCTCTGATCTCAACCCTTTCACCGGATTGGATTAACGCTGTTCGAAAATCCTCCTCACAAAATACCGCCTCACCTCCTCTCCAAGTACTTAATCGCAACAGGCGACGTGCTTGCATCATTATATTTCACCGCAAAATGTGAGCACCTTTTTTATTTTAGTTTAGTACCACAAACCTCCATGATTCGATCGATTAGTATTGACAATACCTGCAGATAAAACGAATAGTTATTTTCTCTGAGAGAGAACATGGATAACCCTATGTCATCCATCGCTAATCCTGCCACCAACCAACCCTTTCCATCCACTGGAGGTTTGGGCACAGGGGGCCAGCCTATTTCCCCAGTCGCAAACACGAATGGCGACCAGCAGCTTCCAGTGAAGAGACGACCTGGGCGTCCAAAGGGGAGCACAAAGAAGCATTTGCTAGGCGAGCCGACATCACCGAAAAATAAACGACCAGTTGGGAGGCCGAGGAAGGATGGGTTGCCAGCTGGCTCGGTGGGGCCATCCAGGGCGAAAAGGGAACGAAATCGGTCAGCTGTGCGTACCAAGGATTTCTCGAGCATTCAAACGAGGAGAAACTGACATTCATAACGCAGCCTCAGTATGCGCCCCAGTTTGCGGGCGTACCGTATCCTGTTGGACAATATCCGCCCTCTATCAGCGCCCCGTACATCCCTCAGCCCGCATTTCAGATTGATCCGAGCCTAGGGGGTGGTGGAAGCGACGAGTGGGCTGACCTCGCACGCTCAAACCCTAATGCGTTCCTCGGCGTCCTCCTCGCAGCGCTCGCAGCACCCAACCCCGTCTCCAACACTGGCCCCAGCGTCGAAGAGGCGTTCAAAGACCACTTGGTGTCACTCGCCCCCACAGGGCAACCTCAACTGAACCCTATCCCCTCCCTGTACTCCATTCTCAAAACCTTCTGGCTGCCTTCGTCGCCTGCTTACTTCTCCCTCACGGCTTCTGCTTCGACTACACGCACCCCCTCGGAGCACCGGTTCTTGTACTGGGACCCGCTGCCGCTAGTGTTCAATGGGGTAGCATGCCCCAGCTGTTCTGCGCCGTTGGTGAATAATGGCAGGATCACCTCTGGCCCTGTCAAGGTATACGATATCGAGAAGCCCTTTTTCATCATCGGGTGTGAATACGTATGTAAATCTCTCCAATGCATCAACGCCACTTCCCCGGAGGGGAGGAAATACGCGAGCACAGACGGCTCCATCCTCCGTTCCCTTCCTGCCCGACTAAAAGACGAGTTGCCGGCATCTCTTTTGTTTGGAGACAACGACACAGGGAGCGGGCCGAATATCTGGAACTGGAAGGCGTTGGGCGTGTCGACGACGTTATGGAACATGGTCCAGGGATGTCTGAGCGCGAATCTGAAAAAAGAGGTCATATTGCACTTGATCTTTTCCGTCCAGGGCGGCGTCGCGATGCGCGGGGAAGGCGGGGAGGGAGGGGAAGGTGAGCAAAAAGAGGAAGAGGAGGAAGATGACGATGGCGAAGATGACTTGATTGAGGATCCCCAGCAGCAGCAGCAGCAACAGGCAGGGCCTTCCGGTGCTTCTTCACAGCAGCAGGAAGGCCCAAGTGAGAGTGGGGGTGGTAACAGTGTACGTTAATACATCTCTTATTTTATTAGCCCTCAACCCCGGCAATTGTATCCCCTTTTTTTTTTTCTCTTTTAGACGTTTCCGGCTGGGGGATATGGCAGCGATACTACGTGGAAGCTTGATAGCTCAGCAGCTATGAACGTTCTTGTTAAGACTTCAACACCTGTGGTCGCAGTGCACCAGCAGCCGCAACAGCAACAGGTGGCCCCTGCGCCTCCTATGCAGGCGTACTCTCAATATGGATACGCTATCCCGGCACAATACCCGTTCATGGTGCAACAGGTGATGAACGGACAACACATTCTGTCCTTGGGCACACCCACGCATGCAGTGCCATCTGCCATCGCGACTGGTGCGTTTCCAGCGCCTCGTTGATTTAATATCACGTTTAACATTCTGACGTTTTTTTCCCTAGATGCTATAACTATAGATCCAGGCGCGGCTGAAACGCAACAAAAACGCAGCCCGCGACACTGCTGCAAGTGTGGGTCTCAAGAGTGTAAAGGAAAGGGTGGGAGAAGCTTTTGTATGAACCCCTGTCAGGATTGTGGGAAGTTGGATTGTAAAGGCAGGAATAGCAGGAGGCCGGATAAGAGGTGTACTGAGGGGTGGGCGTGATTTTGTGTTGTATTTTTCTTCTTCACATTGTGTCTTGGCAAATCGCCCCCGATTATTTACTTATATGAGAGAACATTGTAAGTAAATGTGTATTTCCAGTACTTACATTGTACTTATAATATTGTTGCATGAGAAAGCGCTCAGGCCTCATGGTAAAGTTGTGGTAAAGGAATAATGATGATTGCACCGATCAAACCCCCTCGTTTCCTTCTACCACCATTGTCGTGTCTTGGTAGATCCCTGTGGATTATTTACTTATATGGGAGAACATTGTAAGTAAATGTGTATTTCCAGCACTTACGTTGTACTTAAAATAATATTTCACGAAAAAGCGCTTCCTCTATGACTCATGGTGAAATTGCGGAACGATTTAAAGGGAGCGGGAGGCCTTGCGCCGATCAAACCCCCTCGTTCTTCTACAACCACCATGTCGCCACGACCTCGTTATCACTGCGGGCTTAAGGTCCTCCTGTGTTAACAGCTTCTACAACGTACGAGATCGAATACAGCTGTTTGCCGCCCAATGGCCCGCTATGGCACAGGCCCGTGCAGCGTCTAACTATAAGCCTATACAAACCCTCGCCAAGGTTCTGGGAACAACTTCTGCCGCCATGATGCCCACCATGCCCCGCTGCGACTCGCCCCAGCCTCTCCCATGGACCACTGGCAGCTTCCCAAGATTTTATCCTGGAAGACCTGTTCGCTCTCCTTCCTCGTCTCCACCTTCGTTAGATTCTTCAATTTGCAGTGAAGCGCCGTCGACCTTATCTGATTCATCGATAAGCTTGATCACCCCTGAATCCTCATTGTTACTCGATAGAGATACCGCTGGAGTATATAATTACGTCCCCACGGAAGACTTCAAGCCTTCTTCCCCTTCTCTCGTTTGTGCATCCCCAGGACGACTTCCTCATCTGATCCTCGTTGCGCTGAAGGATGAGCTTCCTGTATGCCGTTCACATGGCCTGGTTTCAGAGGAGGTGGCCCTGGGTACGTACAAATCGCCGGGCCGCTTACAAACTTTGGTACTAAAACGGTAGACGCCGTTCAGACAATTTTTTTGTCGATGACAGCGTGGCACAACCTAACCCGGCTACGGGTACCCTCTCGTCCTTCTCGCACACCGGAAACGAAAAGCAATTCGGCATGGGAGATGAGAACACCACTCCCAGGTCGCCTGACGCACGCTGTCCTGTCTTTGACGAAAAAATTGGGCTTGGTCCACCTCCGTGCATGACCGACACACCTAGAATGCTCCAGCGCATCCCCTCCGACCCAGTGTGCGACTTGTCAGATGAAGTGGAAACTACGGAGCAGTTCTCAGTTGCTCATGGTGGGTTTTCCGACATTTACAAAGGCGTATGGGCAAAACCGTTTGGTGGTGAGAAGGGGAAAACTGTGGTGCGTATATATTTCGTACCTAGGAATGGAGCTCGGGCTCATGATGGTGGGGGTGACAGGTTGCAATAAAACTACTTCGAGCGTTCACGAGGCAGGAGGTGGACCCTGTACGAGCACGAAAGGTGAGCTATTGCAAAACTTCTGCTGCCACGTGGATCTTAACTGACTGACATACCACCAGCGCCTCAACAGGGAAGTATATGTTTGGAATCGTCTTGTCCACCACAACATTGCGCGGTTCTACGGGATCTCTTTCCGCCTTGGCGGACGGCCCTCCATCGTCATGCAATGGTACCAAAATGGCACTGTGCCAGACTACATTGACACTCAACTTCGAGTGAATGGGGTAGAGGTTGATAGATTGTCGTTGGTAATTCGCATTCATACCTTTAGCTGATTGTAGGGAGACGCCTGACCTGACTTGATAGGTTCGAGATATCGCGCAAGGTCTTGGCTATCTACATTCCTTGGTTCCCCCAGTGGTTCATGGAGATTTAAAAGGGGTGCGTGGTCTTTATCATATATTCCCTGTTTGTTGATATATAACTGGGATGCGCAGAACAATACACTCGTCAACGACGACGGGCATGCGATGCTGACCGACTTTGGGCTCGCAAAGGTCATTGAAGAGTTAGCAGGCCCAACGGGGAACACGACGTCATCATGTGCAGGCTCTGTGCGCTGGCAAGCCCCGGAGTTGATATTCGACACAGGATCTGATCAAGACGATTATATGGGTGATGCTCCCAAACCGTCCTCACCAACTCCCGCTTCCGACGTCTGGTCGTTCGGGTGTACAGCCTATGAGGTTCGTCTTGCCCGTTCATCTCATAACTCACTCGTGATTCCTGAGTTCCTTCCCTTTAGATCATGTCGGGAAAAATCCCCTACCACACCCGCTTGCACGATTGGACCGTCATTCAGGCAATTGTTGAGAAGCAGTGCCCTGTCCCTCACGAAGAAGGGGTGCTTGAGAGTAATGGGTTGATGTCGATTTTGCATGGTTGTTGGCAGTACGATGCGGGGAAACGGCCGGAGATGGGGGAGGTTCTTCGAAGGCTGCAGTCCATCTGAGTGTCAGATGGGGCGCACAACACCTGGAACATTCCATCCTTTTAGACTTGGCTCATCTTCTTTCTCCATATTTCGAACCTACGCTCTCAGTATTTTCTTGTCAACGAAGACATAAGTCACATTTTGAGGTTTTTTCTGCCCTTCCAGTAGATCTACTACTAATAAATTGTTTTCTTGTCGACGGAGCTATCTTGTCAGTGAATCATGAAATGTTTCCGTGGCCAAGAAAGGTAGTGATCGACAGGTCAGTGGCGTGTTATGTCATGACTTTATTATTCGACCAAAATATTTCGCCCTTTCTTGGTCCCCACCACGTCCTTCTGTTTCCTGAGCTGTCTAGTTCCCCTCCTCAGCATGCCTTCCTCCCGCGAAATTATCAATATCCAGGTATGCGTTGTCTGTTAGCTGCCTAGAATTGTGGTGTTGACTTCTTCAAAAGGCCGGTCAAGCTGGGAACCAGGTATCTGTTGGTTGAATTTACGAACCATCGCCGTCGCTCACTATTTACTATAGGTCGGGGAAGCATTCTGGCAGATGCTTCTCGCCGAACACGGGCTGGATATGGAAGGGGTGAGCCCATCTCCTCTCATCTCCTTGTCAGCATGACCTGATCTAAAGGGCAGAAATATATCGGTTCAGATCCACTCCAGCTTCAACGCGTACGTCTTCCGTTCTTCTCCGACTGCCCTTGGTGATGAGGAATACACTTCTTCTAGGCTGGTGTATACTTCGACGAAATAACCGGCGGTGCGGCACCCAAGTTTGTGCCACGAAGCGTCCAAGTGGATTTGGAGGGTGGTGTTTGTAATAGGGTGTGTTCCTTTGCGTTTGCATTTGCCTTGCGTTGAGTGTATGATGTGTGTGTAGATCAAGGGCGGCCCTCTGGGGAGTTTGTTCCGCCCAGATACGTTTCTCCACGCAGAGGTCGGTGCGGGGAATAATTGGGCAAAGGGCTGTAAGTCTTTTCGATGACTGCCCCGAATTATGCAACGTTAACACCCACCACCACTCAGTCTACACAGAAGGTACATTCTAGTTACAAAAGTTGACATGTCTCTCATACATCGTGTTCAGGTGCCGAATTGGTGGAATCAATTCTTGTACACTCCCCCTTCATCTAATCCCTTTCATTAACTGAACTGAACTTGTTTAGGACATCGTACGAAGACAAGCTGAGTCATGCGACGCCCTTCAAGGCTTCCAGATCCTACACTCGTTGGGAGGCGGGACAGGCGCAGGGCTGGGGACCCTTCTGCTGCAAAAGTTGCGTGATGTACGTGTTATATTCTATTACGTTGTTCTACTCACTCTTTCATCGATTTGTAGGAGTTCCCTGACCGAATGGTCGCCACGTTCTCGATCCTGCCTTCCCCAAAGGTTCGTGGAATTTCAGAAACAACCCTCTTATTCTAACGCGTTCACAGGTTTCTGAAACCATCGTTGAGGTATGATGAACAGTGGCCTGATTACGATCCTGTTTGAATCAAACCTTTTCAGCCGTATAACGCCATGTTGTCGATGCATCAGCTTTGCTCTAACGGCGATCTGATCATTTGCGTCGATAACGAAGCTTTGTCTGTCTCTCTGCGTTTTGTTCTGGCAAGACGTGATCTGACTAATCCCATAGATACGATATCGCAACCAAAACCCTCAAGATCCCAAGTCCCGCTTTTGAGGATTTGAACGGGGTACGTCGGTCCCCCTTTCCTCATTCCATTTCCCTTACATCGTCTGCGACAGCTGATCGCTAGAGTTATGTGTGGAGTCAGTACTAGTCTTCGATTCCCTGGTCAATTGAATGGGTTTGTCCAACTTCATTTCAGGGTGAAATCGCTGTTCATCATTCCATAGAGATCTACGAAAGCTCGGAATGAATCTTATTCCCTTCCCTCGCGTAAGTGCCCATCCAAGCAACGCTCCAAAGTTATCGTTCACGTACTTATGCCAACAGCTCCATTTTTTGATGCCGAGCTATGCACCATTCTATGATCCCCGTGCAGTGAAGTACGAGAAGAACTCGATTCCAGAACTCACGAAGGCGTGCGTCGCTCTTTCCCTTTATCTTAACGCCATTTATCTCAACCACCCCATACAGTCTATTCGACCGCAAAAACCTTCTCGTGGCTTGCGACCCTCGCTTCGGGTGAGTCCCTCAAGGTATCTCGAAGCCCTCCTAACCGTCCGCCACTTGGCGAACCCTAGTCGGTACCTCACGGCCGCAACAATCTTCCGTGGTAATATCTCTTCCAGAGAAGTAAGTCATGCGGTGATGTTCCCAGTGAGAACGTGATGACATTCGTTTTTGCTGCAGGCTGAAGTATGTCTCGCTTTGTGCTGGCATACTCCCTGTTCCTCAACATCGCTGCGATGATCCTATTAGTACGCCGTGCATGATCTGCAGACCAAAAATTCACAGCATTTCGTTGAGTGTGTAGATTTTGTGACTGGGTGTTTGAAGACCCCTTCTGATGTGCTTTCTAGATGGATCCCTGACAACGTATCGGTGTCGCTGGTCACTGTCCCCCCTGTTGGGCAAACTCAGGTGTGTTGATGTCGTTCACATCATGTGTGGAAAGATGATGACTATCTCTTCGATTTAAAGTCTGCTACGGCCCTAGCCAACTCAACGGCCATTCAGGAGGTGTTCAGTAGGACACTTGTCAGCGTAAGCCATCTTCTTCTTGATCCCAGTACGTTACTTACTGACATGACACCACGTCTGCGGGGACCCAGTTCTCAGCCATGTATAAGCGTCGTGCCTTTTTGCATTGGTTAGTTGATTTGAGGTCCCTCGTATACCCTGGATGTACTCAACCATGGACGACGATGTAGGTACACCGGCGAAGGCATGGACATCATGGAGTTCTCTGAAGCGGAGAGCAACATTCAAGACTTGATGTGAGCGCTAAGTAGCCATGACTCTCTATTCATGCCACTCTGACCACCCCTCCCCTCCCATCAGCGCCGAGTATCAGCAGGTAAGCCCCGCAACACTCACCGTCATTCCCCTTGAATGTCGTAACTCAATCTCCCTCATAGTACCAAGAAGCCACCGTTGACCCAGAAGAGGAGTACGAAGAAGAGGCTGCCGAGGACGCTGGCGAGCAATAACGTTGGCTGGTTGTCGTCCTGGCTAATCTTTTGTGGTTTACTTTACGCTTAATGTAATGATGCCTTGTGGTAATAGGCGGTGTTTGTGTTTACGGTTTTTGTTGTTAGGTTTTTGGTAATTCGATTCCATTGGATACATTGCAGATACGCGAACCTGGAGGGTCGAAGAGCACAATTGATCGAGGCGAAAGTCATTTAAGAGGTCTTTTTTGTGGTCTGATGGTTCCGTGTGTTGCCTTGCATCTGCTCATCGGAGCTGTAGGGGCGGGAGTTCATTCACCAGCGAGACTTTGGAACGCACTGATAAAGCATTCGCACAATCGGGTGGAATTCATTATATATACTACCTCGAGATGCGAACGTCAAGTTTTTGGGGAAAAAAAGAAAAATCATATAGTGGGTCAGGAGTCTAAAACGCTATGCACGTGGATAGGTTTCTCTCCAATCCTCTAAAAAGATCAACGTCCAGGTGAACACGGGCCAGCCGCTTTCCGGAGAGCCAATTCGAGGTCGGCCAAGTTTGTTCAAACGTTCAACCACAAACATGTCCAAAGCCCTCCTGATACCGATCCATCATCTTCCATCATCGTCATAAATTGACGTGCAGCTGGAAATTGAGGTGAGTGTGTCTCCTACTCGTTTCAACTACATAGCCTAAAAAAGATCACTATATGCGGAATATGCCAGAAAATGGCCCCCCTCCGTTTCGAGAATGAGAATACCCGGAACGCTTTATTTCAGCAAGTTGCAGGTTTGGAAGCAGAAATGGCGCATATGCGGGCCCTCCTCCTTCAAAAAGAAGAGGAACGTCTGCGATTATATTCTAAAATAAATTCCCTATCCCTATTCGATCAACTTCCACCAGAGATCAAGACTGAAATATTCTACAACACTTTGAACCAGTCAACAGGCTGCTACGACTCCATGGGAGTGACTCCCCTTTCTCTGGGAAAAGTTTGCCATGGTTGGAGAGATTTCGTTTGGTCAACTCCAATCCTTTGGACAACCCTACATATACGGCTGTCGACGGATAACTACGAGACCCAGGCCATTCTTCTCCGTGACTGGCTGTCCAGAACCGGAGAATACCCCATCTCCTTTTATCTTGATACGGATGGGTTTCTGGAGACGCGTGATCATTCTCCGATAGAAGAAGTTTTGACCCTCTTTGCGTCTGTCTCAGCACGATGGAGGGAAATAGAAATCTCTTCTCCCGACCTTCAAGCTTACTTTGATGTCATTTTCACCGCTGAACAATCCCTACCTCTTCTTACTACTGCTACCGTTTGGCTAGGCGGGATGGAAGAAGAGTTCAGTCTACTCATGATGGCCCCACAACTCTCAGAACTTCATCTTTATCGCCCCGTTCTGCGCAAGGTGCTAGCTCCATGGCACCAATTGCAGGTGTTTCTTGCATATCGCTTATGCGTGGATGAGATTCGGCTTTTTCTTCACAATGCGCCTCAAATAGTCCGCTGCACCTTTACAAACATTGAATCATCCATTCTGGAGCCTTCATTGCTGTTCCATCAGCCGCTCCTGTTGGAACATCTGCAATATCTCGAGCTCGATTTCAGGAATGTAAATGTTAAATCAACTTGGATTTTAGGGCAAGTCAGACTTCCTTCTTTGCGTGAAGTCTCCCTCCGCAACCCTGTGCACCCCCCCCAGGACGCTCTCCCGTTTCGAATTACAAGTTCATTTCAATCCTCGCCTCTCTTGGAAAAATTTACTTGGAGTGGCATGATCATGACTGATCATGATTTGATTCAGGCTTTAAACAACATTCCGTCAGTGAAGGATCTATCTCTGGACTTCCTCGGTCATCACCCCTCCAGCAAGTTACTCACTGAAACATTGCTTCAACGACTCCACTTCCCTCATGCAGAAATTCTTCTCCCGAACCTGCGAAGCTTCACGTACCGTGGCCCCACTTCACTCAGTGAACACATGCATCTGTTGCGAGATGTGCTTGTGTCCAGATTCCGAAAGTGCGCTCCGCGAGCCGCCGAAGTAGTCTCAGAACGAACCACTGTAGCCCAAATCAAGTCGGTGAGCGTCACGAGCTTCTCAGAGTTCGTCGTCAGTCCGGATATACAAGAAGAACTAAACAGCCTTGTGCAAGCAGGCCTGGAATTCTCGTTAGCTTTCGATCCGATTTAGAATGAAGCGGCACTGAATATTGAATCGTGTTTCTGTGCTGGGATGATTCCGAATACTCAGGCAGTGGTTGATACAGGCATGGTCCCTCTTACTGGGGATGGCAGCTCGGATCTTGCAAAGTTGGTCAATGGTCTTACAGGAGCCTGAATGAACAAAAATTCTTCGAAATGTTTATGCACATAACGCGAATAATTTCTCCCCCACTTTTAACTCAGAAGTCGCCTATCACTCCCCTTGAATAGCCTTGAATGTCCTAAACTTAATCTTCCTCGTAGTACCAAGAAGCTACCGTTGACCCGGAGGAGGAATACGAAGAAGAGGCTGCCGAGGACGCTGACGCGCACTGGCAATAACGTTGGCTGGATATCAGTGTCTGGGCTCAATCCGTCGTGATTTACTCTACATGATGCCTGTGGTAATAGGCGGTATTTGTGTTTACCATTTTTGTTGTTAGGCTTTTGGTCTTCGAATCCAATGGATACATTCAAGTTGCAGATATGCGAACCTGGAGGGCTGAAGAGCACAATTTATGGACGCGAAAGCATTTCCTTTTGTCATCACCGCAGTCAAGACGCCGTTCACATGAAGCACGAAGTTACCCACGAACACCATTCATTCCATTCTATTTCATTGGAACGTATTGTATTTTCGACGTATGTAAGCTATGACGGGGCGGTTTCGTATATTGTGAACATATGTTGAGTAATGTATCTGAGAGGAAATATAGATATAAGAGAAGGAAAGAAAGAAAAAAGGAACCGGAGAGGAGAGTGAAAGGGAGAAAAGGGGAAAAAAAAGGGGGGGGAAGAGAGGGGGGAGTGGGAAGTGGGAGGAGGGGACCATGAAGAGAGGGGAGGAGGGGGAGGAGGCGGCCCATAGATAGTGTAGCGCGAGGCGGGGAGGGGGCTATTTCGTCGGCTGATCGCGCTCTAAGCATCTTCGGGTTCTCTGTACGTGACTTTGTGCTCGTGATGAATTCGAAGATGTGTGGCAACATCTTTGGGCAGAATACTTAGTGTTTTCGCGATGGTGTCCATTTCTCGGTGTACTGCTGCTCGAAACTTGTTGCGCTGGTACCCGTATGCAGGGCAATCCTGTAGACAGTGTTCGACCGTCTCGTTGGCTTGCTCGCAGGCGTCGTAGAGAGGCGATTCCGCGCATTTGAACCGGGTTTCAGCGAAATGTAACACGTCCTAAGCTGTATGAGCAGGCTTGCATGTCGTCGGAATAGTTTGGCTGTCATCGGCGGAATCTTTTCGATGGCGTTGTGCTGTCAACGTGTGTGGCCCGCCACTATCTGGGGCTGTCTTTGAACCTGTTGGCTATCTGCCATAGTTTAAGCCGGCTCCTGTACGTTGACGCAATGCTGCTGTGCTTTTCAGCAACCCCTTCCTCAGAAGCGGTATCCGGTTTTCTGTCGAATTTCTGTGTTGTTGTGTGCTCCTTCTGCTGCCTTCTTGGCTTCCTCGTCCGCCCTTTCAATGCCCGGTATGCCTTTGTGCCCTGATACCCTGCCCAGAGTTAACTTCAGACGTCTGTGCCTTTCCATAACCCTTCGGTAGCGGGCGTGTATCCTGTCCGTGATGTATGACCCCGTGAATGGTTTTCCTGTCCCTGTCGGTGTGATAAAATCAGTGTCGTAATCCCCACAGAATTCCTTGAGGCCATTGAGAGCGGTGGAACTCTCACCAAGGTGAATGAAGTGTTGACCCTGAGATCCGAGGGATTAAACGTTAAACGACGTGATACTTATCCCAGAATTTCTCGCCCAACGAATCATTAATCAATGCCAAACGATACCACTTGGATGGTTGTATTGGTCGTGGCAGTCACAGTCACAGGGCGACAAGCAAGTCCAAAGTCGTCACGGTCTCCTAGCTAAGACCTTGCAAGACGTTGCGAACTTCAAATGTTAGGTGAGCCTAATCAGCTTCCTTACAAGAATTTAAGATATCGAAAGCATCATGCATCAGTGCCAGAACTTGAACGTGTTCCTCACCACACTGAAAATGAGATAAGGGATGCCGTACTTCGACAAGTGGCAGCTGTAAAATCAGAAATGGAGCAAACGCGGGCCCTTCTCCGTGAACAATCCAAAGAGTGTCTACGATTATATTCAAAACTTAACTCCCTATCCTCAATCGATCGACTTCCAGCTGAGATCAAGACCGAGATATTCCACAACGCCTTGTTGCCAGTGAGCAACTTGAAGAACTTTCACGCCAGCACTGGCAGGGGAGGAGATCTGTCAGTCACCCCTTTCTCTCTCGGGAAAATTTGCAAGGGTTGGAGAAACTTTGTCTGGTCGTCCCCGTTGCTTTGGACCAATATACATCTCTGCTTATCGAAAAGAAGATACGAGAGTCAGACCACTCTGCTTCGCGAGTGGCTGTCAAGAACTGCGGGATGTGCCCTCTCCTTTCATCTTACCGCGGTAGCTTCCGAACCGTTGCAGACCTGGATCTTGGATCCTCCTAGGGAAATTCTGGTTGCCTTTGCGTCCGTTTCAACACAATGGAAAGAAATTGAATTCTTTATTCCCGACAACAAAGATTGTTTCGATGCCATATTCGTGGCTAAAATCTCCTTACCCCTTCTCACCACTGCTACTGTTCGTTTGTTAGGTTCAGCGGAAGAAAAAAAAATAGACCTATTCTCCATGGCTCCACAACTCTCAGCACTTCATCTTTATCCGACATTCTACCTGGACATGGTCACGGCTCCTTGGCACCAATTGCGGGAGTTTAGCCACTCAGAGTCCACAGTGGAAGAAATCCATGCGTTTCTCCACAAGGCACCCAACATAGCTCGCTGTTCTTTTCACAATATAGATTCAGAGTTGATTCTGAACTCGAGGTCGCTGAATCCAGATCTGTTCGATCGCTCACCCATGTTGGAACACTTGGAATATCTTGAATTTTCTTTTTGCTCAATCAACACCAGATCAACGCGGATTTTAGGGTCAGTCAAACTTCCTTCCTTGCGTGAGCTCTCCCTCAGCGGGCCATATGGTTCCTTGTGGCCCATCCTGGACTCAATTACGACACCATTTCATTCCTCGCCTCTCCTGGAAAAATTCACTTTGGGTGGCACAATATCCTCTGACCACGACTTGATCCGGATTTTGGAAAAAATCCCATCAATAACGGACCTATGCCTCACCTTCACCACCAGCCGGCATGAGTTGCTCACAAACGAGCTTCTCCAACGGCTCTGTCCACCCCATGAAAATATCCTTCTCCCAAACTTGCGGAGCCTCACATATCATGGTCCTACGTCGCTGAACAGCAACATGCATTTGCTCCGAGATGTGCTTGTGTACAGATCCAGACTCGGACAGTCTGCTTCACATGCCACAGAATACTCCGAACCAAGAACAAGTCGAATACGATCGGTAACCGTGATAACGGCGGACGAACTTGTCGTCGGTCCAGACATACAACATGGCCTTGACACTCTTGTGCAAGACGGCCTTGTACTTTCATTAACATCAACTTGGAAAGACCGGTTTGGAGCTTAATTTCTCCAGATAATTCCAAGTCCAAGGACATGCACGTCATGCAGTTTCTACACTGTGTCATCCAGAGTACTTAGAAGATATAAATTTGAGATCACCAATGGGTACTCGCGATCAAGCAATGTGCTGTTGAAAACCAACGGATTAGAGCCTGAGGTTTGCGATAGGGGACAACGGCTAGGCAGCGCGCTACACAACATGCTGCTAGACCGAAAAGTCTATGCAAAACAGTGGCGTCGGGGGTTTTCAGAATGAGGTCGATGTTCCAAGTTGGAGAGCGTGATTAATTGATTAGTTGAACGAAACAAACATGACCAAATCCCACCTGATACTCATCTAAATACGTTGACGCGCAGCTGCAGATTGAGGTGAGTGTGTCTCCTACTTGTCTTAACGATATCGCCTAAAAAAGATCAGGAAATACGCGGAGTATGCCAGAAAACGGCCCCCATTGTTCTGAGAATGAGAACACCCGGAACGCTTTATTTCAGCAAGTTGCAGGTTTGGAAACAGAAATGGCGCAAATGCGGGCCCTCCTCCTTGAAAAAGAACAGGAACGTCTGCGGCTATATTCTAAAATTAATTCCCTATCCCTATTCGATCAACTTCCAGCAGAGATCAAGACTGAAATATTCTACAACACTTTGAACATGTCAACCGGCTGTTACGACTCCAAGGGAGTAACTCCCCTTTTTCTGGGCAAAGTTTGTCGTGGTTGGAGAGATTTTGTGTGGTCAACTCCAATCCTTTGGACAACTATACATCTACGGCCGTCGACGGATAACTATGCGGCCCAAGCCGTTCTTCTCCGTGACTGGCTGTTTAGAACCCGAGAATACCCCATCTCCTTTTGTCTTGATACAGAGGAGTTTCTGAGGACACGCGATAATTCTCCGATGGAAGTTTTGACCCTCTTTGCGTCTGTCTCGGCACGATGGAGAGAAATAGAAATCCCTTTTCCCGACCTTCAAGCTTGCTTTGACATCATTTTCACCGCTGAAACATCCCTACCCCTTCTTACTACTGCTACCGTTCAGCTAGAAGATGCGGAAGAAGAAGAGTTGAGCCTACTCATGGCCCCACAACTCTCAGAACTTCATCTTTATAGTCCCCTTCTGCACAAGGTGCTAGCTCCATGGCACCAATTGCAGGTGTTTCTTGCAAGTCAATGTTGGGTGGATGAGATTCGGCTTTTTCTTCACAATGCGCCTCAAATAGTCCGCTGCACCTTTACAGACATTGAATCATCCATTCTGGAGCATTCACTGCTATTCCATCAGCCGCTCCTGTTGGAACGTCTGCAATATCTCGAACTCCATTTCACGTATGTGAATGTTGAATCAACTTTGATTTTAGGGCAAGTCAGACTTCCTTCTTTGCGTGAAGTCTCCCTCCACAACCCGGCGCACCCCCGCCAGGACGCTTTCCCGATTCAAATTACAAATCCATTTCAGTTCTCGCCTCACTTGGAAAAATTCACTTGGAGTGGCATGATGTCTGATCACAGTGATTTGATTCAGGCTTTGAAAAACATCCCGTCAGTGAAGGATCTATCTCTGGACTTCCTCGGTCATCAACCCTCCAGCAAGTTACTCACTGAAACATTGCTTCAACGACTCCACTTCCCTCATGCAGAAATTCTTCTCCCGAATCTGCGAAGCTTCACGTACCGTGGCCCCACTTCACTCAGTGAACACATGCATCTGTTGCGAGATGTGCTTGTGTACAGATTCCGAAAGTGCGCCCTGCGAGCCGCTGAAGTAAACTCAGAACGAACCACTGTAGCGCAAATCAGGTCGGTGAGCGTGACGAGCTCGTCTGAATTTGTCGTCAGTCCGGAGATACAAGAAGAACTGGACAGCCTCGTACAAGCAGGCCTCAAATTTTCGTTGACTTTCGACCCACTTTAGGATGAAGTAGCTCTGAATAACGAATGGTGTTTCTGTGCCAGGATGAATTTAAATACTCAGGCAATGGTCATTCGCTGTAGGTACCTTTGTGGAATTGTGAAACGGGGGGAAATTATTGTGGCTGCGTGATGTATACTTCAAGGTATATTACTATACAAGACGACGTGGCTCCATTTAACATTCAAGATGTGCAACAGCGTGTACGGTGGATCGACGGGAAATTTTACAACTACAATGTTACCCATCCTCAGAGACGAAAGTATGCCTCAAGGAGGGCGATGCGCATAAACCATCGTCAAAGATACTAATCGATTCTGCCCCAGGTAAAGACCGGGTGTCATAGCGTTTGACGCCCATTACGTCGATTGTAAATTGTCCAGTCTACGACGAGGTTTCTTGACCTAAAGTAGTCGCCGAGGAGCTTTCCGATTCCAATGGGTACTGATGGCTTGAAGTTAGCTCTTGCTCTCAGTGAGATATCGGAATACCTACCATCGGGTTAAAATGCTCGTCCCGCAGGAAAACATTCGCGCGAGAGGAAATTTGAGGTACCGCTGGTACTCCGAGTGTTCGTATTCCTTTTTCTATTCGATTTCAAGTTGTTCGTGATTTGGCCATTCGTGATAAGAGCGTTGAATGTCGTTTCGATGTCGTGTTCCTCGCTAATTGGCTCTTCTGGTACATTGTAAGATAGCGAGACCCAAGGTAGATAAGGGACGAGTGACTTCGGGGGTGTGCGCGGCAGCGGGCGAGGTTTCTGCAAAAGTCTGCCACGACCCCGCCAGACAGTTTGCCGGGCAGAGCCTACGGAGCGGGAACGTATCCTTTCGTGTTCGTATTCAAGTTATCCAGTAATTGGTGACTGTGATAAAAAAATTAATGTGTCGTTTCATAATCGTGTGATTCGCCAGTTGATTCTTCCCCGAGAGCTGATGGAGATGAAGCCATTGACGACAAGGGCGGGGGTAGTGGGCGAAAACTACGGTACCACTCTACTACGACCCCGTTGATTATGATATGGGAAGAAGAGGTGTGGGCAGGATTGTGCTTCCTCCGTCGAATCAGGAATTGCTTCAATCGCTTGAATGATGGACGCTGGGGTGTACCAAACGCGAAGAACCCTCTTCAGAGTTGGTGAGACACCTGACCACGCGGCTCCGTTATGTGAAATGGAGTTGAAGGACGAGGTCGACGAGGGGATCTGAGTAACTCGACGAATGGGTGGGGGCTTGGAAGTACTTGGTGTGAAGCGTCAGGAGATCCTTTCATGCTTTCACAGAACAACGCCGCTAGTCCAGGAAAGAACAGTTGGATTTGAGCTCGAGATGAAGGCACATTCAGAAAAATCATTTTGAATCAAGAACCAAGAGGAAGAATGAGGAACGAGATGAAAGACACAACAGGATTTTTGGATCACATGAATGTATTCGTACTTGCAAGTCGTGTGGAGGATTTTGCAGCACATAATTGCGCCCTCAGAACTATTTCAAGGGATAGAATTCAAAATCGAGAGTCGACAGCCTCGCGCAAGAGCCTGCTGTTGCGTAGGGGAGACTTCGGTTCTTCAAATAGAGTTTGGCTGTAGAAAGCGACAAAAGACCGTGACGGATCCGGGTGACTCCTACCAACCCGTTCAAAAACAACAACTACTACCATGCCTCCCATTCACCTCTCCACACCCAAACGACAAGTGGTGTATATCCTTCTGAGCTCACCGGTCGCTCACCACTCGTCCACAGCTTTTGCAAGGATCGGTCAACAGCCCACGGTATGAACAAGTTGCAAAGCAGCTCTGCACACGCGTTAGTCTCCTCTTCTACTTCAGCCACACCCCTCACTATGACCATATTGGTAACGCCACTTCAGTCTGCAGCATCTTCGCAAGCTGCTGCAAAAGTTGTTGGTATACACTGTAATCAGATCCGTGGATAGTACACCAAGGATACACACCACTCATCGTGCAACAAATTTCCACACCTTTTCTCGGGGTCAAATGGTGTTATTGTTAGCGCGTCGGACGGGTTTCGGTGTCCACCAATCCAATGTACGCCGTCAAAACATCCGGAACTCATGGTTTGGCCTTTGGTCTGTGCTCAAATATGACTTTAATGTCAATGCTTCCGCCTCTGTAGCCGACGGAGGGAAAAGTGACGTTCGTCCTTGATCGACGCTCGCATAAGGCTGAGGGGATTCCGGCGATGGACCGCGCCCTGACCTCGGTCCTCAACCCAACACCGTCCGGTGGCTATGTTGCTGTCGAGGCTCAATAATCTAAACCTTGTATTTTGCAGGTCAAATATCTCGGATGTCTCGTGTTTTTTTTAAACCCTGGAACGAGCGACCGTGACGGTTGGGTAGGAGGGGAACGATAAAGCTAGCTTGCACTGATGAAAGCCCGTCCCTTCTACCACCACCATGTTGCCTCAACCTCCCTATTAATGAAGTCCTCCCGCATTCAATTGTAGAAGTTGTCAAACACTGCCGCGCCACCCTATGACATAGACTCCTCCAGCGCCTAAGTTTATTAAGGGCCTATCTTTACAAACCCTTTCCCAGGTTCTGGAAACAGCGCTTGCCACCATAATGTCCACCATACCCCGCTGCGAATCGCCTCAGCCTCTTTTATGGACTAGCTTTGCAAGATTATCCCCCCGAAAGCCTCCTCGCTCCTCTTCCCCTTCTCCGCTAGACGGGTCGCCGTACAGTGAAGCCTCCTCTACATTATCCGATTCATTGATCTTGATCACTCCGGAATCATCATTGCCGCCCGAGAAAGATAACGTCGGGGTGTACGATTACTTCTCTCCCACGGAGTCCAAAGCTTCCCCCTCTCTCATCTGTGACTCACCAGAACTACTTCCTCATAAGATCTCCGTTGCGCTGAAGGATGAGCTTCCTGCATGCCCTTCCCATGCTAGGATGCTCGATCGCTTCCTCCCCGACCCGGTGTGCGACTTGTCAGATGAAGTGGAATTGACGGAGCAGTTCTCAGTTGCTCATGGTGGGTTTTCCGATATCTATAAAGGCGTATGGGCACGTTGTGGGGAGAAGGGGAAAACTGCGGTGTGTATCTATCTTATATCTACCAAGTGAGGTTCGGGGCTCATGACGGTGGCGGTGGTGACAGGTGGCAATAAAAATGCTTCGAGCGTGCACAAGGCAGGAGGTGGACCCCGTACGAGCACGGAAGGTGGGTTATTACACTACTTTTACCGTCCACATTGATCCTGGGTGACTGACATATCACTAGCGGCTCAACAGAGAAGTATACGTCTGGAACGGTCTTTGCCACCCCAACATTGCGCGGTTCTACGGAATCTCTTTCCGCCTTGGCGGGCGCCCCGCCCTCGTCATGCAATGGTACCAAAATGGTACCGTCCCAAACTACATTTACAATCAACTTCGAACAAATGGGGCAAAGGTTGATAGGTTGTCGTTGGTGATTCGCATCCATACTTTTGGCTCATTGTAGGGAGACGCCTGACCCGACTTGATAGGTTCGAGATATCGCGCAAGGTCTTGGATATCTACACTCCTTGATTCCCCCAGTGGTTCATGGGGATTTAAAAGGGGTGCGTGGTCGTTACCATATATCCCCTGTTTGGGCGAATGTTGATATATAAATGGAATGCAGAACAACACACTCGTCAACGACGACGGGCATGCAATGCTGACCGACTTTGGGCTCGCAAAGGTCATTGAAGAGTTAGCAGGCCCAACGGGGAACACGACATCAACGTGTGCGGGCTCTGTGCGCTGGCAAGCCCCGGAGTTGATAACCGACACAAGACCTGACATAAGCGATGATGCTTCCAAACCGTCCTCACCAACTCGCGGTTCCGACGTCTGGTCGTTCGGGTGTACAGCGTATGAGGTTCGTCTTGTCCGTTCATCACTTTACTCACTCGTGATTCCTGAGCTCTCTTCTTCCTTCCCTTAGATCATGACGGGCAAAATCCCATACCACAGCCACTGCCAACTTTGGACCATCATTAAGGCGATCGTGGAGAAGCAGTGTTTCATCTATCAGGAAGACCGGGGGGTGCTTGAGGTTAATGGGTTGATGTTGCTTTTGGAAGATTGTTGGCAGTATGATGTGGAGAAACGGCCGGAGATCGGGGAGGTTCTTCGAAGGCTGTGAGTAGGTGTAAGCTTCAAAAGCCGGAGATCGGGGAGGGTCTCCGAAGGATGTAAGTAGGTGTGAGCTTCAAAAGCCATGAGCGTGATGGTGCGTGCTCCCACCGAGCGTCAGATGGCCAATAACACATGCAGCCTTATATTATATTTTCAGCCTTCTCCCTAATTACTAGTACACCATTCGAGTAAGCACTTAGACTCATTTCAGCTCAGGTATCTCAGGTTACATACTCTATATGCTATCAGTATTTTCATGTCAACCAAGCCCATGCCCCGGGAAAGAACAGAATTTGAGCTCTAGACGAATGCACATCCAGAAAAACCAGCCTCCTACCCATTCGTTGCGCCGTGGTTGAGTCATCTGAGATGAACGCAATGTTTTATCTAAGTGATTTAGGTAGATTAGTAATACTGATAAGAATGATCCGAGATAACACCGACAACTTTAAACTGCTCAACCACTGTGCAACGCCTGGCACAAAACATTTGTAAACAAATGGTGCCACAGCGCGGAGTCTCAAAACACGTCGCATTCAAGTTATGTCAGCACGCTTGGACAACGCGCTACCCAGCGCTATTACTCACCACCACCACAAAGCTTCCTCGTGAATACTCCAAACATACCCAATAAGTTATGTACTGAACAGGAAGTTTAAATTTGAATTTTAACGGATGTCCATATGATTGTAGTACATCTAAAATTGACCTGATGACCAAAGACAATTCATGTAGCAGGAAAGACAATAAACCAAACTTCTGGGGTCATGTTTTTAATACTGACTCGAAAAGATTTATTTTACTGATACCTGACTGCAGACAAGATTCACAAATACATCTGGCCACCCTGGACCCATTCAATTACAAGTATATGCACTAACTTCTTCATCAACCCAATATATTTCAACCTCCAGAGCTTTGCAAATTGTCAAATGAAATTTATTAGGTATGCTTGGAGTGTTCACGAGGAAGCTTTGTGGTGGTGGTGAGTAATAGCGCTGGGTAGCGCGTTGTCCAAGCGTGCTGACATAACTTGAATGCGACGTGTTTTGAGACTCCGCGCTGTGGCACCATTTGTTTACAAATGTTTTGTGCCAGGCGTTGCACAGTGGTTGAGCAGTTTAAAGTTGTCGGTGTTATCTCGGATCATTCTTATCAGTATTACTAATCTACCTAAATCACTTAGATAAAACATTGCGTTCATCTCAGATGACTCAACCACGGCGCAACGAATGGGTAGGAGGCTGCAGAAAAACCATTTAAACTCGGTTGGTAACCCTGGCGTGATGAGTTCAAGGTATACATTTCAAAATTGAGAATCGACAGCCTTGTACAAGAGCCTGCTGTTGCATAGGGAAGACTTCGGTTCTTCAAATAGAGTTTAGCCTGTAGAAAGCGGACTTAAAGCTTCGATCCACCAACCCATTCAAAAACAACTCCCATGCCGTGCCTCCCAATCACCTCTCCACACCCGAACGACAGGTGGTGTATATCCTTCTGAGCTCACCACTCGTCCACAGCTCTTGCAAGCATCGATGAACAGTCCACGGTATGAACAAAGCAGGCTCTGCACACTTTAGTCTCCTCCTCTACTTCAGCGAAAACCACTCACCATCACCATTGGTAACGTCACATTTCCTTCCGTCTGCAACATCTTCGCAAGCTGCTGCGAAAGTTGTTGGTACACACTGTAATCAGACTGTGAGTGTGGGGCCTTCTGCGTTAATACACACCATCAGTACTATATCATCGTACAACAAACTTCCACACCTTTTCTCGCGGTCCAAATGGTATTATCGTCAGCACCGTCGGACGGGATTCAGTGTACACCAATCCAATATACGCCGTCAAAATATTCGGAATTGTAAATCTTATCATCTTTGGTTGGGAGTCCATCGTTTGACCCTTGGTCCGTGCCCAAATATGCAGGCGACAGTCCCCGTTGCTGCGATTGAATGACTTTACGTACTCCGCTAATGTACTGGCCGTCAATGCTTCCGCCTCTGTAGCCGACGGAGGGAAAAGTGACGTTCGTCCTTGATCGACGCTCACATAAGGCTGAGGGGATTCCGGCGATGGACCGCGTCTGAGAGAGGGTCAGATTTCAAACCAACAATTTCGGAGGAGCGTACCTCCGCTTCCGGTTTTCTCTTCGTGGGTTAGCATCTAATCCTGTGGTATCCGCTTCGAGGCTCTTTTGCGCTCGATTCAATGCCTCTTGGGTAGGAGCCGAGCGGATAAGATCCCCTACTTCCTTGACACGGTGAAATTCTCCTCGAATAGTCTGTGTCGTGAAGGGCTCAAAGGAAACGGATGGCCTGAGCAAAATCGGCGGGACCTGACGCAGTGTCTGAACACGATTGTAAACATCTGTCAGAAGTTCGATTTGCGACTCTAGCGTTGCGGTAGAGTCCATAGCGAAAAGAGGTGGGATTTCAGCATGCGCTGTTGTGGTGTATTTATTTCAGTGGTTTCTGACAAATGCCGGCAACCTGGCCAGCCTTCACGCTTGTAGCCAACTTTTGGCCAACTTGTAGCTCTCAGTCGCCATCCAATGTGGACCTTGCGCGGAATACAATCTTGAGTTCACTCATCTTCAGTCAACCAGTCATCTGACACATCCTGACACAGGTATTGGAAGCAGGGAGTCGTTACAGCGCGACCATAGATCAACAGTGCAAGGCTACCGGTTATACTCGAAAGACGACGCGGTCAAATCGATCAATCTCATCTACTCCAAGAACAGATTCAGCGGCTGCACATTGATCAACTCTATCCCGCCCCCGTGTAATATTGCCTCGCTCAAAAGACATCTTTGAAAAGTTGAGGGCTTTGACGGCACCCCAGCCCAACCCCAGCCTGTACCTTGTATCTCTTTTTCTCGGATACTCCGAGGGGTCTTGGATTGGGTTCGCCCGAATTTCTCCCGATGGCTTTTGTGGTAGATACCCCACAGGTGGAGAAGCGAACCTTGGCGGAATCGAAGACGCATGCGAATATACTACATGAATAACCTCACGAACAACGTTATGGTGGGCGCTTATTTCCCTTCAGACACCCAAAATGATAATCTGTCAGTCCACTATCGTTTGTATGACGAGGGGGGCGAGCTCGCATCGAAGACATCTTTCAAATGACCGACACCTCCCTGGGTCGCATTAACGTGCTGTCCGTTCCCTTGCCTCAGAACGGCACTTCCTTGAAGGCTCGTATAAGTCAGGCTGAAAAAGTCCTAGCTGATAATGTAAAACTATTCAAAGGATCGTAGATGAACCACTTCCGAACCATAACCTCACGGCTTCTCGAAGCAATTGAAGGCAACCCAAGACTCTGGTGCGTGACCCTCAACTATGTTCTATGTTTCTCTCATTGTTGCCATATTTTAACCACAGGCCACAGGGAATCATGATCCGACGTGGCACACAGCGAGAGAGGGGAAGATTTTTCGTATTGACAAGTAAGAGATACTATAGCGATGAGTGAGGTGGCCTGGGTGAGTTTCCCGACGCTCGCAGTTGGGCAGCGTTGATGCGACCTGCCACCCGCTTCAGAATATGAGTACTCGTGGCAATAAATTCATCAGGAAAACGGGGATGTAAGTAGTATTCACATCACAATATATATATTTTTTCTGAGAAGCACTTTCTCTTGTACTAGTCATTTCAAAACGTGAGTTTTTTCATGTGTACTTGAGTACTCAGAGAATAATGCGAATTGCATAAAACCTCCCAGATTTCACTACTCTGCGATGTTAACACAGGTGCCCAATTTTTCTACTATTCAAGGTTTTTGATTTTAATCGGTTCAGTCAAGGGAAGATTGGGGTTTGCGCATGCCCCTTACGTTCGAAATATTTCATACCAGTGTAAACTAGCAATAAATGAGACAATTGCGCGCGCTCGTTGGTCCACACCGCGAACGATAAATACCCTCCCCTCCCACGAGTTCACTTGCAATAACCATAATCAACCGTGCAGCACTTCTTAAACTCGTCCGCCTTAGCACTCGATGCATCACACCAGCCCTTTGCCGTCAACCCAAAGAAAGATGATCCTCCCTGAACAGATTTGCCCGTGGTGGATAGACAGCACCCATCTGTATTGGCCGTATTCACAATGTCCTTGCCAAGAAAGCCTCCACCGTTCTGATAGCACGCGCACCAGGCTGCGGAAGAACCGTTGATCAAGGCGGAGAGGGCGATGAGGGTAGCGATGCCGAAGCCCTTCATGTTGTTCTAATGTATGATAGGTACAAAGGTAGGAATTTATTAGCGGGGGTAGCGTTGCGGTAGCAAGGAATACTCACTAGTTGGATAGTCCAAGGAAAGCACTGGGCTGGAGTTCGACGAAGCACATCCTGCTTTTTATACATCTGTAACATGCCGGATGAGGCTAGCAGATTTTCCAATATATCTTGTGACATTGAAACTGAAGTTGAAGCGAGACCAAGGCGAGATATAATCCGAAGACAGGGTAAATCTTCGGCTGTCAACGCATAGTTCATTCTGTCAAAATTTACAAGACAGCCTCTTCGGTTTCCCGTTTAGTTCGGCCTAGAAGAAGTTGTCAATGAGAGGAACACCGCATACCGTATATATTTCTCTTCTAACGCCGTCATGCAGTGCAAAGCAGAGCGATGCCGTATCAACTTGATAATCGAAATGGCGGAGCCGTCTCGACTCTAGACTTCAGGATATTGGCCCACAGTTGACGCCACTGAGTCGACACTCAGCTGATTTAACTGAGCCTCGAGCCTCGAAATCCGAACAGTCCTGAATGTCGGTTAACTTGGTACAGCTCAGCGAACTTGGCGTTGCTTGATTCCTTGTTGATTCCGCTCTACATAGCGGGCTCTAGCTCCTGAGAAATCAGGGTAAATGGGGACTAAGTAAGAGTGATTTGAAAAGACACACTCAGAAATTAAAGACCGACGTTCGGAACATAGCATTCTGTATACATAGATGACAGTGCCGGGTCGGATGCTTAGACGGATCCGGAGCGGGACAGACGATATGGTATGTAGCAACCCTTTTGGATAAAGCTGAACAGAAAAATCGAAGGGGAGATGGTACTAGCTACTTACTGTCACCGAGATCTCTATAGTCAGCAGGGCATCAGCTTCAGCCTTTAGTCGGGGATGCTGGAAGTGCGCGTTTGCGCTATACATTCCCGAGTAATGATGCTTCCGAACAGACTGTTAGGGGGTTTATTAGTGAAACACGGAGGAAGCACAAGAAGGATGCGGTACATGGTGGTTTGAAGTACATGGTTAATACGGGAAGGTTTTGGGATCCGGAGCTGACGAGACGTGCTTTTATGGATAAGATTACAAGACTCACGTCATACGTCGCCGCCGTGATGAATATCCATTTTTTTACAGCTCATGAGGATTGTTCTTCGAGATATTTCAGCCCTCGACCTGGGCAGCGTGTACGTCCGTAAATTTGAGTGGACTACGCGCTTGTTCATACCCGACCAGGCCTCTGCACAAGGAGAAGAGGTTGGAAGAAGTATAGAGTCCTCATCGTGAACGACAACATGTGGGTAAGGACATGGCACTCCAAATCTGAGAGGAAACACAGGCTTTCACATCGACATCAGGGGGTTGGGACGTAGTGGGATGAGGGATGTGAACCTAACCATCCACGAAGGATGCTGTGAACCCCAAATCCTTGGTTTTTTGAAACCAAAAAGTCCGTACCTCCACTGTACAGACGACTTGGTAATATGAAGACGACCGGTTGAGCTAAACAGGTGTCTTAAAAGGTAATCAATCTAGAAAGAACCAACGGTGTCAACCGCGATCCTCATACAATCGGACGAACGTTCCGCTAACCCCGTCCACTCCGCCCACCTGATCCATATTGGTCAACGCATCTTCTGAGGCGATTTGTTACGTTTTATGAGATCCTGGGATGGGGTCCGACGGGGGGAAGGAAGGGAGCGGGGCCCCTGGAAGGGTTCGAGTGCATAATCGAGAGAGTGCTTATGAATTTAGCAAGAATTAGCAATCCTACGCCTCATACATGGTCGCAGGACGGAGCAGGACCGCCGCTTCACGGGGGTTGAAGGTCGTTTCAGAATGGATAAGATATCGTTTTGTTGGGACTGTCGGTGAGGGTGATACAGATTCGCTGAGAGCCTCTCGGCTGGGAGGTCGTGAGAATTCTCAACTGCTCGTCTGATCGCTCTCATGATCAGCTACAGACCCTCTAGGCGTAAAATAGTTCATAAGTCATAGTCTGTCATAGTACATGGTACGCAATAAAGACTGCAGTGCATGGGCAACATGTCAACAACTATCCATAACATAATAGAATCGATGACAGGGTGAACATAGATCATTCCAGACGCAAGCGATACTTAGCACTGAACGAGGGAATAAATCAATGCTCGAGGATAACCTTGGGAGGCTTGACCCTGGGACGGAACTCCTCCCACTCTGCGTTTGTCCAGCGGTGCTTCCTTAACAAATGCCGTTTCAAGGCGTCATCGCGCGTGAACTTCTTGGAGCACGTATCAACGAGGCATGGTAACTTGACGCTGCCATGATCATCTCGCATTATGTGTCGGTCCATATCGCCTTGATTTTTGCACCACTTATCACATGACGTGCAAGTGACACCAGTGCCGGGAGCGCGTATGGTCGAACCCGTTTTCGCCACTGGTGCACGCCGCTTCTTGGACGCAGGCCCGTCGACGAAATCTTCGTCATCGTCGTGAAGCTTGCTTCTCTTCCGAGGGTTTTGCTTCGCTGGACAAGAGGAAGCTTTTCGTCGACTGAGAGGTTTTGAGAGGTTGCTGCTGCTGCTGCTGGCGTGAGCAGGGGCAGGAGAAGGGCTGATGGGGATGGTGGGAGGCAGCGGCGCATCAATAGACTCGACTTCGGGACAGTCTTCCTCAGTTGTCGAGGGCGGGTCTACGGCGTCGGGGATGTTGCCAGATCTAGAATGAACATGTTGCTTAGAACGTCTCAATGAAGTATGAGAAATACCCACCTGGAACACTCAGGTATATTGACACCCTTAAGGGGGGCACATACTTGAGGAGGATCTGGATTAGCCTGTTTGACCGCCTTTGGAGGGATCAGTTGATGACGAAATATGACAACAACAGAAACTTACGGGCGAGGAGCGAGGTTGGGCCATGCGAGCCATGACAGCTTTCAGAGCATCTTCAGCCCTACCGAACTTGTTGTCGACAAGACAATAGGGAAGTCCGGAGCGGCTCGCGATGCGGTACACATCGACAGTCTCACTCTCCTTGATCAAGCCTACTTCGGTTATGCTCGAAGAAGGTAATGGCTTAGCAGCTTCCTTCTGAACTTGAGGTCGGGGTTGGATCGGTTGGGAGACGGATGCAGGGAACAAGAGATCCAAATCATCGTCGTCCGTTAAGAGAGGAAGGAGGAAGTCGGGGTACAGGGTTTTGCTTTGGCTGAAACGGAGGAGGGCGGAAGGTCTGAAGGGACAGGGCATTGCATTCCCGAAGACATTCTTGGGGCCTTCGCCTGCGAAGGGCCCGGTCTTTGGAACGGCAGAAGGATGTCTGGAGGTGGAACGAGATTTGCAGAGCATTTTACAAAAAAAGTAAGAAGTTGAAAGTCTGAATGTTGAGTGAGATGTGGGTAATGGTTCACGGTGAACGTCACTCCTCCCTTTATATCTGTAAAAGACAAAGCTGGAGTCGCATATGTCACATTTCGTAGGAAGACACAGCGCCAGGCCACCAACGATGAACGTGTATTGAGATGTGATATCTTAGAGGGAAGTGGCCAGTCCCAGTCCACATGGAGCATTCCGACGAGAGGGTCCAGTTCCAAATGGAGGCGGAGGTCAACGCGCGCGGCTCTTTGTTTTTGCCCGGCGGTAGGGTCAATTAATCGCAATATATGGTTGTCATGGGCCACATAATTGGATTCCATTTGGACACAACGTTTATCAGATGGGATTCAAGTAGATCTCCAACAAGATGCAGAGATAGATTGTCCTCGCGCCGCCTGAACTTTCAATGGAAGTCGTGTGCCAGAAAAAGGTAAGGAGACCCCAGAAAGTTCTGGATGTGGTTTTCACCCTCGTTTCCTTGCGCAAAAAACCGATCCATTGTTCTACTTGGCCATGATAGCCCCGTCGTCGGCCGGAGAGGAAAAGCGATCTGCTGCAGACATGAGATTAGGCGCTGTTAAACATGGAAGTAATATGAAGACAAATATTCATTCAACAGACGGACGCGGACGGACGGTTGAGTATGGGCCAGGAAAATTGCAACTTTGCAATCCAAAGCTTAGTTTAAGCAGGGCAAAAGGCGCGAAGTGATAGCGAATGATTGGGATGGTTCGTATTGCTGCATTCGGAACCGTAGAGATGTGTACTAGACGAGAGAAGGACCTAGAAGGACCCGATGAAGACTGCAACTGAGTTGAAAGTAAGGACGGACTCCGATGACATCGATGGACGACGTCCAGCGACGACAGCTGATTCGTGTATGTCGTATCTCTATTTAAGGTTGTCAGAACAGCTCTACGACGAAAGAAGGACCTAGCAAATACCATAAGTAACTTGGGTGGAACTCAAGGACGAACTCGAAAGTCGGACGACATTGCCTGCTTGCGTGTCCTAGGCGGCTGGCAACCTCTGGCAACCCTCCGGAGTCAGGCCCGTGTTAATATTCGAGCAGGATTATCTGGTGCTCCGTGGTGGTAAGTATGAGAAAAGGTGAATGAAATTGACATCACATCAAAACAGGGCCAGATTCATGCACTTTACGTCTTGCTACCAACGTCACCGATTGCAATTATGGCCTTCAGTGAGCTGGACGATTTAGGTGACTCCTGGGCGATACGACCTCTACCTCAAGTACTGGGGCCTAAGCAGGCCTAAGCATCGACAATGATGATCTCGCAGATTGAGAACTCGGAGAAAGCTAGAGAAAGGATGACGTGGGCGACTTCATGATCGTGGTGAGTATATTCTATCATACTTTCTGGACTACTTATCGATGTCGTTCAAATTTCAAATCACAGCTATATCTGCGTCTTCTCAACGCACTTTCTCCATGCACACATTCCCACTTCCTTCCCACTGAGGACCTGAGGCGCGTGTCCACCGCCTTTTCTGCTAGTGGTTCGTGAGTTTTGTGTATAAGGTTCACTGTTTCAATTGACTTCATCTTTGTACTAGAATCTACGAAAACAAAAACCCTACCGCATAACAAACATCACCTGCTAAAGTCAATTCCGGCCCACCCACACGGCGCACATGCGTTCAAGATCCTAAATTGGACAAAGCTTACTTTCCAAGTATCTCCGAGGTTTCACCGAGGGCGTCATATATACACCTTATCAAGAACCAACGAGCGCAGCTTGAACTCTGTTGTTAACATGCCCCTACCACCACGCTTTGCTGATCTGAAGCGAGAAATAGCAGAGTCGTACCCGGATTTTGAGAGACGTGTGACGGATGCTTGGGCTGAGATTGTGAAGCAGCTTGAGGAGACAAGTGAGGCTATTAAGAGGGAGGGGTCGGATGTACGTTTCTTTCTCTCTTGAGTGCTCGGTCTGATTGGGTGATGCTTGTAGTATATACCTCAAGTCCAATTTGACGAGCTGCATAACCTCCCCGAGGAAACTGTTCAGAGAATTCGAAGAGTCGGAAGTGTGGTTATTGGAGACGTGGTGGATGATGCGGACGCGATTGCTTGGAAAAAGTCGCTGGATGAGTTCGTGTCGGCGAACCCAGGCGTCCAAGGTGAGTCTTCTCGCTCTTTCCCAACTTAGCTGACTTGATTCGCAAAGGTTTCCCGGGTAACAATAAACAGTTCTTCCAGCTCTAGTACGTTCCCTCCGTATGACGCATCGTTTACATTGTTTGTTAAGAGAAAGCAGCTGGACCAAACCACAAGTCCAAGCCCGATCACATTCAAATGTCCTCGCAACAACAGTGTGGCTTAACAACATTTACCACGTGAAGGGGAACGAGGACTTGGAAGGCGTAGACCTCTCCGTACCCCTCTCTTATGCGGACCGTTTTCGGATTAGACATCCTGGCGGTGATTGGTCTAGTTTCCCGCCTCACATCGATAGTAAGTACCCTTTGAACGAGGTTCGAAAGTGTTAATTGAGATTATTTTCAGGTGGCTCGATTGAGCGATGGGATGACCCGGATTTTAGAAGCTGTTTTGCGGACATTTTACAAGGGAATTGGCGCCTGCATGATCCGTATGAGCTGGGGAGTCGATTGAAGGCGAAGAGAACGACTTATAAGCGATCTGATGAGGTTTGTTTATACGATCCTTTCAGTGGCGCACCCTAAAACTGCTTATTCGTTTAGTCTACTCTTTTCAGGACGTTCCAAGGCTGGTTGTCCATGAGGTACGTATGATTTTCACTCAAGGGAGTTCGTTGCGTGTTCTGATGAAGAGAGAAGTGAAACTGGACCTACGCAAGGCACACTTAAAGTCTTCCCGGACGTGGGGCTATCTAATGCGTACATCATACTACGACCATTTTTCCGGCCCCTCGTAGATGTGAAGTCTCCGGAAATATATGACCCCAAGAACTGGTCTTTTGGTGCGTATCCTCTCTGAGATGCTTACATCCAACGAAGCGTGACGAGGCCGATTGCAGATATCAGTACTTCCGATTTTCCTGGTATCTACGAAGGTGGTGGGGGATACACTGGTCCGAAACCGAATATTTACACGCACCCGCACCTCCGGCTCGACGAAACGATGACGTCCTTGCCGAAGGTCAACCCTGGGGACATGGTGTTCTGGCATTGCGATGTTGTGCACTCTGTGGAGAGGGAACATACGGGTTTGGAGGATTCTGCAGGTTCGCTTTTGTTCTTTTCCTTCTGCTCTCGATGTTGATGTTGAATGCGGATGATTGCAGTGATGTACATTCCTGCAGTGCCTCTCACACCTCAGAATGAGAGGTACGTTGAAAGACAGAAGGAGGCGTTTTTAGAGGGACGGAGCCCTCCTGATTTTGGAGGGGGAGGCAGGGAGAATGGGTTTGTTGGGGTGGGTGGTGTTGGCGATATTTCGACGCCTGCTGGAAGGAGGGCGATGGGGTTCGCGTGAGTTGTTATTGCGAGCGGAGCATTCCTTTACTAATGCGCTGAAAGCCCGGATGAAGAAGTACAAACTCCCCATTCGCAAAAGTCGAAACTTTTGGCGGGGAAAAAGAGTGTTTCACGAATATCTCATGCATTCCGGGAACTCTTCAAATAAAACTTGGCAAGTATGTTCGTGAAGTGTACCTTTACACACCTATCACAAAAGAATGCAACTTGTCTTATGTATTGCATGTAAAATTAGCCCTCAAACTTGAGTGGCATCTTCAATAATCTTTTGAAATGGCATAAATAGAGTGCCTAAGTGCGATCATTTGTTTCTTCTGAACTGTCGTCATCTCTACAGCTGCATACACAATATGGCCGGTAGTCGCTGGGTCCCCCTCGAAAGCAACCCAGAGGCAAATACTCGTTTTGTCGTTGCGTTCTTCGTTGTCGAAGCTCATCTAGTGTTCAGGTCTTGAATAAAGCAAGTTCCGTCATTCTCAGTTCATCGCCAGGGTATCTGAACGATCATCGGTATCCATCTGACAGTGGTCAAGTCAAGCGGGGCTCGTACCCTCCGTGGCGGAGTTTGGGGATATCTACGGGCTCGATGATGAAGTACGTTCCTTTGTCTCTCATCTGGAACGCAGTTGGTTGACGGGTAATTGCCAGTTATTGAGTCTCGTGCCTCAGCCTGTGAAGGCGGTTATATTGCTCTTCCCGATTTCGGCTGAAACTGAAGCGAAGAAGAAGGAGGAAGATGAGAAGGTTGAGAAAGACGGGCAACATGCGATTGAGCCCAAGGTGTTGTGGATTAAGCAGACGGTATCTTGATGTGTGGTTGGTGGATGCGGCATCTCATCTGCTATCGATTTATAGATCTCTAATGCGTGTGGGACCATAGGGCTGTTGCATGCCCTCGCAAATGTGAGCTCTACGCGCATATATTGATTCGTATCTGACCTTTTGCTTGGTCAATGACAGTCAAATGTACCCTTCATTCCTGATAGTCCTCTGGCCAAGTTCGTTGACGAATGCCGAAGTATATATGGCACTACACCTCTACCACGCTCTTCTGATTGTGCTACACACAGAAATAACACCAGACAAACGCGCAAAGCTCCTAGAAACTACCTCCCTCTTCGCTGACATCCACGCAGAAGCAGCCACGGCCGGCCAGACGGAAGTACCACGCGACCTCGATACCGACCTGCACTTTACCTGCTTTGTAGAGTCGGCTCATGATGGGACGGGATCGCGGGTTATTGAGCTTGATGGACGGAGGAAGGGGCCTGTGGATAGAGGGCAGTGCACGAATTTGTTGAGTGTAGGTCATGAATACGCTTGGTTTGCTGGTGGCTGACTGGGTTTTGCTGTAGGACGTCGCGAGGATTGTGAAGGATGTGTATCTCACTGAGGGGGCTGGGGTGAATTTCAGTATGATGTATCTCGGCCCACCGAGTGAATTTTGAGCTTGAGGAGCGGGTAGCATGTAATTGTAATTTAGTTATCATTCACGTGTAAAATCCAAGAAAATTCTTTCCTCTTACCACCACCACAACATGCGCGTCACTCTCCTCAGACTAGCAGAGTCCGTGTCGACAAGGCTGCTGAACCTCCGCGAAGCCGGCGCGTCGCTCTATCCACCAATACCGTACGCCCAGAACCCGTTTGCCAAAGACTTGGCTGAGGCCTAAGTTCTGACTATGGAATACGAGCAGGTTGTTCCGCCGGGTTTTGCGTGCTCATCGACATTTGCCATTAAGTATGCGATCGTTGGGGGACGCGTATGTCAAGTCAGGTGTGTAGAATCTCTGTTCTTTTCTTGCCTTGCGCTTGGGCATCTCATTGCTCACTTCTTCGGGCAGAATACAGACGACATCGAGAAACAACAAACCCCGTACACATAATTGGGTTCCTCTCACAATGGAAGATGTATCTGGATGGACTGCCGCAGGGGGAGGAAGCGAAGAATTTCAAGGGGAAGAAGCTGGATCATACGGTGTTTGAGAAGGTGTGCTGGATTTGCTTTTTTCTTGGTTAAGGTTTACTCATGTTGGATGGACCTGGTAGATGTCAAGCGAACAGCTGGGACAACTCTACGAGCTCATGCATGCTTCCAAGGATGTGTGGAAACCTATATCAGAGGAATCAGAGACGTAACGTAGGTCCCTAGGAATGATATGGTATACCAAGTCAAACTTCCTCAGTTCTTCCTGAGTACCCTGCACTATCGTCCTACTCATCTTCCATTGCCGACGCCGAAAAAATGTCTTCACCGTCATCCTTTTCTTCCTAAATGTTCACACATCTCATTGGCTTCATCACGTGTGTACGTCTCGCTCTATATAAATCCGGATGGGAACGGCCAACATGGCTTAAACGCCCCCTCTTCCCGACATGTCTTTTGCTTCAGCTCCAGTACGTCATACCCACTTTCCGTCTACTCATTGTCTAACTCGCCTTGGCTGTAGACTGTTCCGACCAACACGTCTCACTATGCTGATTTGCCAGCAGCCAGTTCGGCGCTCTTCCAGGCCAAGGCTCGTAGAGGTGATGCGATTCGAATGATACCATCGTTTGACTGGGTTAATGGTGTACAGGTCTGACGTTTGATCAGATTGCGAAGGCGATTGGGAAGGATGAGGTGTGGTTGGCTGCGGCTTTCTATGGTCAGGTACGATACGATTCCTTGTATGATATGCCAGCGAGACTCATGTGGATGTAGGCAAGGTTCACCGAGGATGAGCTGATTACCGTCGGCGAGGTCCTTGGCATCGGATCGAGCGAGTTGGTCAGTCAACTGGGCAGTCATTGGTGGCCTAACCGTGGACTGGGACCTATGCCGCCTACTGACCCAGTCATCTACCGACTTTATGAGGTTTGTGCGAATGCATTCTGTGTTGACGATGCTCTTATGTCATTCACAGAGCGTTCTCGTTTATGGACATGCTATCAAGGTGAGCGTCTCCAGTTTAGAATGATGACACGACCTGATATTGAGTTAATGAAGGCGGTTATCCATGAGAAGGTGATTTTGTCGGCGATTTTAACTGTGGTCCTTTCTGATTTCATTTACATTAGTTTGGTGATGGTATCATGTCGATGATCGACTGCAAGATCAACGTTGAGCGGAAGGAAGACCCCAAGGGTGATCGCGTTCTTCTTACCTTTGAGTACGTGGTTCTCTACTCGCATCCATTCAAATGTTCACATTTCCTTCCTAGTGGCAAATTCCTTCCATATGCGAGGTGGTAAACAGCTAAATGGACAAAAGGTAGTAAAAACGATACCTTGAATATACTTTTCTTTTGTTCGTGCCAAGAACAAAGCAACTAATGAAACAAAGGGTGGATTCGGCAACCCCCCCGCCAACAATCTCCGAATTCAAGGCACGAGCACGAGGACGGGGGTGGCTCGTTTCCTTATCTGGCGATTTAGATCTCAAAGCCAAATTGTTCATGGGCCACTCGTATATGTTTTTCGTTTCTTTCTCTCTAACCACGACCAGCTACGAACCATCAGCTGTTGAGCAGCTATCACGACGTTCTCTTTTCTTTTTCTCTATCTCTATCTTTGTTATACCGCTGATCATGATGCTGGACGTTATCTCTACACTCTTTCCAGCCCCAAGTCTGGAGGAGGTCATTGCTTCGGTATGCCACTTTCTTCTTTTCCTTTCCTTCAATTCCTGAACGCGCCTTTGTTTTCGTTCCAGGTCAACAAAGACACCACGACACATAACGATGTCCGTGACATCGACGACGTTCTTTCATCCCATCCTGCTCTTGCGTTCTGTGAACGCGTAGATTTTGTCAAGTACCCGTGGCTTATTGAGAAAGTTGACGCTACCAAGCCACTTGCGCCGCATGATGATAATAAGCCTGCTGTTCCTTTTGAGGCGCCTGCGAAGGCTCAGAATGGGGTTAGTTCTCCTCTCCTTCTTCGTGCAACAGAGTTTGATGTTGAAACGTTGATGTGATTTAGCTTGGCTCCACGAGTGTTGTAGTGAGTAAACCGGCGCTTCACCTTCTTGGACAGGTTACGGTGGAACCGCTTCAGGTGCTTTTTAACCCTGAAGTTGAGAGGAGGCGGCAGGTTGAGCTGTTGCCGCTGCCTGTACGCCTTTCTCCTGCACCCGTTGGGTCTCGTCAGGCGTCCCGTTCCCCCAAAGTCACGTCGAAGGCTGCCTCTCAGTCGCCCCATTCTCCTGCAGTCGCACTTCCCCGAGTTCATCATGTATCGAAGGCTACCCCTCCCCTTCCTGTGATTGCGCTTCCTGATGTTCCTCGTGTACCAATCTCGACGTCCCAGCCGGAACGGTCTCCAAGTCACGAGCTCTTGTGGTGCGATCCTGTCGTTGCTGGTGTCAACGATGCGATGACTCTTACTCCGCCACAACAAGTACGAGTTGCAACACCTGTGCAAAATTGTCAGCCTTTTCCGTCGGGTTCGAGTTGGAAGGTGCAGAATGGGCAGAACCCCATTCACAGCGTGAGGGGATTTAAGCAACACGTATCAGGATCCAAGCAGAACGTGGCTGTGTCCAAACAACACGTATCTGCACCCAAGCAGCACACGGCTATGTCCAAACGGCACGTATCTCCACCCAAGCAGATTGCATCGTCCGAGCAAAGTGCAGCTTCGCTCGAGCGCATTGCAGCTGTACAGAAGCAGAATGCAGCTGTAATGGAGCAGAACGCAGCTATATCGAGGCGCAAGGCGGCTTCTGGGCCCAAGCAAAGTGCAGCTACATCCAGACAAAACGTACCTGCACCCAAGCATGTTCCCAGTCGACAGAGCAAAGCCATTCATCCCTCACCACTGCGCGATAATTACGTCGCACCTGAGACAGGGTCTAGCCCGACTATCAGGACACCACCCACCTCTTTCATTGCCCCACAGCACTCGCAGATGCAAGGCACCTGGGCAGCTGCACCAGCTCAAATTCAACAGATGCCTGGTTTTTTGCGTTATACCGGGGTTCCAGTCGGTTTCCCTGTCCCTGCAGTTCAGACGGAGGTTCGCCCACAGATTGCGCTTCCTCGACGAGCCTCTCCCCCAGGGTTTTCATACTCTAATGCACCAACCTCTTACGTAGCCGCTCCAGTTGTTGCAGCACAGACACAAGGGTTCCAAGGCTACATCACACCTGTTACGGCGAGCTATAATGTCGGTCCCGTCATTTCATTGCCAGTCATTAGACAAGACGTTCAGGTTACCGCTGATCCTTGTCGGAGAGCTAGCTGGGTGCAGATGCTAAGCGAGCAAAACGCGGCCGTTTCTAGCCAGGCAACAAGCGTCCCATCATCCAGCAAGCGAAGGGCACCTCCTGATGACAGACTTCCTCCATCGAAGAAAGCTCGGGTGGCGAAGTCGATGAGGACTGGAGTCCATGCGACTTATAGGTCTCCACAAGTTAATACTGGTACTCAATCATGTCCAATTTATGTGTATGTTTTGTGATACCAATGATCTTTTACGTTCTTCCACTAATGTGTGCCATTGCTTAGACGTTAACTGTTGTACGTTGCACGCCATACACCTCCCCAGGCGCGAGAAACGCGTCCTGGCTGACACAGGGTTATTTTTGGAACGAGCCGGTCGGGCTGAGCAGTCGTTTGCGAAATGACACGCGAAGCATTCAAGCATGGACTGGGCACCACGGTTGTTATTTGAACTAGACTGGTTCGTTTTCAATTACCCCTTTTACGATACCGATCCCTTAAATAACGCGTCTCTTTCGTTTGATCGCCCTCACCTAATTTGCCTCCTACCATATCCATTGTTAAAAACAGTTTTCCAAAACACAATCATATTTATTGATTATGTCTTATGCCTCTGCTCAGCTCTCTGCCTCTGCGCCTGGCGCGCATAGTCCCAAGCCTTCCTCTGCCCTTGCAACGTCGTTCATGGGCAACTGGACGTCTGATGATGACCTCGACAACATAGGTCGTCAATATTCGTTCTGCTACAACGCCAACTTCAGCAAAGTGGGCTCTCAACGTTACGACGCAGCCCTCTCCGAATTAGTCTCCTATCACTTCGAAGGACCTCAATCCAAGAAAGCCGGTAATGCCAGGACGTCTTCTTGGTTCGAGGATGCGCGTGTCATGGAATTGCTCTCTGAGGACGACGTTTTAGACTTGGCCGATGCTTCCAAGGCCGAGCTCCTCGATGCTCAGTCGACCAATGCAGCAGTAGGAGATCTGGAGGTCACCGCAGCAGGTACATCTGCTGCACCCGCATCGCTGGCGATGCTGGGATCGATGACCCCTATCTCCACTTCCTCGTCTGCCGCAGATTGGTTGAATGATGATCGCGTGTGGGATGGCGAGAACGTACGTCCTTCTTACTTCTGAGTCTGTTCCCATCTCACCTTCCACATGTAGACGACCCCAGAGTGCGCTCCTACCCATCCTACACAGTCCATCAAGCAGTCGATGAAGGATGGGAAAGAATCTTTCATACCCAAGTTCAAACCCTTCGTCGACGGCAAACCATCATCCATGGTAAGGGTCACAAGCGGACCTGGCCTCGGTATCAAAATGACCCCCACCAAAAGTTCAGAGGTATACGAAGCCGTCGTCCTCGCTTCGATGGCTAGTGCCACCTCCTTCCTCGTTCCCGACAGACCTCGCCTCACTGCCGTCAAGTCCGACGAGGACATTCATGTTTCTCCTTTCATGCTATCTCATCCAAGTCTGGTGGCCAGCGTTTCCTTCGCCGTCTCCAGCCCCTTGATTCAAAATGCTCCAGAGGCGCCTCGTCTTTATCATAACAGGGTGGATGTGGACAGCCCCACCATGAGCTATACGCCAGCCCAGATTGACGCTGCCCAATTGGTAATTCAGACCCCTCAACCTAACCATACCTCCAACATGATGGACAATGCTTCAGCCGCCCTCTCCAGCCCTTCGCTCCAGAATGCTCCGAAGGCTCTTCGCAATCATTATGCTAGAGCGACCGCAGATAGCCCAACCACTAGGTACTCATCAGCCCAAATAGATGACGCTCAGTTGGTCAACTCTCCCAAGTTCAATCTCATCTCAAACATGACGGCCAGCGTTTCATTTGCCGACTCGAGTCCCCTGCTTCAGAACGCTCCGAAGGCTCCCCGCCTTTATCACGCCAAGCTGGCCATGGACAGTCCAACTACGACTTATTCTTCAACCCAGATTGACGAAGCTCAACTGGTCAAGACCCCTGAGCATATCTCCCGGCGGCGCAACGTCCATGGTTCAAGAACCTCTATGCACTATACCAACAACACTTTCGACGGGCCATTAGACACTCCATCGAAACCTAGCTCCTATCGCACCTTCCTCTCTAGCGAAAGAATGCAAATTGCTCATCTCAACGCAGCTCTAGCCTCTCGCCCACAAATTTATGACACGCCGTCAAAGATTAGAATGTCTGATTCCCCCCTCTTGGAAAAACCAGAGCGGAGAGTTCTCGCATCCAATACAAGCCTCGATCAGCACCCTTCTCCCGAATCAAACTCCACCTGCCTTGATACTTCAGTTCACTTTAATAGACCAGTCCGCAGTGGCCCCCCAGTCTCCCCCCGCCTACCGCCGGCCGCCAGTCCCCTCGAGCCCAGTTCGTTTGTCACTCCTCAAAAGAGGGGGCCCCCAAGTATCTCAATGAGGCTCGCATCCCCTCGTGTTAAGGTAAGCCTAGCCATTTGGTCCAGCTCTTCCTCTCTAATGTTTGTGTCTTAGACTCGCTATGCGTCTTTCGCCTCCCCCACACCCCTACCATCCAACGTCATCAAATCCATTCCACGTATGACCCCTCAAGATGACGCATCTGCGAAAGTTGAGTTGTCCACAAGCTCTTCACTCAGCATCTCTTTCCCTCGCGTTGAAACAATGTCCGGATTAACCGAGCAAGCCAGCCATGTTTCCCTAGTCTCCAATAGTTCTTCCCTTCAAGAAAACACCCCAAACCCTAGTCTAAACCCCGTCTCGTCTCCACGTTCCCTCGGCGACCTTTTCTCCCCTTCTGCCCGTGGCGAGCCGATCTTCCCCAACCTCTACACTTCCGAACAGATCTCTGAACCTGGCTTCAATATATCTCCTGCCCCTCCTCATCTACCTTTGCCTTCCAGTTACCTCGGGCCTTATTCGTCCGTCTGCCCTCAAAACGACGTTGAGGTAAGTCAGATTGTTAGAGCCAGCTTTGCCCTCTTGAATATTCAATCCTTATTTCAGACTCGCAATGTGTCCCTCATCTCCCCCCACACATCCATATTGGCCAGTTCTATTGAGTCCGTCCTATATGCCGCTAGAAGCGACGCGCCTCTAAAAACAAGCACTTTATTAAGCTTCTCTTTCCCTCGTCTCACGTCAATACCGGAAACGACAGAGCAGGTGGATGACGTCCCTCCCATATCACCAGACATCCAAAATCTCGTCCTGGATCCTTTTTCCCCTTTACCATCTCCATGCAACATTTCTCCCGCTCTGGGCACCACAGACTCTTCCCTACGAATCAGCAAAAGTTTTGAGGGCCTCGGCCTCGGACTTCCTTCAACTCTCACTTCTGAATCATTGGCCGACAAAGCCACATACGAGGATTCCCCGTTACTAGATGTCGTCTGCTCCCAGGCGAACGCAAGCGGAAACACTGAACGCCCCAGGTTACCCTCCCAGCTGGCTTCAGGACTCAACTTCCCTGATGACCATTCTGGCTCGTCCGATATTACGCTGTTCGATAGCATCGATAGCGATCAGGTGGAGCGCACAACGTCTGTCGAAGATGCGGCAGTTACAGCTCTTCTTGAGGCGCTATCTTCTTTTGAGCAGCAGCGCGAATCCTACGACCTTCTCCCTTCCAGAAGCTTCATGCAATTGCACCGATTTCCGAAGCGATCTCTGTACGACATTCCTGAGGCAGACACACCTCCAGCCACACCTCCAACTCCCCTCCCCACCTCCGCACACATACCTGATGCCTCCTCTTACACCAACGACGCCATTGAACAAACACCTCATGCTTCCTCCTCCTCATCCACAGAGACAGATCACATCTCTGAAGCCTCTACCTATTCAGAAACATCTCACATCTCCGAACCCTCGCATTCCTTTTCACCCTCCACACAAACGTTTCACACCCCATCTCAATCATCGCCCTCCTCCTTACCACAGACACCTCACGCCTTCTCCGACGCCTCTACAGAAAACATTGTAAAACCAAAAAACATCATAAAATCAGCCCGAAGGCTCGCGGTTCCTGCCTGCTTGAGTTCGTTGACTTTCAAAAACCAAAAACAACAACAGCCTTCACTCGCCGCCATCAATGCAGCTACTCATCATGGACAACCCTCCGAACAAACGCCTCACGCCTTATCTCCCTCAGAAAACACTATAAAACCAAAAAACAACATAAACCCGGTCCGAGGACTCGCGGCTTCGGCCTGCTCGAGCTCGTTGACTCTGAAAAGCCAAAAACAACAACCTTCGCTTGCCGTCGCCGATGCCCCTTCCCAGCCATCCGCAAATGCTCCTCCAGTTGCCTCCTCTTCCTCCAAGAATATTTTCAAATCGGTTCGAAGACTCGCAGCTTCGGCCCTAAGCTCGTTGACTCTGAAGAAACCACAATCACTTATCGTCAATCTGGCCACTCATCCCACAAATCAGCCTTCTGAACATACGCCTCAGTTGTTCGCAAATACTCCTCAGCCTTCCACGGATACACCTGAGATCTCCTCCTCCCCCTTCTCCACCACAACCGCCTTGCCTCCCTCCTTCTCAGAAAATGACTTAAAATCGGCACGAGGACCCGCGGCTTCAGCCAGCTTGAGCTCGTTGCCACCAAAAAAACAAAACCAACCACAACGTTCACTCGTTCCCGGAGATCAACCCTCCAATCATACGCCTCAGTCGTTCGCAAATGCTTTCCAGCCGTCCACGAATACACCTCAGATCTCCTCCCCCTCCCACTCCTCACCCGTCACCGCCTTGCCTTCCTCCTCCTCAGAAAATAATTCAAAATCGGCACGAGGACCCGCGGCTCCGGCCAGCTTGAGCTCGTTGCCACCAAAAAAACAAAAACAACCACAACCTTCACTCGTTCCCGGAAATCAGCCCTCCAATCAAGCACAGTCGTTCGCAAATGCTCCCCAGCCCTCCACGAATACACCACAGATCTCCTCCTCCACTACCACCACCCCCTTGCCTTCCTCCTCCTCCTCAAAAAATGACCTGAAATCGGCACGAAGACCCGCGGCTTCAGCCTGCTTGAGCTTGCTGCCACCAAAAAAACAAAACCAACCAAAACTTCCACTCGCCTTGCCTTTCTCCTCTTCAAAAAATAATTTAAAATTGGCACGAGGACCCGCGGCTTCGGCCTGCTTGAGCTCGTTGCCATCAAAAAAACAAAGCCAACCAAAAACTTCTTCACTCGTCATCATCACGGCCGAAAGTCCCGACTCGGCTTCACCACCTCTTACGACGGGTTTGAATGGATCGCAAGACAAAGGAGCAGACGGATCGAATCGATTAGAGGGAAGCAAATCTGGAGCGCGAATTCGATGGCCGTTTAATCACAAGTTCCGCTGGACGACTCTGGCTGAATCCGAGGAGATCATTGCGAGTTCTGATATGGGGAGCAGCAGCAACGAGCCGCCGCCGATGTCTCCCCAGTGCATCATACATGAAGACGTTCCTAGGACGACTTTGGGTGTCAATGGAGACGGGGGTAGGGGAAAGGGAGTGTTGAAGTTCTTATTCTAGCTGATTTGTATCTATTGTTACTCCATATGTCTATGCTTTTTAAACTTCGCTGAGGATTCAAGCAAAGCAAGTGAGAAAAAGGGTCAGTGTGCCTCGCTGAGTTGCCATTGAGAATCTCGCACTTCTGTTGAAAAGAGATTTTGATTCAGATTTATCGGAAACAGCTATGGTATGTCGACAATATACTACAAGTAGAGGATATTCGTGTATAGAAACGGTACCGGTATAGAGTAGACAGGGTAAATCATACAGTAACTACTAAAATTATCAATATCATACAAGGATCCATTGACCTAGAAACACGAAACCAACATCGAAGAGACTCAGAACGAGGAGTGATGAGGCAAAAGAGACTGGGTCGACGACCTGGAGGAGAAGGCCGGAAGAACCTACGCGCTCCTCTTCTTATCCGAGGAGCTTCCTGGTGCGTCAACGTCTTCGACGAACCTTCCCCTGTCGCCTGCAGGGGGTGGGAGCGGGGGTTTCTTCGAGCCAAAGAGAGATGCAAAGTTCCTCTTCAAGCTCTTGTTGTTCTGCGGACCTGCACTGGTGGGAGGAGGAGCCTCCTCGGCATTCTCCTCCTGAGGTACCTCACCGGGAGCTAAACCCGATCCAGGCTTCACCTGCTCCTGATCCGCCTTGCTCAAAGTGCCTTTATTACCCTCTTCAGGCTTGCCCCCCGTCGTCAACTTCTTGAATAAGCTAGGGCCCTTCTTGACGCCGTTATCACGCTCTCCGTGCAGCTTGATATATTCCTCCCCTCTAATCCTCAAAAACTCCTCCAACAACGCTGCGTTCCGGCTATTCGCCTTGTACATCGCCAATACAACGTCCCCAGCAACCGGTACGAACCCCACGCCAGCACTGACTAGGTTGTTCATGAGCATCCGCCTGACGAGCCATCCGGGAAGATCTGCCTGCCGGGCTTTCCGCAGGACGAGGTAGTAGTTCAGACCGATGTCCGCAAAGTCTCCGACGAGTGGTAAGAGGCCTATGATGAATGCCCAGCCGAAACGCATCCCGCAAATGGAGAACCCCTTGTCGAGGTAGTGTGCGCGTTTCTGTACGGATTTGAGGATTTTGGCGTCTCGTGCTGAGAGGCCTGGGGGTGGTGCACGCTGGTGAATGGATCGTTAGGTTCTTGGACGTCGTACAAGTAGTTTGAAATCTTAAACACACCTTTCTCTGCTTTTTCTTGCCTCGTTCGTTGGTATATGTTTCGTAAAGCGGGTCTTCAGGAGCGTACTGCTCCAGGTGCTTTGCGAAGAGTTTCTTCCCCGCTTTTCCGAGCATGGCCGACATGATGGTGGTTGGAAGAAAGAAAGATGTGGTATAAGCTAGGTTATGCTAGCGTCGGTGGGGTATGTATATGGTGGAGGAAGAAAGAAAAGGGCGGTTGACATGTGTGGAGTTTGGAGGCGGTGAACTTGTAATTGTGAACGTCATTGGAGTTTCATTAATTTTCATTTTACACCCGCAGACGACTCGGGCAATGGACAAAAAAATATTCCGAGATCTCTTGCTCATTCAGACTCGACTAATGAGTAACTTTTACAAGACCCGTTCTGCTTTCCCCGAGAGTAGCCAGGCCCGCATCGCCCATCGCCTGAGTGTTCGGGTTCATATCAGCACTAAAACACCATTCAACGTTCGGAGCAACTTCATCCCGAGGTTGGTACGAAATTGCAACTTGAATTCAAGGCCTTCTTGCACAAGGCTGTTTAACTCTTCTTGTATATCCGAACTGATGACAAGTTCAGACGTACTCGTCATGCTCACCGACTTGAGTTGAGCTACAGCCGTTCGTTCGGAGTCTATCTTGTCAGCTCGCGGAGCGCACTTTCGGAATCTGCGCACAAGCACGTCCCGGAGCAAATGCATGTGTCCATTAAGAGAAGTGGCGCCGTGGTATGAGAAGCTTCGCAGATTCGGAAGAAGAATTTCTGGATGAGGGTAGTTGAGTCGTTTGAGGAATTCTTCCGTGAGTAACTTGACGGGTAGATAGCCGAGGAAGTTGAGTGATAGATCCTTCACTGACGGAATGTTGTTCAATGCCTGAATCATATTATGGTCCTCCAGCACCAAGGCACTCCAAGTGAATTTTTCCAAGCGAGGCGAGGATCGTAACAAATTTGTGATTTGCAGAAGGACGGCGTCCTGTGGCTCGTTGTCATCCGGGTTGATGAGGGAGAATTCACGCAAAGAAGGAAGTGTGACTTGCCCTCCGAAAATCCAACCTGTTTCGAGGCGGACATCGTCAAATTTGAAGTGGAGCTCGAGATATTGTAGATGTTCCAACAGGAGCGGTCGATGGCGTAGTTGTTCATCTGGTGGATGCAGCGAATACCTTGTTTCAATGGCTTTGAATGTGCAGCGGACTATATGGGGCGCGTTGTGGAGAACAAATCGAATCTCATCCCTGCAACAGTGTTCTGCAAAAAACTCCTGCAATTGTTGCCATGGAGCTACTAGCACGCGCAAGAGCCCGAGCGAGCGACTAGCATGGATACGAAGTTCTGAGAGTTGTGGGGCGATGTTGAGTAAATCCAACTCCCCTTCTGGAACTAGTACAACCTGAATAGTAGCAGTAGTAAGAAGGGGTAGGGGTTTTTTGGCGGGGGAAATGATTTTAAGGCAAGCTTGGAGGTCGTAAAAAGATATGTATATTTCTCTCCATCGTGCTGAGACAGACGCAAAGAGAGTCAAGACTTGTACCGGAGGATGGTAGCGCCACGGCCACGCCGTCTGCAGAAACTCCTTTGTCTCGAGACAAAAGGAGATGGGGAGTTTTCCGGTTCTGAACAGCCAGTCACGGAGAAGAGCAGCTTGGGCCTTGTAGTTATCCCTCGATAGCCGTAGATGCAGAGTTGTCCAAAGGATTGGAGTTGACCAAACGACATCTCTCCAACAACGGCATATTTTGCCCAGAAAGAAAGGAGTTACTCCCACAAAGTCAGTCAACGAGCCCAAGGCATTGAAGAATATTTCAGCCTTAATCTCCGCTGGAAGTTGGTTGATCGGGAAGAGAGAGTTGAGTTGTGTGTTCAATTGTTGACGCTCCTTTTCTTGTTTAACTTGAAGAGGAACCCGCGTGTGTTTTCTTAGTGCCTTTGTTTCCACCATTTACGATTCTTAAAGTCCCACTTGTCGGATTAAAGCGTTTTCATTATTCGAAAGATCTTCTGATTTTTCGAGTCACTCGTCGTTGTTATGAAATGGTTACTCACTAAGGTGTTTGAAAATGGATCGATATCAAAAGGGCGGTTACTTTGTGAGACCACAAAACGTTGGAGGTTTTCAAGAGGTTTTACCCTTGGCGACCAATTGGCCATGTTTGCTCCGGCTTTTTCCGTTTTGGGACAATATTTACGTCACGTTTTTTGCCGTAAGTCTTGTGCCTCACGCTGCTTTGGATATTGTAGTGCTTCATTCATTCGCCGAGGACTCCTAAACCAAATTCAAACTCGTTGAGCGGCGAGAATCGTATGACGCGTTCGGACATTTGGCCAAACCCCAATTCAATTGCAAACCCTACACTGGCACCCGGATACTTATAGTCTTCTTGCTCGAATGCCGACATGGACAAGATTTTGGAATAGCAAGGTTCACCGAAAGAAAAAAAACTCAAGTGATTCCCGACTGGCCGCACAGGTCGCGTCAAATCATAAGGACCTCGGAATCCGTCCTCACTTCCAACCGAAGGTGGTACAAGTTCGTCAATTCCTCTTTTGTCGTATACCTGCTTTGATGACTTCAAAACGTAGGAGTACGACTTTCGCGGGTCAGCCGTCGGCGTTTGTATATCACCCATCTCCGGTGTATGTCGTTACTTCCGGTCACGGCTTGAAGCCTTTACTTGTCCCAGGTTTGTGTTGGCAACTCTGGACACGGGGATACGACATACTCAAGTCAGTAGATGTCGATTTGTGCCTTTCTGTATGCTTGAACCAGGCGCACCAACCGAGTAAAGCCTTTCCTGGTCTTCAACTGAGCGTCTGTGGGTTGGCCGTGAGATAGCCCTATGTAGGGTACCAGGTAGTCAGCCGTATCACGTCAACCATCTGCAAAGTACGTATATGTTTTTTTTGCTATGCAGCTTCCAGGTTTTGCAGCACTATATCTGATATTCCCGCCAGATCGTGTCTCCTTTGTCTGGCCAACCACGAGGCTATGCCCATCGGATGGCCAAATGAAACAATGGACCGCAGCTTTAGGCGAGGAAACGAGGGTACAAACCGCGAGACCAATCTACATGTACATCCTGATGCGGACCTTTTAGAAATCCCATCTAATCGAAGCTGTAACCATGCGGAACCCTATTCGTGGCCCATAGCAACAAGATGCGATTAATTTACCCCACCGCCGGGCAAAGACAAAGAGCCTCACGCGTTGATATCCACCTCCATTAGGAACTGGACCCTCTCGCCGGCTTTTCCCTGTGTACTAGGACAGGCCAGATCTCTTGAAGATATCACATCTCAATACACGTTTATAGTTGGTGGCCTGGCGCCGTGTCCTCCTGCGAAATGTGGCCGCTTCGACATATGCAACTCCAGCATTGTCCACTACAGGTTTAAAAGAGGACCGATGTCTCCTGCAAACTATCAATCACGCCCCACTTAACACTCAACTTTGTACACTTCGATTTCTTGTAAAATGCCCTCCCAGTCCACTTTCAACTTCAGCTACCCTTTGGCTGCTGCAAAAACCCAACCCTTCGCAGGCGAAGACCTCATGAACAACTTCTTCAGCGCTCCATCTCCCTTCCCCTTCGCGTCTTGCGCCCTTGAACATCTTAACACAAGCAAGAAGCAGTACTCTGGCTTCCACTCAAAGGAAAGCGACGGTTTGGCGCTCTTCCCTATGGGTGATGGAGCCGCTACCTCGGAGGTTTTCAACAACGGTACTGCTCTTGATGGGATTTTCTCACTGGGCGACTGGATCGTCCTGGAAGATGAACCTGCTCCTTCTCTCCCTCCCAGCTTTTTTGTCGAGCCTTTCACTAGCACCTCTGAGGCTGTAGAGCCGCCGGTCAAGGTCGCTTCGCCCGAGAAAGCGGCTCTGTCGTCTGGATGCGTCTTAAATCTGATCCAGCTTCCCTCAAAGGAAGGAGCTCATCCAATTCCTTCTTCGAGCACAACTGGGGCAGGCTTAGTCAAGGAGACCCCGGATTTTTATTTCGACCGCGTGGAGAGCTCTATAGGTTTGCCTTGCTTCGTCAACGACAAGTTTGGCAGGGCGAGAATTTCCCTGGGGGTTACTGCGCCCCACTTGGCGCGCCTATATTCCCGATCCGTAAGTTGCAGTCTTGCTATCTTTCGTTATGTATCTAATCTTTCGAAAGGCGATTAAACAGGCTGACTCAGTTCCTCATGAGCATGTCCGACTTTCAGACGTCAATTCTTATGCCGATGTGGGGTATGTGATTTTTTTCATCTTTCAATTAACACGGCGTTTGACTAACATATTTATCATATCTTCAGTGACATCCATAATGCTGTAGACTTATCTCTGACAGTCGAAGAGAGTTACGAGGTCCAGTCTGTTTACGCCCCGCTGCCTCACACTGTCCCTGTCAGCCCTTTTCCCGTTCCTGCGCGCGCGAGCTCCAGCAGCGACCTCGCAAAGCCTGTCAATCCACCAAAGGCCTTAGCTCTTCCCGCGAAACGAAATCCTCGCAAGAGAAGCCAGGTGGACGAGGATGACGAAGATTTCGTTGGCGGGCCTGCGCTGAAGAAGCGGAAAGCGGACTCGACCACACGCGCCTCCAGGGCTGGTATCCATTGCCATTTGTGCGGGAAGTGGTGCGATAACGCTAACAATATGAGGCGCCACATGAGGAAAGATGGTCATGGTAGCACCAAATTGCCATGCCTGGTCAAGACTTGCTCGGGACGTTTTACTCGGGAGGACTCCTTAAAACGACATCTCGAGAATAAGCATCAATGGGAATTTCCGAACCCGGTGTGGGACGCGTGGATGGTGAAGCAAAAAGAGGACCTCGCCGAACAAGCGAAATCAATACTGACTTACTGACCATTATTCTCTCATACACCAATAAGTATCGGCTCTATCATCATGCACATATTATGCCTACGATTCTATTATACTACTATATCGACACTTATAGTACCCCCTAGCTATCATCTCTCAAATGTATACCCTACTGATCTAAGTAATTACTATGAACAATCTATGACTTTTATGAATTCGACCGTGGCATCGACTCAGCGCCACCTGCAACGAGCTCCAGGATTGGCCACTTTGGGTCTTGGCAGGCAGGAGCGTTACTCAAGCTTGCGCATATCCTCCATCCCATGATACATATGTTCTGTAGCTACTGAAATAACTAAAGGACCATAAGTTCGAACGCTTCACGTACTCATTGTCCACCGACTCGGCTTGTACATCTTCGTCAAACATCTTTCTCGGTTTCTTTTTAGGAGAGTGAGTGTCTGACTGGGATAAGGAGTCAAGTTCGTCGGGGCTGGATGAACCCGAGTCCACCACCAGGGGCAGGGCACTCCGTTGTCCTTTGGAACGCGACATGTAGGTAGTGATTGGCTTCCTTGTTCCTGAAGATGCTCCGCTGCTCTTCACCTCAAAATTGCTCCCCCCTAAGTCCGTGAAGGCCTTGCCATTTACCTTCGCTGTCATACTAAAGCCATGCCGCTTGTGTAATCGTATGGCTGTCGATGTTTGCAAAGTTTCTTCGTTGGCTTCCAGCTCTGATTCCAAGTTTTCCATCCCATAAGGTAAACCTGGATAAGGAGGTTCGAGAGGACCAGAACTTCTTGAGCCCACTATATGAGTCAGTCGTTGGCGTCTGTTTTGGGTCTATAGAGCTTCAGACGCTATATTGATCCTTTTTGAAACAGTTATATCACCATGCCAGACTGATAGTCAAAGTTTTGCTTACCGCAAACTTCTACACTGAAAGTTTACCGCTGCGCGGGCGCCTGGAATGATTTATTGAATGAATAATTTTTACGATGCGTCACAGGTCAGTTTCGCGTGACGCGACGCGATTCTCCCCTGAATTCAGCATGTGTTTCGTCATGATGCCATCCACAAGACTATCACCATTTTCAGCGCCATTTTGGAAGCGACTTGGTATCCAGGACATCTGTTTGCGCGAGAGCTAGAGAGAGCCAGTGCAGACCAAGTGCAGACTGTCAACAAGAGGACATTCGGATCGGCCCATCTCTTTCTCACGAACTTTTTGCTTCCCTTCGAAAGGCTGAATGAGGATCGACGCCGGGTAAGAGGATACACGGATACAACCTACAGGGCACATTGCGTATGAACCCTAGTCTACCCCAGGTGGCCATTATAGGGTTTAAGGTATCAGAGACAAAGTACCTCGTCAAGATGGGCGCCTTTGCGGGGTTCCGAGGGCGCACGAGTCAGGCCTGTTGGATTCGTCTTCCAAGTTAATCACTCATCTTATACTTTCGTTAGCAGGTACATTCGCAACCCTAGAAGCAACCGGTCTTCTCGTTAGAAGTGACAAAGATACATTGATATGCATTCCTTTCAGTAGCCGGGCTGATTGTGGAAATTGGGCCATAGCGGTTACACCAACGTAACCCTCGCCAGGACGCCAAATATAGACTCTGATTTGCAACATGAACAGACATGAACGAACATACGCCTTTCTACGCACACTGCCGTCAAGTTGACGCTTGAGGTCTACTCGCGGGTCACCGATGACAACGGTCCTAGTTCCACGAAAACAGCTTTGCCTACATTAGCACGACAACAATTCGATGACAGATTTACCAACGCCCCTACATGCGTTTCGATTGCTCTTCGGCTCGGACTCTTTTCGGCTTCATTTCCAAATCACTTCTGTAAAACATATGGGCAATTTACCTCCGCGGTGTGAGGAACTCCTAATGCCTTCCATAATGTCCCAGATGCCTCCATGAAGCCTACCTTGCCCCTAAGTTAAGGTCCTTCAAGATCCACGCAATGATCAGGCGTACTTATCAGGCTTTGGAACCTCCTCCCCAACCCACGTCCTTATCATAGCAAACGCAGCTGCCAGATCAATCCCGCTCGTAATCCCAGCTGATCTCCATACCTTCCATATCACCCACCTCCGGTCCCCTATAAAAAATCATTCACTATGCGCCACCTCACCTCAGGCGCTATTGTTTCCTTTTGGTCTTAGTGGATCGTCCCCTGCCCATTCCCAACGCCCTCCACAAATTGGCATATTGCCATATCCTTTCATACCCGTCAATTTCCCTTCCCCCGCACATAAATGCCCGGGGCGTCTTGACATCTCTTCCCTCCTCCTGACAAACACACAAACTTCCCATCCTATGACGTGCCCGATTTTTGGATAAAGCAAAGGGGAGGGTAAATTTTGCGAAGAAGGATCGAAACTTGGGTATCTATCGAAACATCAAAGCACACTCGGACCTCGAAGGACGTGGATGGGACCACGCATCGTGGGATATTGGAAAGACACCGATTCCACAATATTCATACAACTATAACATTTAACTCGTCTAAGCTACTCAAAAAAAGTGGTAGAACACCCTGACTACGCAAAAAGTGCAGAAGTCAGAACAACCTCCAAGTGGGAATGCATATGTACCAGAAAATCGAAAGCAGGAGGAAAGCAGGTATTTATTCAGTTCGGGCCGTCACTTCCACGAATGATAGTGGTTCTTCAGAATTTTTGCGCGGTTTATCTGTTCATCATGTAAAACCGCGGAGAGCAACGGCTAGGAAGAACATACTTCCAGGTCTCTTTCTAGGGCGTCAACATCCCGAATGCACTCATTAATCTCGAATGAGAGACCCTCCCAAACGGCCTTTACCTCCTGAAAAATTCCGCCGGACGCAATAAGCGTCCTTTCGTAGAGCTCATAGATCATGTAGCGGGTTCTAAAGGGCGGACACAGTAAGCACGTTATTCCATGAAACAATGTCAACAACTCACCTTCCTATGTCCTTCGTGAATTGATTAGTGAAACTTGCATCCGATTGACGCATAATTCCACTATCGACGGCATACTGCAATTTTTCCTCCAAGGATGAGAGCCGAAATTCAAGCGTTTTCATGAGGGTTTGTGGGCGCATGGCGTGCATGCATATAAGAAAGCCGAGGAAGATGGCTCCAGCCCGCACTAGGTCCTGCGGGATGAGGGATAGGATGATCATCCATGCTGCTGAGATGATTGCTTGATGATACTCTTGAAGAGTTGAAAACATCGATTCAGTAGGGTGGGGGGAGAAAGCTTTGGAATAGTCTCCTTTTCAACCACTCTTATTTCACGTTGATTTAACGCTTGCCGTAGGCGTTGGCGCCTATCAATCCCTCGTTATTCATTCAATGCTATGCTGGGGACGAGACGAAGCCGATTCGACTGGAAATGCTATGCACATGTCACAAAATGTCCGATGACACTTTTTGATCACCTACGAGATTTCTGAAGGACTCAACATTCTGAAGCTTATTGATCATGATCACACGGACCCTGCGCTGCTCAGTGCTGCGCTTCACAGGTAGTACCTGTGAAGCGCAGCACTAAGCAGGTAATCAATCCAGAGAAGAGAGTTACTTCCTCTGCCATGCCAAGCTAAGTATTTCTTTCATCACTCTCATCCTTTATCTCCTTGTACAGCCTGAGCCTCTCCACTTGAAGCAGGGCCTTCGTTATCACCCATCAAGAGTCCCAGAACGTTCTAAACAGGATTTGCGGATTTTTGACCTTTTAGTTGTTGAGGCCTCAACGCAACTTCAACGTTACAACTTAGGAAATTGAGAGGAGTCAGCTCAACGTAGTCTTGCATCAATCTTGCATGCTTCCCCAAGTTTTGAGATTTTTTTGTGCATAGAGTCTTCTGGTCTCCGAGCACAGCCCGAGCGCCAACATTCGGA